TAGACATAGGTATCGTGCACATAATCGTGTGAGCATGAAACACATGAGACACTTCAATTTTATTTATTTGTATAGATACATGCATATGAAGAGAAAAGCCGAGAATTTCAAAGATTAGAGTAAAAAACACGGCGTGAGGGTCCATAGAACCCACACGTCGTTTTGAAGACGTCCGAGCCTTTCTTTTTTTGGTGACAGACGGCCTCACCTGTCCCCCAGGCCTGCACTTATGCAGGATAGAAGTCATTCAGCGACCTTCCCGCTCCACCCTCTTCTTCTCGAGCATAACTTGCTCGCAGAAGGAGGTGGCGGAGTATCACGCGCCATTGCTCCGTACCATGGCTGCAATCAAAGCTAGATATTCCTTGCTCCAATGGTCGCCACGAGGCCTAGCATTCTAGCAGCGTGTGAAGCGCCGTGTCCATGCTCTGGCCACCGGAATGGTGGCACCCAGGTATTGGTTCCTTGCGGATCAGATACAGATGAGTTCCTGCCGGTACGTATAGCTGGTATGAGAGCTAATTCTCTAGAACGGATCTTACCGCCGCTATAATGGCGTGACCGGCGAGACTTGGGCAACGTCTTTCTCTCCACTCCTACATAAGGACTTGGCAGAGAGGCGATTTCTGGTCCTTGATTTCTTGAATCCCACGATTCCGACCTAGTACGAGCACCAGACCTCATCGAAGGTCCGATGTCGATGCGAGTGTACTACGAGACTGGATCCCTCAGGTGGCCTCCTTCGAGGCTCATGAAAGAACAAGGCCTCAGATTTGTGTAGAGACACTTCGAGTCGCCGGATCCTCACGGTGCGCCTTACCGCGCGCTGTCACAAACGTGTCGTCCACGTAGCACATGACGGCGACATCATCCAAGAATGCACAGCCGAGCATCCATTCGTAGCCGATATTCCACGGGAATACCGACCCCTTCGAAATACCTCACGACATTTCACGCCGACTGAGTCTGGTCCTACTTGGGTACATGACGGCTGCGGACCGCTCCTAGCCCCTGCTCTTACAAGCAACAATACTCGTACATTATTATCCAATTAAATACGCTAGATATGTTGTGCATTTAATGTTGATTAAAATTACGCTTTACTTTATTGGCATATCATTAAACTGGATATTTTAGAAGATATCAGAGGTTTAAAATGCGGGGGCAAAGCGGCTGTCACCGCTTCGGGCCGTACGTCCGTCGCGGGTGGCAGCAGCCAGCAGGATGAAGCGAGCCTACGAATATTTTATTATTCGTAGGAGCGGGCCAATAAATATTGCATATAAAGATGACCTGTATTCTAGTCCAACATTGCAACCGTGCCGAACCGGCTTTGCCTACGAGTAAATAATATAATATAACCTTATTTTATAACTTGGTGGAATTGTGGTAGTTCCACAAACACATAAAGAACATTGAAGTTTGAAATAAAAAAATAGTTTGAAAGAAGACAATTTTTTTAAATGACACATCTTTCCGCCCATTTTCCTCTTTCAACTTCCTTTATGCACTGTGTATGAAAACAACAAAATACATGTGTGGCGTTGCACATCACTACGCGTATTGCATATCACTACGCCCGTATTGCCTGTTACATCACTCTCCGACGCGATGACATAGTTCCGCTACCGCGGGACGCTCTCTTGGACAGACGGTCAAAATAGTTTGGAACACAAAGACATGTCTCGTCCGATACCGTAGTTAATAAGTGAACTGTGTTGATGTCTGTAAATTCGCCATCGTGAATAATGAATATTATAAGGAATAGATATAAAAATCAAGTGTTTTCTTTTGGACTTTAACAAACCAAATTGGTGACACCTCGCCTGGTTGGAGGATCCTCCCTTTGTGTTGGAGGGACATGACACCCGTGCCTCCACAGTGGTGACCCCGATGTGATTGGAAACAGCCTTCAAAAAGGAGCAGATCATCAGCAGCACCATCGTGTACACTCCCACAGCGATGAGCAGTAATCAAGTCTCAGCCAGCCAGCAACCTCGGCCTCTACAGGGATACCAACACGGTAGCGACCGCTCAGCCTGGTTACCTCTACGGCCTATCAGCGTCTAGCACAGCACACTGCACTACGGTCCACGTAAGAAGAGCATTTTCTCTCCCGTATACGCAGCACACACTACGCAGTAACCGCCCCCGACTCACTGGGGACTTCACCGCAGCACCGCGCACCGCACGCCATCCCGACTCACTGGATCAGCGGACTTCAGCCCCGACTCTACTGAGGGCTTTCCCGGAAATTTTTAAACCCAAATACGGTGGAATTTTTTATTAAAAACCCAAAAAATTAAATTAAAAAAAAAATTAAAAAGCTTTTTTTAATGCCAACCCGCCCTTTTTTTCCTCTCACACTTTGAAAGGTACACATATTTATGTCTCATTTACACGCAGAGACAAGAACAATACCATCGCTCGGATTAGACAAAGACAAAGATATAAACTTTACGATGGTGGGCCAGTGTTTGACTACCGTATGAAATTTTACCCATAACAACCTAAGAAACAATATTTTTTTTAAAACAACTTTGTAATAAAATAAATTAATTTAAATATTCTAAATAATATATTTCGAATTGAATAGAATAGGTATAAATAATAAAATAACTGGAAATATTTGGTTAAAAGGGTTTATATTCAGTGTTAAATCAAACTGCGCTGTGAAGCATCAGTTTTGTATACAATTGTCTTTTAGACTCTTTTTTATAAGTTTGTGTGGATATTTTACTTTCATGATACAATCTTATTTTTACGTATGTAAAAATAATAGCATTTAATAATAAAAGTGAATGATCAACTTGTACTGAAAATAAATAATCCCCAGGGTGTATTGCAAATTCTATTATAATTTAAAAAACAATTTTTTTATTTTTATTTTATAAAAAAAAATTATTTATGTTTATTTACTTTTTTATTTTATATTATTATTTTTATGATAAACATTTATTATTATTATTATTTTGTACAATTATTATTTAAAATTGATAATAAATTACTGCGAGCTTGGCACTTCTGCCAAGCTCGCAGTGAACGTTCAACGGGTCCCTAAAAAAAAGGAATCGGTCCAGCCCTAACAACTACCGTTCTTCCTATATTTTATTATTATTGGCAAAATGTTTAAAAACAGTATAAAGCATATTATTTCATAAATTATAAATTCTCCCACTAATGTGGGAAAACCAAAATGATTTTTTAATGGTAACACTGATTCTAAATTACAATTATCAGTGTTTTATTTCAATTATAGCCTTATTTACGATATTATCAATACAAAAACCATAAAGTTACACGTGAAAAGTAATTCCGCATGATTTATTAATGTTTTGTGACCTTGAATCGCATTCTTTCACTACGCATTTAGCCATTTTGGCGATTGTTACTGTCATGTGTCGCTATGTTCAACTCGGTTGACGCCACATTGAATAATGAATTGACGTTTGCTACGCATATGCCTGTGGACATATGTGCAGTAGCAACGATTTTAGGCGGTAATTACTCATCTATGTAAGTATTATATCAATGGTTTGTGTAGGTACAATTTTATCTTAAGTGGTCCTGTATTATTTTTTTCATTTGGATGATAATTTACGGAAATCCTCCTCCTTTATTAAAATCGAGGTCATATTAAGTATTGGTAACGATAAATCAAATAATTGAATTTAATTAGTTTGTCTATTAGAATTTTGCACATGTCATGTTTTTATAATCAATGAATATTCAAAGTATCGTCTAGACTAGCTTTTATTTTATCTATGTTCAGTTTTATGTCATTCTTTGACTGGTGCGTTTCACTTCTGCATTTTGCATAAATAAGGCATAAAAGGAAACAATTTAAGAAGGTTAGAACTTTTATCTGTGTGTGACCGACCTAAGGGCCTGCATACACGGGTGACTTTTGTCACGGTGACAAAAAAGGTTTGTCACTGTCACATCAGTCTTGAAAGTGGAGTAGATAGCACGCACGAAGAGAGCGGTACGTTGTCGATTTATTTCATATTTATTTAATATTTTGTGTAGTTTGAAGTAGAAGTATGGGGACACTTCGAAATAAAATTCGCTATACTGAAGAAAGAACCTTTCATGGCTCTCAACTCAATGCCCTCAATGCCCTCAATGGGTGAATTCAATATGCGTGACATCTTTTGATACGTCTGTTACGCCGCCGTAGTATTAGATACATTAAATTTTAGTTCTGTCATTTATTTAGAACTGTATTAAACTGTATTAAATTAAATTAATTAATTAATGACGTCAATTGGCCTCGAAGAAGCTCGGTGTCCTGAACAGATCTCGGAAGTATTACATGGATATTTTTTACTTCCGTATAATTTTGAATCTGTTGGATTATGGAAGAAAAGGAAACTAATTTACAGGATTAACGACAACGTATTCACAGAGCTAGACAGTAACCAACAAGAGAGCGTAGAGAAAAAAAAACCGTCATAGGTACAGTTGACGTTGATTTTAAAATATTGTGTTTACAAACTATGAAGTATTAACACTTAGGCGTCATTTTGCTATAAAAACTGTTAAATCAAACCTTCCGTGACAGTTTTGTCCCGGCCTGGTTGGCGGACAAAAATGTCACCCAGTTGTCACGTCACTACCTGCTCGCACTTTCATATAAAGTTACAGGCCGGACTACAGTGACAAAAAAATCACGGTGACAAAAGTCACCCGTGCGCGCTCTCTCTAATACAGAGGACAGAAAAGAAAATATACTACTGCTGTCAAACGTATGCTTGAAGATTCGTAAAAAAAATTACGTTCAGTGTCAATAGTACAATGTACTGCTGCTAGGTTAATAGGTCTAGTGATTATGAAAAATACCAGTTTGCAAAATAACTGCATTAATCTTTTAAGTGTTTGAAAGTTAGTGTTTGATACCGTTGTCAGTTTTATTAATTTTGTATCGAGGGCAGTGAACTTGTACATGTCATCAAAATATTGTTAATTAATTGAAAGGATATTTGATAAAAAAAATAAAAATGGTTGAAGCAAGTAAACTGTGGTTTGAAAAAGCATGCAGTAGCTGTAGCTGCAGCGAGCTCATCCACCCTTGGACGTACAAATGTTCAGATGCTACGGCAACTATGTTAATGAGCAATATCAGAGGCAGTTATAAGTTTTATGCAATGGTGTACCTTGTAAGTATTTTGTTTTGCCGCACTTTGAACTGGTCTGTATCATTTATTTTTAGTAGATTAATTTTATCTATATATAATTAATAATATATTTAAATAAATAGAAAATAATATAAATTTCTAATTTTAACTTATACCGTTTTCTGGCTAGGTTCTGGAATTTTAATTGAAGAATGAGTTTTTCTTTATGTATGTGGAATGTACATACGAACCTTTTTCAACTTGAGATTGAAGCATTATAACATCATAATAAATTGTTAATTTAATATTAATTTATCCAATAATATTTTTCTAAAACTATCATTAACATTAGTACTAGAACGCTACTTTACAGGAGAAAGAAATATGTTGGATAGTCAAACGTTTATCCTTATACAAAAACAAATAATATTATTAATGGATTTCTTTCTGTTTTCTGCATTTGGAATTAACTTAAGAAAACTTTAAGTAAGTGTCACCACCTCTATTCATCCCATTGGTGTTGTATTTGCCGACTAAGGGAGCAAACTACGCAGGACAACAGCACTGCAAAGAGAAGGAAAACTTAATACAAACCCTATACCAACCCGTCTGGCCGGCGTGATATAGTAGGCCAATACCTCCTTTCTAAGGAGAGGCCTATGTCAAGCAGTGGACTAATAAAGGCTGTTGATGTGATGTGTCTATTACAATATTTCTAAAATAAAATAAATGTTGAATTGCCTATTAACATACCTATCAAGAATTAAAAAAGTTTTATTTTATATTATTAAGATAACCATTTTGTTCTTCCTATTTGCTTCCATACTAATTGATATAGTTATAGAGGTACAAAATATATACTTCAATAAAACAGCATCATCAATCATCGTCAACAGCCTTTAATAGTCCACTGCTGGACATGGGCCTCTCCTTAGAAAGGAGGTTTTGTTCTACTATAAATAAAACAGCATTAGTGTAACAAAAGAAGTAACTTTCTACAAAAAGCGTTCTAGGACTTAAACACCAAATAATTTAATTGCACAGATGGCGTAATGGTTTAAGCGGTCACGCCGCTTACTACTATGCTGAGTGGTGTGGGTTTGATCCCCACATGGGATGAGACTTTGTGTGATCCACAAATTGCTATTCTGAATCATTTTGTGTCTGTTTCGTGTATGTTTGTAAAGTACCCCACTACACAGGATATATTCCTAAGGTGGGAATTGTTTTTTTAAAGAAAAAAAGGAAGAAATTTTTTAAATATTGTTCAGTAAAATAACTTATGAGATAAACAAAAGATCAACAAGCATTTAGAAGAGAAATGATGCATTTTATTGAAAATCATTATTTTAACTAAGTAATAGTATAATGCACTGTTGAAAATAAGTAAAACCTATATAACTTTCTTTTTGTAGTTTGTAGTTTCATTGTATGTTAAAGTTACCTTATAACTAATGTTAACATTCAACAAAGAAAAAATCAAAAAACATTTTCATTGCTTGTATATTTGGTAATTAATATGTTTATCCAAATCAGTATGTCAACCAAAACCAGGAATTGGCATCATCATCATCTCATGGCATCATGGGTCTCGATCAAATTGATAGTGTTGTGATTTTGAACTTTTGTTAACCGTTTAGCAGTCAATGTTGATGGCAAAACTGTGCGTTAAAGTATGAAGTTAAGTAACTTAGTTTTACTACTTATCATAATGAAACTAGCACATACATTCATAGTATTAAGAATAGGACCTTTGAAATAAAATATGAAAACATCAATCTCTGCCCGAACAAAATTATCATGTATGCACATTAACATATAGTTAAAAGTTTGACCTTCACCTTGACTGACAATGAGGCTGGAGTGCAGTCTTGCTCATACAATTAGTTCCAAGATAAATTGAAAATCTCACCTAAATTGTTAATTCTAAGGGCATACAATAAATTTTATGATTTGTGTAATTGTTTCAGATTCAAATATTAATGAAAGGAAAGAAACTGTCAAAGAAAGAGATGGTGGAACAGTTCAAGATGTATTTGAAGTCTGGCATTTTTGGTTTGACCGTTGGAAGTTCATTTGTCACACTAAATTGTATATTCAGGTAAAGCTGTATAAAATTTAGAACCTATTTGAAATTTCAAACTCATTTTATGTTAATAATTATGCCTAATTACTGTTTTTAATTGTGTATTCTGATATAAAAATAACTTTGCTTAGATAAGTGATTAAGATGATTTTCATAATATGACGTATTGTTTGCTAACAGCAATGAACATTTTATGTAAATATGATTTTTATAAGGTATTTAATTTTTTACAAATGTGTGATGAGCCTGCTATCTGAGCATCAGATCAGAGCAAACGTGATAAACAATTGTGTAAGTAATCTGTTTTAGGTTTTTCCTTGAGGTAAAAAAATAACACTTTTGAGTAAACAAAAGCAGAATATATAAACAACTAGCTTTAAGTGTTGATAAAATTTATGCCTATGTCCTATTCTAGACTACGAGGGCGGGTCTATAAGTCCGTGACTTTTTGAATTTCTGACCTCTTTACTGAAAAAGCAACACTACTCCTATCAACAGACATCTGTCAGTTGACTCCTGTCAAAATTTGAACTTGCTGCGTCAGTTAGTTTGTGTTTGACAGCTATCTTTATCAGACTACCCAGTAATTTGAGGAAAAAATGGAAAAAAGTGAATTTCGGGAGCTTATTAAGCATTATTTTTTGCGAAAAAAAACCATTACCGAGACCAAGGCTAAGCTTGATAAATACTATGGGGACTCTGCACCATCGATTTCAATGGTAAAAAAGTGGTTTACTGAATTTCGTTGTGGCCGTACAAGCACTGAAGATGCCAAACGTCCTGGACGCCCAGTTGAGGTCTCTTCACCCGAAACAATCGAAAAAATTCACGATATGGTGTTGGCCGACCGAAGATTGAAAGTGCAAGAGATTGTGGAAGCCGTAGGGATCTCGCATGGCTCAGTGGTTTCAATTTTGAATGATCACTTGGGTGGGATCAGTCGACTACAAACGCAATCGTGTAACAACTTCACAGAAAGTTTTGGCGTTGTTTAATCGCAATATGGAGGAGTTTTTGCGCCGTTTTGTAACCGTGGACGAAACATGGATCCATCACAACACACCAGAGACCAAACAACAGTCAAAACAGTGGGTTTCTAAGGGTGAATCGGCGCCAAAGAAGGCCAAGGTGGGTTTGTCAGCCAATAAAGTTATGGCGACTGTCTTTTGGGATGCACGCGGGATAATCCACATTGACTACCTTCAAAAGGGAAGAACAATGAATGGGGAATATTATGCCAACTTATTGGGCCGATTCAATGACGATTTGAAAAAAAACCGACCTCATTTGGCCAAGAAAAAAGTTCTTTTCCACCCACTACTACGAGCTAACTAAAATGTATAAAAATGATTAATTTTAGAAAATATTTTTTCTGCGCGATTTTCATTAAAAATAGAATCGCAAATGTTTGCATTCTTTTTTAGTTCAGAAAACACCGAAAACCATATCAGATCTTCGGCAACTTGTCCGTTTCTAAAAGCCTTAGTAATAGGAGTATTTAAGAGTGCATATAACTTGGCATATTCAGGTCTATTTTGGTTGTTTAATACCTATCCATATTAGCGTCCTACAAACAATATACCTACACACATCAAAAAAGTCTAAGCAACACGCATCATTAACAGAAACTGCATGTTATTTTATTTTTTCCTTTGAAATATCAAAGAAAAAAATACTTCACTAATACATACCAATCTACTTTAAGAAACAATAAAATATTATTGCTTTTTAGCAAAAGTAGATTGGTATACAAACTTTTTTTGTTCTCGGCAACATATAGTTGCTGATTAAAAAATAGAAAAATTTCGATTGTGTTTGGTTTTCATTAAAATTAAAAGAAAAATCTCGATATGAAATCGAGAAAAAAATATTAGGTTTAATTTGTGTTTCGTTGCTTGATAAATTGGGTATATGTCTCACTTTCATCATTTTGAGATAAACAGCTTTAAAAAAAAGTGGTGAGTCATTTTTTATATCATGGAGCGACGCCATTTGACTGCTGATGGAATACAGAGAGCTGTGGGAATGCTACAAGCTGGAAGTAATCAGTCCCAGGTATCTCGGCATTTTGGTGTCAATAGGAGCGTGATTTTTCGTCTATGGCAGTTTTATGTTAATACAGGGGATCCTGCTGAGCAGCGCCCAGGACGTGGAAGGAGTACAACTGCTCGACAGGACCGATACATACAACTGACTACGAGCACGACGCCCAATTAGGTGCCCATCTATACGCCTTGGAAATTGCGACCATCGAAACGAATGGTGTAGGAACTACTTTACATGGACCCAGGAGCAATAGCATACGACAAGGGTAAGAGTGCATCGTCGTCCGGGAAATGCTGAACGGCTGACATACGTCCAGGAAGTGCACCCCAACAGTGGCTCCACAGTGATGGTATGCGCAGATATTATGAAGAACCGACGAACTGAGCTCGTTTTTGTAGATGGCAATGTGTAACGTTACGTTGAAGATATCTTCGAGCCTTACGCTCACCCATTTGCACAAAGTCTTGGCTCAGATTTCACGCTGATGCATGACAATAATGCGCGTTCGCACACAGCTCGGAAGACCAGAGAGTACTTTGCAATGGAAAACACCCGGGTATTGCCATTGCCTGCATAATCGCCAGACCTCAATTCCATCGAGCACGTATGGGACATGCTCCAGAGACGTGTTCTAGAGGACCTGGACGGAGTGTCGACAACCTAACAACTGAGACTTGTTAAAATTCGATTGAGAGCGATGGCAGCAGGATCTGATAAACAATCTTAAAAATTCAATGCAAAAATTGTTACCGACAACTTTTAAACAACAGAGACAGTCACACTTTGTATTGAATTACCAAATAAAAAATAAATAAATTGCAAAATATGAAAAGTTTCATTTCTTTTTAACTTTATTTCAAACTATGTATGTTACAGTAAACATACCTACTTATTGTTATAAATTGTAATTAAATAAACATTTGAGTAATGGCTTTTGTTTCTTTAGTTACTAATTCATCAAATAATGCTTAGTTATTATTTATAAAAGATATAAACATATATAGCAATAGTAAAAATCGTTCAAAAGTTGAAAAACGTACATGTTGCTTAGACGTTTTTGATGTGTGTATTATGGTGCCGCTTTGTTTCTAAGAAATGTCAGTTTAACTGTTGAGATTAAACTTAAAAGTAACCGATTTGACGATAGAAAATCTGTAATTTCATACAAGTTCCAACATAACCTTTTGCTTACTTCATACGATATGCGACGTCGAATAAAGAAACTGATTTGTTTGATAGGTAACTACCGTGTTGATAAATTATAATTTAGAAAACATAATACAAAAGTTAAATCATACAATTACTATACATATATGTCCGTATTGTTCGTTTGGTGACTAATTAAGAAAACGGAATTTCACCACCCTTATTCATTCTGTGGGTGTCGTAAGAGCTGACTAAAGGAGCAAACTACGCAGGACAACAGCACTGCAAAGAGAAGCAAAACTTGAAACAAACCCTATCCCAAACCGTCTGGCCAGCGTGGTATAGTAGGTCAAAACTTCCTTTCTAAGGTGAGGCCTATATCCAGCAGTAGACTATTAGAGGCTGTTAATGTTTCTTATGACGAAAGTAATTCACAATATAAGTAATTTAAAGTTAAAGTAAACACAGGCCAGGGATTTATAAGATAAATGCGAAATAAGATTAATACATTATTTTACGAAGAAGATATACGATTTTAATATTTTTTTACAGGAAATTATTCTTTAGCGAATTCTCATACTACACTACAGTGTTGCTACCATGTACTGTCAGTGGTCTAGCTGTATATTTCGAGCCTCCATACCGAAGAGTAATGGTCCTTAACTTGTTCGTAAATTTGGTAAGTGCATTTATTTTATTAACTTTCTCATTAAATTTATAGCACCTTATCACAAAAAAACAGTTTGGTGCGAACGCACCTGAAAGTTGGTAATTACATTGTGTTGACACTAATCGGATAGGGACGTCACGTGCACTATAAAACTTACAAGGCTACAATGCGACAGTAACAGCGTCAACTGTTAGCTGAAATATTAGGGACGATAAAATATATGTTTAGTATTATTGCTCGACTTGACGCGAGCGAATCGAACTAAACGTAAGATTGCATTAACTAATGGCAATCATAGATCACGGAATAATGTTCACAAAAAGTGAGCATATAAGGTCGTAAATTAGTCAGTACGGTCTGATTAAGGTGTGTATCCTAAAAAAATACGAAGGTATCGAAAAAACACATATATTTACTACTAAATTACGTACTTACAATAAAGGTTACAGATATAATTGAAAAGAAGGTTAATATATCCTGGGTTAACATGGAATGTATATTAAAATTCGGTTTTAGCTTCTTATATTAGTCCATAGTAAATGGTGCAAACGGGTCACTATCACCACTCATGGACACCTTTTTTTTCCGTGTGAAACTCCCCTCGGATACCACCCACCACTGGTGCGATTAACTTGGACTCTAACCGATCAAAAACCGCACGCCGTCTCCTGGTACCAGTAGCCGGGGAACCAGGTATACCCTAGAAAGGAAAGCCCTTTTACCGCGACGTACCACCGGCTATCTACAGCGGGTAGACGACCCTCTCCTTTGTGGGAACCCCAATGTTCCTTCCGCGAAGGGCGTACTCGTTCCGTAGCGCGTCGCGCCGCCATCCACCCCAACCCATAGACACCTGACACCACACCACACATGGTCTACTCAAAGGGCGGCAACTCGTAAACGGCTCACTGCAGGTGTGTGTAAGTTTATTTCACATCGACTCGATCTTCACGGTGACCGCGTTCGGAGAGTTACTTAACACCGGTCTTCTGTAAGGCCGTCGTATCACTCCGGTTTCACCGGCCCATATGTGTGAAAACATGTCTCTTCCACGAAAATATCGAATATGATCTGATTACTTTAACTAATCGCATCTCTAATTCTCTAATATCAATTATTATGGCCACTGTTCTCTATTCTACTGTGTTTGATCAGTTCACATATATTAACCTTAATCGTCTGCCTTATATTTTATTGACAGCATGATTAAATATGTAACTAATATTTAACTTAAAAACAAAAACGACTTCAATGCGATTACTCGTTCAAATGAAAAAAACAAAACCAAATCACCACACAAAAACCAAATTGGTTACTGCGGCAAGGGACATAGGGGCGGCCTGATTGCAACAAAATGCGATCGGGCTCCTAGATTAATTGATAGGCGAGGGACGGCTTTTGGCTTACCTCGGGGGAGGGCCTAGTAGGTGCGGCGTCGATCCGGGGTTGACCTGAAATCACATGGTCTGGGTCCTCCCCGGAGTACGGCCCCTGAGGCCGGTCGTCGGGGTGGTTTTTAGTAGAAACACCACATACTCCTGGCTCATGCGTCCCCCGAAGGGATTTACCACCACATCACTAAAAAAAGGGTTCTTTCCGTTGATCTAGAACTATGAAATTTCGAAGTAACATCGTCTTATACTACAAGTACAGGGATAAATCTGAAAACTATACATGTGTATTTAAATAAAAAAAAAACTTTATTTAAAGTATGTAATCAATCATCGAGGTAAAATTTCACTTATAAAACATAAAGATAAAAGTAATTAGTTATAGCTTCTCGAAACTGAATTTCGGGAAAAGCTCGGAAAAAACTGTGAGACACGATTCATGAACTATTCATAGTATGTACCTACAGATTACCTAGGAATCGTCTCAGGGCGAGTCTGACTCGCCCTTGTCCGGATTTTATTTTTAAGTAAGTTGGCTAATAGTATGTAGTCTATAATATTAATAGTAGGCCAGAATCTCCTTTCTAAGTATTTAGTCTATATCCAATAGTGGACTATTAAAGGCTGTTGATGTGATGATGATAAATAATTGGACGGTTAATGAGATTTACCTCTTGATGTCGAACTTGTGCTCTTAAATAGCGTTATAAATCGAGTATTAAAAATTGTGACATGCTAAACGGGGAAAACACAATCTGCCTCGTATTTCCCATTTTTGGTAACTAAACTACTACACAATAAGCGATTAGCGTCAGTAAGTAAAGCGGCCGATTCGTAATCTCTAAATTTTTGATAATATTTCTGGTTTACCCACCAGGATACTATATTTTCCTGGTCTGATGTTAAAACAGTTACAATAGCAATAACTATAAACTATGTTCTCTACATTAAATCTCTTGTTCTTCAAACTTTTCCTCGTATTATGATTATATTACAAACTAATTGTTACTGTAGGAATTCACGCGGTTATTATATTCCGAGGTACTACTACAAGGTTGATTTGGCCGTGGTCACAGACAGACAGTTATTTATATATTGTGTGTGTACGTATATTGCTATATCTACAAATGAATGTTTTTATTTGTTTGAACTATGTATTTATTCCTGATTTGCCCTTAAATTCTCTACAATCCACTATTTATTATAAAGGCTCACTGGTTTATTATAAAGGACACATATCCCAGTCACTTATATATACATAAATTAGTGTGTACAATCCATACTCATATTATAAATGTGAAAATGAGTTTCTTTGTATGTTTGTTTATTTGTTACGCTTTCACGCCTAAACTAATAAACCGATTTTAAAAATTATTTCACCAATGAAAAGCTCTATTATCATAGGCTATTTTGTACCGCAATTTTGTAATTATTTTTTAATTAAAAAAAGCTAGTAAAGAATAAATGAAATGAAGACATACAAATAGATACCCTTACCATGATCAGTCACAGTCCGAATTAGTTGTAAACGTCAGGTAAATCCCCGAAGTAATCTTATTACTATCGCGTGTGCTGTTACGATAGTGAGTCATTCGCACATGCTGGAGTCTTGATTCGTAAGTAAACAAGTTGTGTCCCAATTCCATCACGTCACATTAGTGTAGGAAATACATAATAGGTCTTTACCTATGAAATTGCCGTTTTGTATTGCAATAAGTGAAAGTACTTATTTTTTCAAACTTTTTTATTTCTGTTATTCGAAGTAATCACCCTTGCAATCGACGCATCTTTGCCCACGCATTGGCAGTTTATTGATGCCCTTCTTGTAAAAATCAGCTGGACGGGAGGCAACAAACTCTTCAAAGGCATTTTGTACTGCCTCTCGGGGATTGAATTTTTTACCCACTAAAAAGTTGTCTAAATTTTGGAAAAATTTTTACACCACCCAAAGGTTGACAGGAAGAGAATGCCCTGGGCATTAAGTCCGCCGATGTACAAAAGAGCATAAAGTTAAATAAATTAATAAATTTTACTTTTATAAATTTAGTCTTACTGCCGTAATAGGTCATACTTCCCTATTACCATCAACCGGGCACCTATTAAATAGAATAGTTAAAAAGATAGGTAGATAAGAAGGGAAGGCATAGTAGAAAAAGGGATGGAGTAACCAATATCAGCAACTAGCTTATGCCCGCGGCTCCGCCCGCGTGTATGTCGATTATCGCGGTAATTAGTAGCCTATGTCCTTGCACAAGAATCAAAATATCTCCATGCCAAATTTCATTTAAATCGGTTCTGTGATTCCTCATACAAACTTCCACCCACCTTTTCACCCCCTTCAAGGAAGATTTCTGGGATAAAAACCATCCTATGTCCTTTACCGGGACTCAAGCTATCTAAATATCAAATTTCATCTAAATTGGTTCAGCGCTTAAAGCGTGAAAAGGTAACAGACAGACAGACAGATACACTTTCGCATTTATAATATTCGTATGGATAGCTTACAAAGCAATAGCAAGTTAAGATGGCATGCCTGTAAGTCGAACCGGCTGTTGCTGGAAGAACCGAGCCCCCTACCGCATAAAAATTCAGACGAAAAACTAGATAAAATCAAATAAATTCTTCTTCGAGTCGACTTAGTGGGGGGGCCTTTGGACTTTAGATATCATTTTCACTTGACATTGACTCAGCCTATTTTCAGCATGTGGAGACTCCCCGCACGGTATCAGAACGGCATGATAACGCGTAATGTGACAAGATATAGTATATTCTGATATTTATCAAAAACAGCATAGCTACTAATGAATTTTATCAGTGATTATAACATATCTGTACCTTAGATTTCTTCTTAGAAATGAATAAAAAAATAGCACCATTAAATGACAATACATAAATATCATGCACATCGCCGGTCAAGAAAACGACTAAAAAAAAGCCTTGAGATATACTATCTCAATTCCTTGATGATATATTTATCATAACTCCAAAGGTTATTTAGTATCATTAAGAATATTAAACTCGGATTATGTTTTATACTAAAACTAACGAAAATATGAGGGAGTTACTTTCTTCAAAATTAATTTGCCTTGAATATATAGTTCCTTTCCAATTTAGACATATAGTTGGGAGGCTTATAATTAGGTTTAAAGAAGTTTATTCTATACTCAAGAACGTTACAGTCCAGTTAGTGAGCATAATATAAAAATAAACAAAGTAATAACAAGGAACAGCGATCGTAGGTTTCTAAATCAATGACTCAAAAAAGTTAAGAAAAGAGATTGCATTGTCTTATGTTTTATGTCACATCATCACATCATATCATCAGCCTTTAATAGTCCACTGCTGGACATAGACCTCACCTTAGAAAGGAGGTTTTGGCCTACTACACCACGCTGGCCAGACGGGTTGGTATAGGGTTTGTGTCAAGTTTTCCTTCTTTTTGCAATGACGGTGACCTGCGTTGTTTTGCGCCCTTAGTCGGCTCTTACGACACCCACGGGATGAATTGTCGTAGTGACATTCCGTATTCTTAATCCGTCACTACACGGACATGTTTTATGTACTTACACGAAATTTTATTTTGTACATATTATATTTGTAGGGTCCGTTATGGTTAATCACTAACCGTAACGTAATATCATTTGTGTTATTTATGTATTGAACCTTCCTACATACTATTTTAATATTTTTTTTCAGGTGTTTGAGTACTGGGTACGGACGTTGGAAATGAAAGGATGGCTCCGGCGGTCTCCCGGCAAGGAGACCATGATCTTCATGTTAGGTAGCGCTGTCTTCTTCTATTTCTTGCGATTAGATAGAGAGAACAAGAAGCGAACTCCGTTGTTCTGGTATGTATATTTAAGATGATATTTCATTTCTAAACAACGGCCCGTTTAAACTATTACCATTTTGAAAATAGGTGTAAACGATCGCAAATATATCTATATACTTTTTTTAATTACTTCTGATATCACTACTTTCTATTTTAAAGTCTCTATTACGTTAAAACGGTATTACACACTTTGAACCCTATTGCAAAATATTGGACAAATAACGACAAAGGGAGATAGGTAGACCTTTGAAACGACATCGGACTTACGCTGTGTTTGAGTTTAGAGTGCTGTTAATGCCAAAAATAGCATACATACATATGTATGCAGTTTTGTGCTACATAGAATTATTTTATACAAATATTATTAATTTTTACTCAACCTGATATGCACTGAGGCGGGTCTTTGATACCGAAACATTTTAAATCTGAAAACATTCCAAGAATCACATTAAAACATACAAAATACTAAAATGAATAGTAGAGTAGCAATAAGTAAAATTCTGTTTTCATGGACATGACGTAACCATTTCGTTAAATAATTAACTTATTTCGCTTACTATTTCGTGTTGAGTATTTGAATTACTAGCCATTGATTGCGAATGATTGCCCACGATATACATACAGTACTAAAGTTCTTCAAGGCCTAAAATTAGGGGCATTGCCCTTATGTTTATTAATAGGAAACATAATAATTTGTTTATCATCGACCGCATTGGAATTGGAAAGTTTAGACTATTCTGTAATTTCACGAGAGTAATCCGAATAAACCCGTAATACCCGTCACTACCCCAATTCATCCCGTGGGTGTCGTAAGAGGCGACTAAGGGCGCAAAACAACGCAGGACACCAGCACTGCAAAAAGAAGGAAAACTTGATACAATCCCTATACCAACCCGTCTGGCCAGCGTGGTATAGTAGGCCAAAACCTCCTTTCTAAGGAGAGGCCTATGTCCAGCAGTGGACTATTAAAGGCTGTTGATGTGATGATGATGACCCGTCTGGCCAGCGTGGTTTAGTAGGCCAAAACCTCCTTCCTAAGGAGAGGCCTATGTCCAGCAGTGGACTAATAAAGGTTGTTGATGAATCCGAATAAATTGAATTTATCCAAAGTACTTATTTAACTGCATTATTAGGATCTTTATCAATCACATGGAAAACAGTGTTTATACTTCAGAGAAAGCATCTACGAGTATAAGCCAACATCATTTATATATATTTACACGTATATCTGTACAACATTTTGTGTCTTTGCCTGTGTGTAAGGATTTCATTGGGCAAAAAGTCCCTCAGCTTAGATTTTTTTATCGCATAGGGGGCAAACAAGGAGACGTAACCTTATGGTGAGTGACTACGCGCCCATGGACACTGCAACTCAAGTCAAAAGTCCATTGCGTCTTGTCAGGGGAAGAAGAGGTTTGGGTTTCGGGAAAATTACTCGGTGAAAAGTAAAGAAATAATAAGTCAACACCGGTTTTCTGTGAGGAAGTTGTATCACTCCGGTCGAGCTCGGGCCATTTGTGACTTAGCATGGCTCTTCCACGATCGAGAAAAGTTGCCATTTTTGTCGAGCGAGTTAGATATTAAGAGTATTTTTGAAAAAGTTATCGCTACCCTATTTGTGTGATAGTGATGTATGACTATTTGTTTCAAAACACTTTTATGACTTATGATTTTTAAAATATTTTTAGGTTCTTCACCCCGCCTCGAGTGTCCAAGGAAGTGGGAGAGCCGGTCGAAGGCATCAAAGGTAGAAGTGCTGCATGTCCGCACAGTGGCCCGTGTATAAACTATGTTTTAAAGGTAGGTAATTATTATAAACATTTTTCATAAAATATTATCAACAGCCTCTAACAGTCCACTACTGGATTTAGGCATCTCCTGAGAAGGGAGGTTTTGGCCTACTATACCACGCTGACCAGACGGGTTGTTATAGGGTTTCTTTCAAGTTTTCCTTTTCTTTGCAGTGCTATTGTCCTGCGTAGTTTGCTCCTTCAGTCGGTTCTTTCGGCTCCCACGGGATGAATAGGGGTGGTGACACTTTGTATTCTTAATCCATCACCACACGGACATAAATACTTGAAATCATAAAATATACGACTCAATAATTTTGTTGTTTTTAATGATTGTTGGGGCTTTACATTTAATATTTCGTCATATTCAACTCTCCATTTTGAATTATAGTCACTTTGACCGGCCAAATTAGATGAAAATAAAATATTGAAATTATTTTATTACAATAGGTACATATGTTGTGTTATTATTATTTCAGGGTACAGCACAACTGTTCGGTGTTGGATGTGCGATGACAATGCTGAGAGCGATACTACCCAAGATATTAACACCCACCAAAGCGTTGAAATCATTAAGATTTTCACATTTGAAGCTGGGATTGTTTTTCGGTGGATATATCGGTATTTATAGGGTAAGTATTTTTGATTTCAATTATTCTTTGGCACTGATTGACATGTAGATTTAAGATTAAGGGACAAAGGATTTCACCGATAGGACTGATTAGTTAAATAAGACTATTTAATAATTTTGTCTTGCTAATTTTTAAACGACGGCAATTAAGCGTCTTAACATTGAGCGGCTACAATGAGTGGATATATAATAATAATAAAATAATAATGGTTTTCCGACATCTGAAACACAACGCTATCTATTTTCAAACTAAGCAGAGTTTGTACTATGAAAGCTAGATTGATTGATAGAATACTTATATACTTTTTTTTTATATTATATTTGATATACATAGAAAACACCCAAACTCCGAAACAACTATTTGCAGATCATACAAACATTTGATCCGACCTGGGAATGGAGTCCAAGTCCTCAGCACAGCAGTCGCATACGCTGCCACTGCACCACCAATGCAGTCAATAAGTTTTAGATCTCTAGGTCTATCTAGGTAGATGTTAATACATAGAATGTCATAAACGTTTTCCTAATTTGCATTTTAATGGGAGTTTAAAACTTATGTTTACAAATTCCTCATGACTTCTTCATCTTGAAGGTAATGCCTGTATGTCGTGTGTATCGTAGTGTCGTTATCCATTGCTGCTTTAATACTAGTAAATTAACAGAGCTATGTAATGTTTCAGTTAATAGTGTGCCTGCTATGTAGAGCGCACGGACGTGACAGCGCGCTGTACGCGTTACCAGCCGGCTTCCTCTCTGGCCTCGCCTTCAGAGCCGCGCCTTCCACTCCTATCGCTTTAGCTCCTCTTACCTCAACTTTGCAGGTAACTTGAAATTTGTTCTAACAATAAAAAATAAATTAAAAAATATTATACACGGTGATTTTTTAGGCGTTTTGGAAACGAAACATTTGAATTTGGAATCATCTATAGTACCAATAAAAATGATTAAATCAATTGTAATGTTGTCTAAAAAAAAGTTTCAGTTTTAATATTCATTTTTACTCGATCGACTTGGAAAGTAGTAGTGGACTGATCATTCATTCATTATCTTATATGAATGAAACACGTCCGTGGGCGTTTCGGCGGCCGCTGCGCACCGCTGACGCTAACAGCAGCTGATAAAAGTATACCTATAGGCGCGAGCTAGCAAGTACTTACGTAGATAGACTCCAATTTGTCCTTCATACTTTACACGGGCTTAGGATCGTCAGAAATACCTATTTTATTTAAACTTCTTTTCGATTATTAACCACGATTGTTCTTTTCACAACAAATCAATTTATCAACGGACTGTAGATATAAATATTTCAAGCGTATTTAAAAAATCGGAGCTATCTACAGAATAATTAACTTACATACCTATTTACACTATTTACACTTCTCTGTATCCAAGCAACTGCTCAAAATGGAGTCCGCTGCATTCAATACACAAACGTCCACGTTTAATGCAATTGTTTTTTTATTTTCTAAATGTGTCTCTATCACTTTTCACTTTATCAAAAGCGTCCACTATCGCAATGCGTAAATTATCACGGCTTTCATATTCCCATGTATAAACAAATATTTTTATTTCCGACCATAAGAAAAAATCCAGGGGCGTTAAGTACGGGCTTCTAGGTAGCCAAGGCACTGGCCCTCCTCGACCTATCCACCGATCACTAAACTCATTGTCCAGGTATGCACGCACTACACTCCGGCGAATAATAATTTAAACGTCCTTGACCTTGCGCGTGAGCGCGCGACCTTTATGTGACTCGATATTAAAACGCATAGTATGTATTTCTATTCGTAGTATTTACCTACGTGTGATTGAATAGCCTACTACTACTGGTTCTCACTTTTTCTCTGTAAACGATATGAATATCGACTTTGATGATAAAAAAAACATATATTTTATTAAATTAACGTTATATATAGCTTCTGTTACTGATAAATAACTCAAAATTTTCTTTTCCAAAACGCTTTCAAAATCACCGTGTATATGCCTGTTGTCAATAGTAAAAAGCATCCACGCTTTTTTTCAAATTTATTAAATTTTTCTATTTTTTTAATTTGGTTTTCTAAAAAAAGCGTGTTTTTTAGTTTTTCAAAACTAAATTTTTTAATTATTATTTTTTTAAATTAGTGTATTGTCATCGGTCCTCGATATATCTACACAGTTTGAACGAATTCGAACGTTCGAACGAAAAAAACGGACGAAAAAACCGACCTGACTGAGTCGGTTACAAACAAACATACAAACATACAAGTGAAGCTAACATAAAGCGTGTAAAAAAATACATATTTCTTACTAGCTTTTGCCCGCGGCTCTGCTTGAGCCAGACATTTGGCTGAATAAAGTAGATAGTTACAATATTTGTAAATAATACTACTTACTGTGACATATTGTAGTGCAGCTTAGAGGCAACTTAACATATTAACTTTTAGCAAATATAAAAAAATACTACACGAATGACACTGTAAGGAAATTTTTTCTTTTTTCTTTTTTCTTCAAAAAAACAACTCCGCATTAGGAATATATCCTGTGTCGCAGGGGACTTTACAAACATACATGAAACGGACACAAGGAACACCCAGACTCAGAACAACAATTTGTGGATCACACAAAGTGTCGTCCCGTGTGGGGATCGAACCCACAACACTCAGCGTAGGAGTAAGTGGCGTGGCGACCACTACGCCATCCGTGCAGTCATCTGTTGCATTCAATCGAAAATTATACTACCTTGTGTGGTCTTCTAAATATATTCAAAAACCAACCAGTAATTAAACCAACAATCATCGACTTTAGTTTTATTTCTTTTTAGATAGAGCATGAAGTCCCAATACCTTTTAACATATTGTTATCCACAGATTCTAGGCTCATGGGGCTATCAAAAAGGAATGATTCCCGCCAACTTGCCGTTGATCGAAATCTTGTACTGTCTCTGCCAAGGGCTTCTATTTCACGCGCGGGTCATGCACGAAGATGTGTGTCCGAAGTACATTATTAATTTGATGCACACCGTTACGAGTTCCAAGTAAGTTTATGTTGATTATTAAATGTAGATAATAATAATAATAACCTCACACATCTCACACAGTCAGTCTGCTCCCAAATTTGGCAGAACCTTTGTTTAGAAATTATTTGAAAAATGTTAAACAGTTTTGCTGTTCGTGTTTTAGACCACTTAGCGCTAAATTATCAAGAATCACACTATTTACACAGCTGTGTTCAATAGGTTCAACCACTCCAATCAATTATGACCGTTTTTGGAACAAAAATAATGTCTCTTTTCTTAGCCACGATTGAATTGTTTTTTGTTAGAACGAAAAATAAAAACGTTCCATATTTAAATGCTAGTTCTATTTTATCACGAAGCTCACACATCACAACTATTTTTTTTTAATTTTCAGGGCCGACGAAATCCAAGCAGGTTTTATACAGAGAATCGTGAAGTTGATTTGAATTGGTATAATTAATTTATATATTGTTTTATTAGCAGTGTTCGGTGTAAGTTACTGGTGAATGTTATTTATTTTTCTGCTAGTTTATGGTAATGTAATTTTTAAATTACTGACAAATTCTGTAGATAAACTTTAAATATTTAAGGTAAAGGTGATTGTATGGCTTAGTTAAGGGATAGAGTAACGGTAGTAATTGTCGGTCTGTTATAAATTGCTACTAATAGGTGCGACTGATTGACATTGATTTTATTTATTTACCAATATCTCGGCTATTAAACATTGTAATGTTAACATTATAGAAAGAATTCAATTTAGATGACACGATTCGCCTACATGTGTTGTTACAAATCATGATTAAAAAAGTTTCTATATTTCAAAATGGGGAATGGATTTGTCAAATAACAACAATAATAAGTAAGTTAATTAGGTAAAGATCTTCGTTTATTCTTCAAAATTAGAAAGAGATTTATTGGTTTGAGTACAATTGACTCAAAGACTGACTGACTAAGGAGAGTCCCTCTCGCCACGGTCCTCCGTCGCTACGGGCCTGGCACCCTCTGCGGGAAAACGGCCCCGTTCAAGACGAACTTGGACAGAAGCGACCGCGACGAGAAAGCGGAACCTCCCGAACACCACGTCTCAGGTATCACTATCAGGTAGGGGATAAAGATGTAATTGACAAATTGAGAGTAAATAATGCCTTGACAGAAACTGGGTTCGATATTTTAAAATTTTAAGACATTTAGTCGCTTTAGCCGAAGCAAATTTTTTTCTCCTGTCATGATGGTCATAAGTAATAAATCGAAATTCAAAATGTATGGCCTTAATACCAATCTTGTTATAGTGATGCATATAAAAATATTAACGAAATAAAAAGTTTCCTAAGACCACTGTGTAGGACCGAAGTAAGTTCTTTGTTTCCTGTCATGATGGTCATAATTAGTCAATCATAATTCAAAATTTATGTCGTTAATTATTATAATGCCCTTATTTTCTGTAAGAGTGCCGAAACCACTCTGGCGTACGTGATAGTAGAATAATTCATTACTGTAGAATGTCAAAAATTACCGAATCATTAGCTTTGTGAGTATACGGCGCGTGCTCAAACGAAAAATTAGACGTAAATTTCTTCAGTTTAAATTCTCTTTTGATTTTATTACAAACATACATAAACTCACACTCCATTTTTGACTTCTTGTTGTTAACACCAATGGGCCTAAACTTGCAGAAAAGTGTAAGAACGAGAGTGCTATATCTATTGCTATCTCGCTTCGATGATTTATGACCGAGTCTGCAGTGACTAAACAATTTTTACTACAGTCAATGTTTTGTATGGCAGTGTCTAATTATAGTGGATAAGTGGTAAAGTCGCCAAAACTCTGTAGCGACAGATAAGCAGAATTGTCAGTAATTCATTATGGTTAAAAAAAAACCTTTATATATTTATCTTTTCACTTCATTCACAGTCTTTTAATTTAGGTACACGTCTGTGATTTATTTTTTTAGGTTGTTTTACGGTACAGGGTTAATTTCATGGTGATATCAGTTACTTTATGGTTTGGTGTCTTTGTAAATTCAGTACTATGATATACTTAAAAAGTGCATTCTAAGTTAACAGATTAAAAAATATGCAGTTATTAAATAGACAGATTTATACGTAATAAAAATAATGTTAAGTATTTTGTGACGAAACATGACAAATAAATATCGACAGTTATATGAGCAAACTATTTTGAACAAATTTTTGTCGAAACCTAAAGTCGAAGAAACATTAGAACAGAAACTTTTTGTTAATCTTAGTCATTATTTGCTTTTAGTGTTTTCTAATGACGTTAATAAGTTATCTGCTGGTTTTATTATTTATAAGACACGGCGGCGCAAAGCCCTGTTCTAAAAAAAATAATGAAATCTGCATTTTAAAGAAATCAATCAAATATGTGGGTTTATAGTTTAAAGCTTATAATTGGTTATGCTAATAAAGTATTTTTTATTGCTTTCTAAGATTTTAACAAAATAGCTTGAAAAGTAAACAGTTAAATTCTAAAGGATTAGAGTTTAGTTGTTTACTATGAACTGAATAGAGTTCAGAGTTTGAACAGGAAACTGATCTAGTAGTTGCCTGTTTATTTTGAACACAACATAAGGTAGATTAGATTTCGCAAATAAATATATTTTTACTGCAATATACCAGTATTTTAGTGACGAAAAGGAATTATCTTATATAATAATTAGTTCAAATTAACAGAGAGGGTTTATCCTGATCTCTTGCTGTCATTAGATGAGGATTGAGATGAGGAGGAGAAACCAGTTACAATACGCCAATATACATAGGTATGCATAACACAAAATATCTATCTTGATCTGTAATATTATAATTTCAAAAGAATAGATAGATTTGTTAATTTTAGTATAATCAACATATTTAATAAAACTCATCAACAATAGAATTATATTATAATAATGTAAAATCTCTGAGGAAGTTGATTTTGATTATAAAACGGTGGTGTAATGACGTCACGTAGCGAATGTTAAACAATGAACAACGAGTCTTGAGAGATTTACATGTACATAACACACATGTAACATACATATGTGTACGTGACATTTTGTTCTACAAAATACAGCAGCAAAATAAGCTAAAAATAGCGGTTAAATGTAACTTGTACAGAAGATAAAAGTATCTGATCACAATTTTACTGTCTGTAAATATTTATTTCCCATTCTAGTACACAGTCTAATTATTTCTAAGCTAATAAATGTTTTATACAATGTTTTGCTTGCCATATTTATTTCTCTATCCTACTCCAATTACTTTTGGCGCTTACTTGAAAGTTTACTCTGATGTATTACGCAGCAGTATTTTACTCATTTTGACGGACACTTTTAACACACTAAGCTGGTTCTCCTTACCTCTACACTCCATACACTGAACATTCGTTACCCATTCTCAAAGTGGCAGTATAAATATTTGTAATTTTTAATATCAGAACTGGCAACCCATTTAGGCAACGTGGGCTTACTTTGGACTGTAAACGTGTTCACTTCTCTTTAAAATTGCATCAGCGTGAAAGAAAAATATATGATTTATTGTTGCAAAAATTCCATACAAATAAAAACAAAATCGACTTCCTATGATTGTCGTATATATTAATGACTATGCTAAGTTAATGCTTGATTCTATTCTATCCTACATACAATGTATAATAATATACTATCTGCATACTTTGAACGAGTTTTTTTATAAATTTTTAGAGTAAATATCCACTAGTATTAGGGCGTATTATCGCTATGTATATTTCCTCAGTGTCTGCTTCGGTGGATACTGAACAAAATATCGTAGTTGCTGTGTATAAAGATACTTTTATCAAATGTACTTATTTCAAATTTTTTGATTTGTTTTAAAATTAATGCTATAGTCGATTTTAGTTACGGTATTTTCTATTTCGAGTGGTGTAAGCTAAGTAGGTTTGGCTAGATATAAAAATAGTGTTCCTTGAGACGTTCATTTCGATTGTTTAATTGGTACATAGTTAATAAATCTTATGCAAATGTTTAAAAAAAAATAGGTATTTAATTAAATTAGTGATTTAAGGATAATATTCAGTTGGTGACGGCACTACATAAAGTTTTTGCGGTGGGAATAAATGATATTAGTCTTCCCAATTATACTATTACAATGTAAGATAATATTTATTTTTATTTTTATAGGGTTGGGATTTCTATAGCCTCAATTGTAGTTGATCAAATATAAATTGTTTTCCTTGGTTTTATACGAGTAAGTTTCAATGTAATTTTTTTTATAATTCTCATAATTTTGTATTATGTAAAACTGATTATAAAGTATTAGCACAAAAATACACCGTGACACACCTTCGGTAGGACAACGGCATAATTTCACTATTTGTAATTTTATAGAAGAGCTATTTAATTATTTTTTTCAGTTTATTAATTTCTGTTAATGTTTTTTTTTTTAATCCATTCAGTTTTTTAATAACTGAGTTTTTCATTCATGTGACTTATGCCTTTGTCTTACCGAAGGTGCGATGTAAGCTTTCTAAATATTTTCTCATGAAGTTGTATTTTACCCACAAATAAACTATTTATTTGTATACATAATATATAAAGTTTTGTTTCGATGACACTCACAAAAAACTTTCGAAGGCGTCCTTGGGATGTACCACTTACTTTCTTCTAATCAATTAACATTTCTTTGAATTCCAAAGTATGGTTGAATGGACTCGGACCTTTATGCTACCATGACATTTTGAGAACTGTATTTATGCCAAAGAGCTTATAAATGTTAGAGGAAGCGAACAAGGTGCTATCGCATACTGCGGCTAGAGAGAGAAAGAAGAATGTTTTGGTCTTGCATCTCTCTCTGCTCTTGTCACTGATAGGCTATTTTAAATGTCCTCTTCAGTATCAGCCAATCAGAGCAGAGAGCAAAGAGAGATGAAAGACCAAAATAGTCTTCTTTCTCTGTCTACCGTCAGTACACTACCACTTACAGAGGAATATACAGTTCGTTTCCTCTATTTATATTATCTCTTATGATTTATGCTGTTCCACTAAAGTAAATACAAATACTAGAAAGTGTTTGTTTACTAATTACTTGCATAGAACAAAATATAGTAACTCTATCTATAAACAGTTTTATAAATTTTAATAAAGTATGTTTGTTTGAATACCTATTTGTAAGTAGGACATTTACTTTTTTTTTAATTTTGTCACAGATTACAATTAATAAAGTTTTGACACAAATGAAAAAGAATAGTACAATATTAGGCGCATGATCATAATTGAATTATCACATTTTAGATTATATACAGCACATATTTACCAAATTAATATTATTATGATAATATAATATGTTATACTTATTATATAGTTATATTTTTTTATTAAAACATTTATTTAAACGCATTGTGTTATTTACTTTACACCTATCACATAGTATCACATGATTCACGTTACACAGGGTTAGGCCGTACCACGATATGGTATGATAGCGGTGACGGATTAAGAATACAGTGTCACCACCCCTATTCATCCCGTGGGTGTCGTAAGAGCCGACTAAGGGAGCAAACTGCGCAGGAGAACAGCACCGCAAAGAGAAGGAAAACTTGAAACAAAACCTATACCACCCCGTGTTGTCAGCGTGGTATAGTAGGCCAAAACCTCCTTTCTAAGGAGAGGCCTATGTCCAGCAGTGGACTAGTAAAGGTTGTTGATGATGACGATATGATCCGAGGGCTTAGTGAAGTCTATTTCACCTCAACTCGCTCTCGACCGCGACCTTGTACACCTACCTAAACGGAGGCCATGTTTAGTAGAGTTATCGTTCCGTTTGATGAATGCTTATTAACAAGAATACGCATTGTTAAACTCGTTCACATTTTAACATCTAAGGGTGAGGGAGGTTAGTTTGATTTTAATAAAACAATAATGATAGTATGTACTTTATGATTGATTATAACCTTAAATGTCATATTACAAAATTATCTACACAGAACCAGCGAACCTTGCTTCTCAACTGTAAGTATTTTAATCTATTTCCTCGACCCTGGGACCACCTGAGCTATCTGGACGGATATTACTGGGACCACCTGTTCCGCTGCCTGCAGCTCCACCAACACCGTGAAGCTTCATCATGGAGGGTTGGCAGACCCGCTGAGCGTCCTCCAAATGTTTTTCTAAATCGCTTTTTGATGCTTCCGGGTTGGATTCCAACCAGCGTAGGTGTTTGTTACACTCGTCGACAATTTGTTTCTTTTCGTTGTCAGTTAAGTGGGAACCGGCGTGTTCTGCTGCCTGTAAATGACATAAAAACATACATTTAGCAGACAATGACCCTAAACTAATAGAGTCGTTGTTCACACTTACGAGTAAGTATATCATCTAAACTTATCATTTTTAACCCTTATCCCTAAAAGATTTGGTTTTAAAGTTATCACTAATGTTTGCCTAATCGTAGCTCAAACATTGTATTAAAAGATAAATTTTGAATGAAGTGGTTTTTTACACTTAGCAATAATATAAATATCATATCAGTAAAATTGACAATTGCAATAAGTGTTTTCTGTTTATATTTCTGTTTTTTTTTTTAACGAAATCACCATTTTAATTTAAAATACTTTTAGCTACAATTGCCAACTTCAATATCTGTACTAACCATTTTGCATCCGAATAAGTAACCTTCCAATTGGTTTTTCATCTCAACCTTTTTCTTCACGGCTTCGTCTTCTGATTTATACTTCTCAGCGTCATGTAACATCTTCTCTATGTCTCTCTTACTCAGGCGGCCCTTATCGTTGGAAATTGTGATACCTTCAGATCTTCCAGTGCTGTTGTCACGCGCACTCACATTTAAGATACCATTTGTATCTAAATCAAAAGTAACCTGAAATGTTCATTCTTTATTCTACTCGTAAATTTAAGAATATAGTGCACTGATTAAAAGCGACTTTTGCAAATAAGTAAAATTTGCTTATTGTTAATAAAAATCAAGGAATAAATAAAACTTAATGCTATATAATAAAGTATTATCTCATTTAATTTTTTTTTTACAATAAAATCAATCAGAAACGTGTTATGTTTCATATTAATGTCATTAATTTTTTTTCATCGAAAAATAACTACTTTTTTAACAGGTTTTTCATAATTAACATTCATAATCACGCATAATAGTATTTTAGAACATGATTTTCTTTAATTCCGATAAAAATTAAAAAGCCTAGCAGTATCGTTCCGATTATACTAATAATACGAGTTAAGAACCGTTTTAACGTAGGTATACTAACTTCTATTTGAGGAATGCCTCTTGGAGCTGGTGGTATACCGGTCAAATTGAAAGTACCTAATAAATTATTATCTTTTGTCAACGCTCTTTCACCTTCGTAGACCTAAAATAAGAAAAAAAATGCATTATAACTTGCAGTTAACACTAAGAAACAGTATGCTCATTAGTTAGTTACCTGGATTGTGACAGCTGGTTGATTATCCGCGTAGGTGGTAAAGATTTGCTTTTGGGCGGTTGGTATACGAGTGTTTCTTGTAACTACATTCGTCATTACACCACCAGCAGTCTCTATTCCCAAAGATAGCGGCGTGACGTCAACCAACAATACATCTTGAATTCGGGTGTCCTTGTAGCCGCTGAGTATGGCTGCTTGAACGGCGGCCCCATACGCGATTGCTTCGTCAGGATTAATAGAAAGATTGAGAGATCTACCTCCAAAGAAATCCTAAAACATTCAAACTCAAATAAAGGTTTTAAAGGGATACAATGATTTTCTTGCTAAGAAGATACTCACACTCAAGAGTCGCTGGACTTTTGGTATTCTCGTCGAACCCCCGACCATTACAACGTCATTGATTTCTCTTGTATTTAGATTAGCATCTTTTAAGGCTTTTTCGACGGGGCCAAGAGTTTTCCTAAACAAATCTGTGCATAATTCTTCAAAACGTGCTCTGGTCATCTTTGAATAGAAATCTACACCTTCATATAACGCGTCTAATTCAATACTGGCTTCTGTGCTCGAAGATAATGTTCTCTTAGCTCTTTCACAAGCTGTTCGAAGTCGTCTGAGTGCTCTTGCATTATCCCTGAGGTCTTTCTTATTTTTTCTTTCAAATTCACTACAAAAATGTTCTACCATGCGACTGTCAAAGTCTTCGCCACCCAAATGGGTATCGCCACAAGTAGCTTTTACTTCAAAGAGCGAACCTTCAGCTATTTGGAGAATAGAAACATCAAATGTGCCTCCTCCAAGGTCGAAAATTAGAATGTTTCTTTCACCAGTTAAATTTTTATCTAAACCATAAGCAAGAGCCGCGGCAGTGGGTTCATTAATAATTCTAAGAACGTTAAGACCAGCTATAACTCCTGCATCCTTTGTTGCCTGTCGTTGAGAATCATTAAAGTAAGCCGGTACGGTTATAACAGCATCTTTCACTGGTTCGCCGATATACGCTTCAGCAGTTTCTTTCATTTTGGTTAATATCATTGAAGAAATTTCTTCAGGAGTAAACTGTTTAGTCTCCTTTTTATATTCTACCACAATTTTTGGTTTTCCTCCGTCGGAGATAACCTGAAATGGCCAGTGTTTGATGTCCTGTTGAACGACAGGGTCGTTGAATTTTCTACCGATCAGTCGTTTGGCGTCAAATACTGTATTCTTGGGATTCATTGCTACCTAAAATATAATATCAATGGACAAATTAAACCTAGATAATCTTCTATACCTAAATTATTCTTATTTTCAAGATAGTAAATATTGGCGAAGTAAGCAATATATAATATTATACCTACGTTACCTGTACTGGTCTCAAAAAATTAAAAAAGGATGGGTGGGCGTCTGACTAGGAGTGGGGTGGTGTTGGTTTATGATAATGCTAACAGTAATATTAGAATAATTTCAATCTCAATAATAACCACTAAGTACCTATTTCCGTAGATGAAATTTAAGATTACTAAGCTTGGATGGTCTACTATTAAGTCGTCGATAGATGTTCTAAAAGAGATGTTTTGGATCGAAACCATTTACTGAGAATGCATACCACCACCCAAGGTGGAGGATTACCACATGACATAAAAATATGATTGTAAAATATCAATTTTTTGATCAAGTTTAATGTTGGGTACTAATTGCTTTTACAAATGCAGCAGGTCCAAACGATTTGTTGTCATCATACCTGATTTTTGGCAGCATCTCCGATCAACCTTTCGGTATCAGTAAAAGCAACGTAAGACGGTGTAGTCCTGTTACCCTGGTCGTTGGCTATGATCTCCACTTTGCCATTTTGAAATACTCCGACGCAGGACCAAGTGGTCCCAAGGTCTATGCCCACTGCTGGTGCCATTGTAGTGCGTTAAATACTGAAAAAATATAAACACACTTTGTGTTAACATACTTAATTCTGAATTTTAGATAGTGGATGTAGGTGACATATTGAATTACCGAATTCTCGATGACAGACAAAACATGTTACTGAAAATACATTCTAAACAATGTCAAGTTTTTGGGGATACCCAAATTTGGCAGGGGGCTCTGTTTACCTTCCAAAAATATCGCAATTTGTTGAATTTTTTTAGATTTTAATGTTAACTATGTTATTTAGGTTAGAATCTGTCCAAAAGAAGAAATGAGATATTTCTTTACTTTCATTTAATTTGTCTATAATAAAAGTACTTTGATGGGGCTGGCTCTGTGTGATTATGCAGACGAAACGAAGTCGTACTTTATACGATGATGAGTGGTAGAACTTTATTGCTTAGATGGCGTGGCTAAGATGATAGATGAATAAAGATGTTTTTAAAATAATAAAATATTCGGATATTCACACAACGCGATTTAGTTTCAAACTAAGCAGAGCCTTTTCGGAGAAAGAATAATAGCCTAAGTTATTCCTTATATAGACAGCCACCTGGTAGTAAAATATTATCAAAATCGGACCATCCACTTTGAGGATTACCCGGAACAAACATACAGACATTTTAACAAAAAATATTGAAATTGAAATTTAGGCATAGGTTTCGTGTGGCATGAAAAAAATCACATTTACAAACAGAAATTTCAATTTTATTTATTTGCATAGACAACAAGTTAAAATACATTTTTTAAACAAGAGGTTTACGCTACATTCAATGTGACAATCTCGAAGCTTAGGTACCACGTCGATACGATATCAATAAAAATAATTTTATTTTTCTTGATGCATCATTTTATATGTAATATGTCACGATTTGTTAACGCTTCATTTTCGTAACGAAGCCAAACTTAATTACACAAGTTTATGATTTCAAGAACCATTTATCTCATGTAATGGCTTTCGTCTCATAATCTTCGATGTATTAAGTTGTGATGCGTACCTACTACACGTTAATATTGGTACTAGGTGTTAGAAATTCTTTAGGGCTTCTAATACTTAAGGTCTGATGAGCTTTTGGTGGTGTAAGCACTAGGGCACAACTGAGCTCTAGGCACCAGGAGAGGGGGGAGGCGGGGAGGCGGGCCTAGAGTGATCGAAACTCGAAATGAGGAACTGCACTTAGTGAAACAAAGTAGGAAGATCACCAACTTTTAATCATTGGATCTCATTTTTGATGTAGCGTACAAGTACCGGTCGCGTCTACGTCACTACTTTTTAGTTAAACGTTACACTATAATTGTTATAAAAGTATTTTGTGACTACCCTCAACTACATACCTTCTATTAAATTCTCGAATGATTTTAAATTCAGAATGCAACGAACCGGTCAAACTGGCCAGAACACTGAGACTGCCCTGCATTACGCCATCACGATATCATGACAATACCCAGTGTAGCACAATTTACACGAGAATAACAATATTGCCATTATATACAACAATACAAAATTGGTACAGCTTAGTACCTAGAAGCACTTTTTACACGCTTTATTACTTAAAATGGGCATTACTGAATTGTCTATTTCGAAATGGAAAGTTTATGACTCGACTGACGAATTCATAAAAATATGAATAGACGGAAAATGAACTATGCATAAGCGGACAGAGACAGAGACACTCTTTTACATTAAGCGAAAAAATACGTTGTTTCTTTGAATCATTCATCACACAGCCATAAAAATGTACGATAAAATGTACATACTCTGATAAATGAGGATATTTGATACATCCTCACTCACCCGAAAGGAATACTGAACAGCGGTTTTCTGTGAGGCAGACATAGGGCCGGCTAGACATAGCCTCCAGCTATGTCTAGCCGGCCTATTTGCGCCGAAGCAAGGCTCTTCGACGGACATTAAAAAAATATAAATGATCTTGCAGGTGCGGAATTAGCAAAGCTAAAAGTCACAATTCAAGCAAACACTTCTAAGATGAAAAAATAATTAGCCCAGTCGCGGATATTTGGCTTGTTTCCAATCATTTTACGCTGAATATTTAATAAACAGCTACATCTAATAGAAAAATGAAGGAAGGAAATTGTTGACATCGGTTAGGGAGGGAAGTGAAAGGTAATAAAAGCTTATAGTAGGGCACCCTAGAAGGGATTTCGGAATTTACTCGAGCATGTCAGATTAACATAGGAGGAATACCTTACACCCAGTTGAGTACCTCCACCAAACATGAACCCATAGGATCATTTAGCGCAGCCCATCATATTAGTTAAGAAAAAAATCGATGGCCAAAAATACTCGAGCGTATAACTTAAACTATTTGAGCGTAACTTAAAGCAGTGGGAGGGTCACAAAGTTCCAAAAAAAAAAAACACATAACCTTGATATTTTATTTTTATTTTAAAGCAAACCATGGCAGCAATCAAAGCTTTCAAATGCAATAGGTCCCCATCTTGAGTAAATCCCTATTTGGTCTCATGGGCTCCCCTAATTTTAACCAAAGTTGTTCGATTTCAATTTACAGCCTCCATCTATCGCCTATCAATGAATCAGTTGAATTCGTGAAGTGTAAAATCATTCCAATATCGTTTTCTCTTGATTTCTCCCTTGATCGGATGAAATTTCAATTTTGTGTTTTGATGGCATTGGCCTATTGAATCAAAATGCTAAAGGGAGAATCATAGAACATGATCACTTCGACAGTTAGTGAGAAGTAAATTTGTAAAATGCTATCAAAAATGAGATATATTTCTCGTTTAATTTTGATGGAAACATTAAATTAACTTTTGTTAGTGTGTACTGACTTCAGTTACTGGACATGTTATATTAACTTTTGTGCCATCTTTGCGTTTCTACATATTTTAACATTTAGTATACTAGTATATGAAATTATTTCCTTCCCCCTTTTTTTTTGGAATAGAGAGAGTTCCACTCTTATTTTGTTAATATCAAAATGAAAAAGAATAGAAGTGAATTGTACTAGTCATCATTCAAATGTTGGGAAAGATTCTTTAAACTGTTGCCTAATCGTGTCACCGTTTAGTTACAGATATTATGTACTGTTTATTTTAATAGGCTTCATTTCCATCTATTATATTAAGTGCCATTTAATTGACGAGACAGGTTTATAATCTAAACTTAGACAGATGAAATTGGAACATCTGCATAACAACAATCAGAGAAAGGAATATTCTATCAGAAGGACAAGAATTAACGTATTATTGGTTTCCAATATTAATGTGGGACCTTAAGGGGCGTATGGACCTGACTCGTGATTACGACATTGTGATACTACCAGATTGCACATCAGAATCGGTGTTTCATTTACTAGTAATTATTAAATTAACCAAAATGACTTTAAATTGAGTTTACGTGAAGAAGACTGTGTACTGATCTCATATTAACTCAACCAGGAGAATGAATGGGATGTATATTATTTACTTCATTGCTGGGAGTTGGAATAAAAACCTACCAAATTAAAAGTAACATAGATCAAATTAATAACTACATATTTACAGGACTAAAGGCCACCAAGAAGCGATAGTTTTAAAAGAATTGGCGTCCCTTACCTGATTAATGTGTGGCTCAATTTTATTTGGCTAAATTTCTTCCACTTCTATAAGGTGGAAGAGAATTAGCCAAATTTAATGCAAATGCAGAAGATATACATCATGTCCACACATGTATGTCAACAATAATGTGCATAGTGTCATTGCATTTATCGTGTGTATAAAGTGTATTAAATTCACAACGAGTTTAATAGTAACTATTTCTTCTTGGCTCATGGGCTCATACAGGTAATTAATGGCTTAGTTATATTGAGAATGTGCACTGGCAACTAAACTAATAACGCATTAATAAATACGTTATTAGTTTAGTTTGCGGCAGAATTTGGAAATTTGTGAATAGTTTCATTCTAAACAATAACTTTAGCAAAGTTATTATTATATTCAACCAGCTATTGTCCGCAGCTCCGCCCGGCATGTCGGTTATAGCGGTAAAAAGGAGTATATAGTACTCAGGGATAATCTACCTTTCTAACAGTGAAAGAATTTTAAAATCGGATCAGTAGTACCGGAGATTACCCCGAACTTGAATTTTAACTATAAAGCAAGTCAGTCTGGCTTGTAAACTGCTTTGATAACAGTTATATATATAAATATATACTAGAAATATAAGCTGAAAATCTATCTAAGTGGTGTGCGATGGAAGAGGCCTATGTCCAGCACAGGACTGCGATAGGCTAATGATGATAGTAGCTGAGATATAGACAAACAATGTGTCGACTTTTAATTTCATGCGGTAGGAACAAACTTGCCCATGATAGGTACAATTTGGTCGAAACACTGAAGAAACAAGGACTTAGTTTATAAATAATTTCGAAAATAGGGTGGCGTTCTATGAATATGTATATACACAGTACCTACACGCCACACCGTCTGACTAATCACTGTAAAATCTTCAACATCAAGTTTTTCATAGTGTATATTTGTTAAACCTAAGCTTACCTGGTATGTTTCATGATTAGAGTCATAAAAATTGATGTCTTTATAATCATTTCTTTTTTACAATTTTTCTAATTATCATTTTGTTGGATTTTAGGAATAATAGACAGGGAAGTCATTACAAAGTTTGACATATAGTTGATTAGTATTATGTTTTTTTAGTTATACGGAGGAGGTAAAATATATTGAGGATTTCTATCAATCACTAAGCAATTGAATATTGATACTTCGTATAAAGTGCATATTAAATAATTTGCACAGTACCGATAAGCAGATCAGCCGGACTCAAAAGATTTAAAAGTATAGAGATCAAAATAAATAAACACTGTGAGAATTTTATTATTTCTTTGTACAAGTACCTTCATAAATTTAAAAAAAGGTTGGCAATAATTGTTTATTAAATTTATGAGATCATTATAACAAGATTTTCTCAATAAACGTATAGGTACGTACTTTGTATGATATATTAATAATAAAAACATTTTAATATAATAATATAGATATCATACAGTAAAGAAATAATCCCAAAGTCATGTCTTCATTCATAGTTCCATATATTTATTAGACTATTGTTACGATCTTCTATACAACAATTAAATCTAATAAAACACGCGTTTAATTACCTCTGGGCATTAGTCTTCTCGTAAATTTTATATCACATTTTATTCGTATTATACACGGCTACCACAAGGAACACATAAGTCAAAAAGTCTATTACCTACAGTTAAAAATTAACACCCAGTTTAAAAAATAGGTTTAAAAGAAAAGTATTAGGGACTAATACCTATATTTTTAATAAAGTCAAACTACCAAAGAATCTTATTTTCTTAAACTACACAAATTCAAATTCAAATTGCAAAAAATCGGTATGGAGAATAATAATTTCTCAACGTTTTCCTTTCTTCTTCTTCTTAGCGTAGTCTGGTGGATGGAACCCTCTAGCCTGTAATAACTCTTGTACATTATGACATGCGTAGTAAACATTGTTCATTGCAGCTTCTGTCAACATGTCCACGTTACACTTCCCTTTCGACTTGCCTTTCTTCTTAGCTTTCTTCTCTTTCTTCCCCTCATCATTACCTTCTCCTCCTTCAACTCCTTTACTATCTTTTTTCTTTCCTTTACCTTTGCCAGCCATGGTTTTCGCATATCACTTAGTGTTATTTATTGTGAGTTGTATCCTTGGTAACGTTGTCAAGATGTTATTGATTTTACAAGAGAATACCTAATAGTAATACATGCATACATTTCTTTTGTGTTTGAAAATGTGTTTGTAAATTTTACATCTATGATGAGAGTTGTCGACGACCTTACTAAACTTATAAATGTAAGGAGTCAAACTAAAGACAACAGCATACCATCTGTCTACTCAAGCGTTTAAGCTGAAAATCAGCGCTTGGTAATCCATGTGAAGTCCAAGCATAAGCTGACGCTTAGACCTTTTGCTTTCTGTATATTTCTGTAAAAGTGCTATAATTCTGAAATCAATAAACTGGTATTCTATTCTATTAAGATGCTAATTCAAATACAATTCATTGCCAACAATCACGATCGTTCAAAATGGAGCTGTTATATTACTATCGATCATCTAATTAAATGTTGAGGTATAGTCATAGAAGCTTTAAAATAATCTAAGTTAAAGGTAATTTGATTTTTTCTTGTAACCTTAAAAAGTGACTGATCGTTGCTGTTTACGATTACGGCTAGGCCAGGTGGAAGCCTTTGCCAAACCTCGTTCATTGCCTTCGAACAAATTCATAGAAAGCAAACCCGGTGCTTTTTAGTAATTTTTCAATATTAATTCTCGTATCTTTGAAAGTGGATAATGGTTAAGAATCATCCTTTATCGTCGAAAAATATATACGAGTACATATCACTTGATGGTTTATTATCGTAGATGACAGTGTTTCAGTGTTACGTTATACGATTGATACTAGAACATTGGAGAAACTTGCGTCGACCTGGACTGAGGTGACCTGGACCGCGAGTAGATCGCGAGTTTTTTTATATTAGATTTAACCTTGGTAATAAATCTGAAAAATAATATTCTGCTATTCTGCCATGCCTCGGCACAAATGAGCCGGCTCGACCGGAGTGATACCACGACCTCCCAAGAAACCGGTGTTAAGCAGTTCTTTCGTAGCTTTTAATCGAGTGAGTAAGCTGGAGCCCGAATTTTCGTATGCCGCTAATTCTGGAGCACTTAAAGGACGGTAATGCACTTATGACACTTGGGTTGCAAGTGCTCCAGGGCTGCGGTAGTCACTTATCATCAGGAGACCCGTCTGCTCGTTTGCCCCTAACCCCTAAAACAAAATTGCACTAACTTAAAAAATAATAATTGAAACTAGTTTTACCGTGTACAATATTGTTAAACAGCAAACATTATTTACAGTACGTAAAATAATGAATGAAGCTGTAGATTAATAAGGTACGTATCCACCGACTTAAATGATCATACTCCTCCACCTGGGGACCTACCGATGTCGTCTGCATAAGAAATTTCATTAAGCGACTCGAGTACCGTTACAAATTACTGCTATTAGTATCTTCAATAAATGTTTATGCCATACTAATATTATAAATGCGAAAGTGTGTCTGTCAGTCTGTCTGTTACCTCTTCACCTTAAACTGCTAAACCGATTTAGATAAATTTGGTATGGAGATACTGTGATTCTTGAGGAAAGACATGTGATACTTTTTACCGCGATAAGCAAAATTACGATGAGCAATATTTACGCGGGTAGAGCCGCGGGCAAAAGCTAGTCTAATATATAAATATCTCGTATCACGGTCTTTGTAGTCGCACTCGTCTGAAACGGCTCTGACACAAATCTGTACAATGATACTTTTAAAAAAAGTTCAATTTATAATGGCCAATGAAATAAACCAATAAAAATCAAACCGCAATTATGAGTTGAAACGACCACCAGGCGATCTCTACTTAAATGTTAATAACAAATAAATAATGTATCCGAGAAACTTTTTAAAAGTATAATAATTTTAAAAACAATAGCCACAGGTTTTGGCAATTTCAAAAATAATGTCAGCATAAGTTAAAATTTACTTATTTCCTTTCTGTTTCTTTGCAAACTCAGGTGGACATTAGCCCCGAGCTTGAAGTAACTCTTGCACATTGTGACACCTGCAGTTAAAAATTGCCAGAAGCTTCACTAAACATATCCTCATCAGTATAGTCTTTTCATTTCTCTTTTCTGTGATTTCCCTTCTCTTAAACGGTAAAAGTATTGTAATGCAAGCCATAAATAATTTACTTCTTATTGCTACTTCTTTCCTTTTTTTTTTCTTTTCAAAGTCAGGTGGACAATAGCCCCGAGCTTGAAGTAACTCCTGCACATTATGACACCCGTAGTAAAAATTTTGCGTCGCTGCCTCACTCAACATATCCTCATCAGAAGATCCCTTTGCTTTACCTTTCTTCTTACTTCCTTTCTCTGGCTTAACAATTTCACTTAGTTCGTCTATAGAAGACATGTCTTGATCTAGTTCTCCAGTTAGTTTTTCGTTAGCTTTTATATAGCCTCAGTAATTGCTAAAGATTATTGATTTTATATTATCGTTAGTTTTCATGATATTGTTATTTATGTTTATACTATAAGTAATTGATGCACAGCACGGCTATAGAAGTTTAATTCTATTCTTCGAGGTTTATTAAACTTTAGTCAACTAATACGAGCTTATCGTAGACGGGTTGTGGAAAATTTTAAAAGAAATTTCATAAGATATTGTTATGAACAGGATATAATTGGACACCAGCATAGGAACCGCCGAGTATCAGGAACTGTTAAATATCAAAGTGTATTAAATTTTCTTATAAAATAAATGTATGTCATTTTGATGTTTGATTCACTGTTGAACAAGTACAGGTATTACAGGTTGTACAGGTATATTTAAGGTACTAGGTTCGATTATAATCACACCTTGTGCCTTAAATATTAATGTCAATAATGCTTACCCTAAATCTAACCCTCAATACTGTAATATCATCGTCAACAGCTTTTAGAAGCCCACTGCTGGACATAAGCCTCTCCTTAGAAAGGAGGTTTTGGCTAACTATATCGCGCTGGCTAGACGGGTAAGCATTGTAATATTTTACTCAACTATATTTTTTAAAAGCACATTGTTAGAGTTGCCAAAAACGGATATAAGTTGCACGAAGGAATAGAGGCTTCGGTCGTCATCGTCCAAAGTAAAATACAGAATATTATTTTAAAATATTGTTTTTTAAAGACAGACAAAAATCAAAATTCATATTCTTAAGCTTAGCCCTGATATTACCATATACATGTAGATAGTAGTTTACCGTGAAGTACCTAGTGCGGTTGTCAAGAAATAATACTACATACATTTAAGGCTCAAAATGATAAAAAAGTTGATAACAAAATAAAATGCTCAATTTTTTTTAAATCATTTATCAATAAATATCATATTTACAAGAGTACACCAATAATCTTGTGATAAAAACACTTTCACAGTGATATATTTCATAAAATTGTATTCGATCGTATTAACTTAAAATAAATAAATAAGTAAACTTCTACCCGACATCGTGACTGTTTGTTGTCAATGTCGTGGGACCATACCCCTGGATGGATCTCTGCTGAGGATATCCAGCTAATTAATATTCATATTATAACGTATCATTAAAATCATGTTACTGCACTTTTCCAATATTATTTTAGGGTCGCTACAGTGATGTTTCGTCTGGTTTCTTTTATGGTCAACGCCTGCCGCCAACTTTAGGACTGTAATCGATTTTAGACGGGATTATTGTCGTGAATTGAGATTAAAAAGAATAAAGAGCGAGGGAGCTACAGTCAATAATGTCGTAAGTATCCGATTTAGAAATGACAGTCCCGTCTTTTAGTTTTTTTTTTTGAAATCAGGTTAGGGAAGCGTTCTCATATGTCAATCCTTTGATTGGAGAGGCTTTTAGAACTTATTATGTTACTATGTTGTTATTAAAATTATTTAATATTATACAGGGGTTCTTTCAACACATGTTCTACTTCAGCTCGGTGCAATACTGAGGTCCCAACGGCTGGGGTTGGCGCTTCTGCTCTTCCAGCGTATACCAGCTGAAACAAAAGAGTTGTATAATTATGCTTATTAAGCAACCATATCGTCAGATAAGTATTGGCGTTAGCTTAACTTGTCTTAGTTCGCGTTTCTGTTTGCATAAGCTGCCGAGGTCCTAGGTTTAATTGTCAGGAAAATTGATTTTTAATTTTTAGTACTTATTTGTAATCTAAAAAATATATTTACGGTTTAACCAACCATGTAAGCTAATTAAATACTATAAAACAAGTGTTCTAGGCTGAAGCATTATATGGCAATTTATTGCAATTTTCTACTTAAAGCTCTATTTATTCAATCCCTCCAGACGCATTCAATATGTCCTCCTCCCTTTAATCCTCGTCAATTCTTGACAGAATGATTTGCTCCAATGAAAACAAATAATTTTGACACAAAAAGAGATCGTATTTGATAATACATAGACTGGTGACGAACTGGATAACTGGTTTTTGGGTAAATGCCGGATATTCGCAGCTATGCGTTGCTGCTTTGAAAAATTGATAAACATGAATTGAGCAGAAGCATCCTATTTTAATGAATCACGGTCTAATTTGGAACGTTTGTCTATGGTTTGTTTTGAAAATACCCTAAAACGTTGAAATTGAAGTTGACCGGTGGATGTGTTTGTTTTGTGTCAGTGTTTCGAGTTTCTACTAGTATTATTATAATAAATCTTATTGTGCCCATTGCGGAACGAAGTTCGTAGTTTTGTTTAAAAATTGTAAAAAACGCGGTATTTTGCAATTTGCAAAGAAACAACCAATCGGAACTCTTTAAGTCTCATATTGTTTATCTTTTATTGCGCATTTTTCGAACATTCACACTTTCTTTGTACGATTTGAATTTCTCTTGTAGAACGCGATAAACCGTTTTTGACAGTATTTGACATTTATTTAACAATGTTCCCATAAACGGATCCTCGTTGAATTTAAATATGTATGTTAATCGTAACGTTGTCCACTAACAGATAAAAAAAATGGAGTTCATCAATTTCCCGCTAATTCTTTCAGACTAAATATTGTGTGAATAAAGGGTAGTTCATTGGGGCTAGTTATAAAATTTCAATTTGAATATACCTACGAGTAGCCGTAAGGTTGACTTTTTAAGTTTGCATTTTTCACATTACCGTCTGTTAAAGCACGATATGTTCGATTCGAGTTGACAAAACCTGTTGAAATATATCAGTTTTCTAATCAATGCTATGATGATTATTTCATCGATTAAGGTTCTCAAATATGGTGGACAAATAATTTTTGTTGATGTTTAATCCATAGTGATGATGGGCCTGGTGGTCTAATGGTTAGTGATCCTGACTGCTATGCCGGTGGTCGTGGGTTCGATTCCTACCCAGGACAAATATTGTGTGATGAGCACGGTCATTTGTTCTGTGTCTGGGTGTAATTTATCTATAATATCTATGTATTTAATATGTAATGTTATCTATAATATGTAAGTTTATATATATATAAGTATGTTTGTGAGCAGTCTAGTTACCATAGCACAGGCTCTGCCTAGTTTGGGATCAGACGGCCGTGTGTGGGATGTGTGATGTATTATTATTATTCTCTTTATTGTTATTATAGTTCCATACTTATTTTATAATTTTGCTTTTTAACTGCGCTTTTTAATATCACTATTCTGTTCTTTTTATGTGTATTCCATTAGTTCTTCTATATGTATTACCTATTTATAGGTAAAAGTGTACAGTACTTTATTGGTTATGGTACTGTAGGACGCTCCTTTAAGTAATAGTTTATTTTTTTCATTTACCTTTCTTCCTAAAAGATTTTCAAATCTAGGCTTCACGAATGACCAGGCACCCATATTGCGGTGTTCCTCTTGACTCCATATAAACTCTGAAAATAGCAAATTTTTAGTTGTTGATAAATTCATTCGTTGTTGTTTTAGAATTAAAAAGTAAAATCTATCTATGAAAATTGTGTTTGCATTATTTGTGGGTGTAAAGCACGAGTCAAATAAAAAGGTCTATATTCGGATCTACAAATGTTGAAATGTTTGTGTATTTATAATAAATACCTCCTTAATATCCTTATATAGGATACAAATATCCTCCCAATATCGGCCATATTATTTCATTGCTTTTTTAGTCTAGATCTCTGGCGGTATATCTTTAATATATGGTGTTTACGCGCGGAAAGATCGAAAACAAACATTACGATAATAAACGTTACTTCAGTTTTCCTTACCATATCATGATTATGTAGGATGAACTTATTTTCCTTGTATCATAATACGCTATATTAATCTTTATGACCAAGTTTTAAATAACACAGGGAAAAAAAAAAAAAAAAAAAAAAAAAAAAAAAAAAAAAAAAAAAAAAAAAAAAAAAAAAAAAAAAAAAAAAAAAAAAAAAAAAAAAAAAAAAAAAAAAAAAAAATTTTTTTTTTTTTTTTTTTTTTTTTTTTTTTTTTTTTTTTTTTTTTTTTTTTTTTTTTTTTTTTTTTTTTTTTTTTTTTTTTTTTTTTTTTTTTTTTTTTTTTTTTTTTTTTTTTTTTTTTTTTTTTTTTTTTTTTTTTTTTCCCCTTTTTTTTGGGAGGGGGGATAACCCTTACCCTTTTTTGGAACCCAAAAAGGGTATTGAAAAAAAACGGGGGTTTTTCCCCCCTTTATTTTTGGGGCATAAAAAATTTTTTTGGGATTCTCGACCCCCCGGGAAAAAAAATTTTAAAAAAAAATTCGGGGGATAAAGGGAAAAAAAAAATTTAAAAAGTTTTTTTTAAAAGAATGCTAAGTGGAATTTTTTTTTAAAAATTTTTAAAATTTTAAAGGGAAAACATCGGGTATACAATAAAAGATTTAAACAGAATTTTTTAATAACTGAGCTCTATTTATTCAATCCCTCCAGACGCATTCAATATGTCCTCCTCCCTTTAATCCTCGTCAATTCTTGACAGAATGATTTGCTTCAATGAAAACAAATAATTTTGACACCAAAAGAGATCGATTTTGATAATACATATATACTGGTGATGAAATGGATAACTGGATTTCGGGTAAACGCCGGATATTCAGCAGCTTTGAAAAATTGAGAAACATGAATTGAGCAGAAGTATCCTACTTTAATGAATCACGGTCTAATTTGCACCGTGTTTTTATTAAATATTATGTTTATTAAAGATGACTCGCTTTCTTTCCAACTACGGTTAGAATTAGTATTAGCGAATCCACGAATAAAATTGATAACCTTCATTTTCTTTTTTTATCCGGCATTACGGCCGGAAAGCAAATTTGCTATTGTTGTAAATCAACTTTTTCAGTATTTCTACTTAACTGAATAAATCGGCATTTTACCACATTGTAGAGGAAGTCTCGACAAACAAAAGCATTTTTGAAAATTCATTCCAAGTTGTCCCAAAAAAAAGCATTCTCTCGAAGACCTTTTTATCAGTTTTTTTTAAAGTTTCGCAATAAGTTTAAAGCCGATCTTTTTTAAGTTGAAAGTAAAGCTGAATTTTGTTTGCTAAATGGAGGCTAAAAAACCAGATTTAAAAAAAGAATTATAAACGATTATAAACAATACAAGATTATAACAATAAAAGATTATAAACAAATTTGGTAAGGATGGTTGGTATACAAAACAAAGTCGTGTTAGTAGCACCATTTATAACTCAAGAACGGCTAGACCAATTTTTATGATTTTTGAGTTTTTAGATTTGTCTTCGTCCGGAATAGGATAATAAGTATTAAAAAATGATATTTATCAATGAAAAATTTATCATTAAAAAATATCAGTGAAAACATTATCTAGCCGTTCATTTGTTATAAATGGTATAACAAAAAGCAACTGACAGCTTACGTAATGTTGTCTATGGTTTATTTTGAAAATACCGTAAAACGTTGAAATTCAAGTTGACCGGTTGGTGTGTTTATTTTGTGTGAGTTACGAGTTTCTACGAGTATTATAATAAATCTTATTATGCCGATACAGTGGCGGAACGAAGTTGGCCGGGTCAGCTAGTTTTGATTAAAAATGGTAAAAAACGCGGTATTTTGCAATTTGCAAACAAACTATTCAACCAATCGGAACTACAAGTCTCATATTGTTTCTCTTTTTATTGCGCATTTTTCGTAGATTTACACTTTCTTTGTACGATTTGAATTTTTCTTGTAGAAAGCGATAAACCGTTTTTGACAGTATTTATATGTATGTATTTAAATATATAGATATAAGTATGTTTATCAGCAGTCTGGTTACCATAGCACAGACTCTGCCTAGTTTGGGATCAGACGGACGTGTGTGGGATGTGTGATGTATTATTATTATTCTCTTTATTTACTTTATATACATATTATTTACAATTTATTCTCTTTATTATTATTATAGTTCAATACTCATTTTATAAATGTGAAAGTGATTTTGTTTGTTTGTAACGCTTTTTTACCGCGATAATATCAATATTCTGTTCTTCTTATGTGTATTCTATTAGTTCTTCTATATGTATTTTTTATTTATTGGTAAAAGTGTACAGTACTTTATTGGTTATAGTACTGTAGGACGCTCCTTTAAGTTATAGGTTATTTTTCTCATTTACCTTTCTTCCTAAAAGATTTTCAAATCTAGGCTTCACGAATGACCAGGCACCCATATTGCGGTGTTCCTCTTGACTCCATATAAACTCTGAAAATAGCAAATTTTTAGTTGTTGATAAATTCATTCGTTGTTGTTTTAGAATTAAAAAGTAAAATCTATCTATGAAAATTGTGTTTGCATTATTTGTGGGTGTAAAGCACGAGTCAAATAAAAAGGTCTATATTCGGATCTACAAATGTTGAAATGTTTGTGTATTTATAATAAATACCTCCTTAATATCCTTATATCCTCCCAATATCGGCCATATTATTTCATTGCTTTTTTAGCCTAGATCTCTGGCGGTATATCTTTAATATATGGTGTTTACGCGCGGAAAGATCGAAAACAAACATTACGATAATAAACGTTATTTCAGTTTTCCTTGTAACAGTTATTTTTTTAGTATATTTGTATTGCGTACGGAGTTGCCAAAAGCGACATCTATTGCCCCCAGTCGCATTTTGTTTAATTTATCCAAAGTAGTTTGTAGCTGCAGTATTGATGTTCTTCGTTCGCCGTCGGACCACTAGATGGCGTTTGTTTGTAGATAGGTCATTTTATTGATTTATCATGACAAATTGTATAGGTATTGAAAGTGTTTTGTTATGGTAGGAAGCGAGTTACTTTTGATTTTGTTCGTGTTAACCTCGTTGATAATTTAAATGTCAAAGTAAAATGTTAAGAAGGGATTATTTCTGGAAACTTCGAAAACCGAACATATATAAGTCCGGCTTTCAGCCACGGGAGACACTCTGCTATCTCGTGACTTCCAATCTTAAATAGTGTTTTGATTGTCTTGTGATTTTATTTTCATAATATATTATCTGTTAAAAGTACCCACGAAAGTGGTGAGTATATTATTAATTTTTCTTGTACCTATTTGTTTCTGGAACCTGATCGATAATATGAGTGCTAATCCATTCGTAGGTCCCAGATTTCGGGGTCAAGACGGTCAGTCTCAGACGGCGTGCTTGTTCGTTTGTGGCCTTCTGGTTATAATTCAAGTTTCTCGGTACCCTCTGGCAAGCTGGCAGTCACGCGGCTCCTAAAGCAAGCGGACAGCCGTACCCAAGGGTTACGTACTTCTATTTAACTTTATAAATACCAATAGTGAACTTTTCTCAATATCTAATATAAATAGCCGACTCGGGCGGAAGGGGAAGTGACCTCCTGGAGTGAAGACGAGGAGGCTCCGAGCACCATCAGCTCGGCTCTGACGCGCTCCGCTGCGGTTTTTCTTGTACCCACTGATTAATTTATTTATTTTTCTATTGTAACTTTAATTTTGTTTTTGAAATATACATGTATGTATGACTGAGGTGTAAGTTGTTTTCCTCTAGGGAATCCCGTAGGTTTCCCACACGCACACACTTCTGTTCTTTTAGAAGGCGCCCTGAGGTAATCTCATAAATCTCTCCACTGGGTCAGCCGGTGAGTAGTCCGCCTGAGAAGAAAAGCGGTTACATCCTTAACTTGCTAGTACTTACCATATCATGATTATGTAGGATGAACTTATTTTCCTTGTATCATAATACGCTATATTAATCTTTATGACCAAAGTTGTAAATAAACACATGAGAGTCAGTGCACTTGTGGGTGTTCATAGGAACGAAATAGAATAGTCATTATGATCAAAATTATCGGCATAGCCAGTACATCATCAAATCGAGAACGAAGGGGGTAGCCACATCTGCCAAAAGTATGAATGCAGTGATATATTTTGACAAACTTTATATGGAAATCTTAAGGATCGGTTAAATTCCCTTCTTTTATTGTACTCCTATTATGAAAGTTATCTTAATCTACTTACTTCTTGCATTAGGGTATCGTTCCAGTTCTCTTTGTAAGTCCTGTACAGGGAAAGGTGCGAGTGCTTCAACTCTCACAATGGCGACGTCATCAATTCTTGCGTTTACTCTTTCCTTATGAAGTTCATAATAATGTTTACCGCAGACGAGAATCACTCGTTTTACTTTTTTCGGATCAGCCAGATTGTCACCTGTATGGAAAAAAAACTTATGTAATTTATATTTATATATAAAATACACGGCCTTCGTTCAGCAGTGGACGGCAATAGTGATGATGGTGATATGATTTTTTTATGGCATAAAGCAAACGAGCAGACGAGTCACCTGATGGTAGTGCGTTGCTGCCATTGGAGTCCTTTCCGCTCGAGTCAGCGGGAGGGACTCTCGGAGGATTTGGGCACCGATAACCTCACTCAATCAGTGAAAGGCAACGAAAGAATTGCTTAACACCGGTTTTCTGGGAGGCCGTGGTATCACTCCGGTTGAGCCGGCCGTGATAGATATATGTAGACTAGCTGACCCAGCAAACGTTGTATTGCAAAACAAACAAAAAATTGGGATGGGTCACCCTTACCATTTAGGGGCATGAAAAATAGATGTTGGCCGATTCTCAGACCTACCCGATGTGCACACAAAATTTCATGAGAATCGGTCAAGCCGTTACGGAGGAGTACGGGAACGAACATTGAGACACGAGAATTTTATATATAAGATTTATGTTTACAAGAGATCGTCTGGCAGTGGAATTACGACCATTTCGTTTAAATCTAGTTTATTGATCATAGGGCCTAGGTACTTATCTAGGCCCTATGATCAATAAACTAGATTTAAACTAGAATTTATTTCACATCAACTCGATCGTCACGGCGACCGCGTTTGTAATTGACATTGGCCAGCACTGAAATCTTTGCCAATCTCAACGCTGAACACACTCGCCTTCGAGCGCGAGTCGACGCACACACGCATTAACGCCTTTTGTCTTAAGGCACTGTGGGATCGACGATGTGAAGACAAAGACAATAAGTAGAGGGCTATGTCCAGGCTGATGATGATGATATATACATGTAAACATTAGGTGTTCCAAATACAAAACACTTCTTTCTGTGCGCCATATTTGTTTAAAAAGGGATGCAAATAAATATTTTTACGTTTTTAAATATAGATGAATATAGTTCGTTCGATAGTTCTTTACGCGTACCCAGCGCACGCACCCAGCGTAGATAAAAATAGACGTAGGACTGTATATCGTCAGCTCGTATAATTGATTTTAAAATACATACATTGCAAACATATCTAACGTGTGGTTGTTAGAAAAAGTATATGGTATATAAGCGATACATAAAAAAACGTTTCAAAAATAGTCACTCTGTCGAATCGTCTCTCATTGAACACATATAATTCCATATCCGTTGATTGGTGCGTAGACAAATATACATTTATTTATATATATACATGTTTGTATATTATCTGTTGATCGTGGTTTCCTCTGTCTAGTCTCTCCCATACAATCCTTCAAACCCTATTTAACCTCGTTTAAGTATATTTTTGCTTGCCTTTATCTAGAGCCTCTCTATCTCTTTAATAAAATTCTCTGAAATGGGTTGAGTCGTGATGAAGGAAGAGTTATGGCTTTATATTTGCCATCATTTAACGGTTAATTTTGTAGAGCATATCAAAATATTTTGAAATACATAGGTACCTATCGAAAAGTATGAATTCCTGTACCACCCTTTTAAAAACACTATTTAATTCAGCTACGACTTCTGTAAGCGATTTATAGCTCATAACTGAAATTATTTTATTTTTGAACTATTTTTGTGTAACATACCAATAACATTATTGAAATATGTCCCTGGAGTAAACTCGGACAGAGGAGATACGGCCGCGGCTAATCTCAGCAATAACTTCGGAGCAACTACAACCAACGGCTTCCTGTAACTACGAACGACCTGTAAAACAAAACACTTATTTTATTTTAAGGAGCTCTGACTGTTCTTTTCTGTAAGTAGATCGTCATGAATTCTATTCGTGTAATTTGTTTAATCTATTTAAAAACCATTTTATAAGCTTGGCTGTGCGATTTTAAAACTTAGTATTGGATACGTGACAGAAAACAAAACGGTATAGATTTTGCACTTCGATGACTTGTATTAATGCGCCGTTAATGCGCTGAAATAGTGATACATCGCGAAATATAAATTCTAATCACCTAATTTTCACCCTTAAATATTTTCAGTTATTAATGGAACAAAGTTAACTACAACCAATTCGTCATTTTAGTAAATAAATGACGAATTGGATCAGTCGAATTGAGAAATCGGTTTAATCCTTTAAATTCTACTTTTCGTTTTTGTTCTAAATTTCCCTGAAGATGTTTCGTTTTAGTTTCCTTTTTTAGATTTTTATATAAAGCATAATCATCACAATGCCAAGGCCAATTATGAACACGGTTTTGCACTGCCTTAATTAACGTCTATCTGCATCTCTCAAAAGATCATCGGTCCATCGTTCTGGTTATATAATTGCTATAACTGATAAAAAGAACTATAAAAACGTTTACCTGTCTTCTTAACAAGTGGAAGTACTGGCTAGGCGTAGTTGGGTTGGCTACATGTAGACACACATTTTCGGAGTCAGGCTTGGTTTCCAGACTGTCTGTGAGCTGAAGAAACCTCTCCATTCTGCATGACGAGTGTTCGGAGGCTCCGCCGTCATATCCGTGAGGTAGAAGCATAACTAATCCATTACTACGGACCCATTTAGCTGTAAAATACAAAAAATAATTAAGTGTTGAACGGCAGATTGCCGAAGAATCTATACTAATATTATAAAGCTGAAGAGTTTGTTTGTTTGTTTGTTTGAACGCGCTAATCTCAGGAAGTACTGGTCCGATTTGAAAAATTATTTCAGTGTTCGATAGCCCATTTATCGAGGAAGGCTATAGGCTTTATATCATCACGCTAAGATCAATAAGAGCGGAGCACCAATGAAGAATGTTTCAAAAACGGAGAAAATTTATTACTATTGAGAGACGCAGACGAAGTTGCGCGGGTCAGCTAGTCTAAAATATATGTAAAAGATAAAAACAACCTAGAACAAATATTCATGCTCATCGGTCAATTATTTGTCTTGGCTCAGTTCTCAGGATCAATAACGAGTTCGTCTAAAATAAACTTTATTATTTTGTCAGGTAACATTCTGTTTCAACAATAAACTTAAATTATTTGACATTACGGACAATGAACACGTAAGAAAAGTTTAAATACAATTGCTAATATTTTTCGAGTTATGGACTTTGTTTTGAAATGAGTTTCTGGAACTTTATACTGTAATTTTTTTCCTCAGATAATTTATTTAGGCTATTTGACAAGTTAGTTAACAAATAGGACTTAGTCGCATCTGTTTTTTATCCACTAACGACGAAATTTAGCAATGCTGTTTATTTTTGATCTGTTTGATAATGTAGTGGTTAGCGATACTGTCTGCTATTTCAGAGGTTGTGAGTTTGACTCCCACCCATGACAAATAATTTTGTGATGAGCACGATCATTTGTTCTGTGTCTGGCTTCTCTCTAATATGTATGTATTAAGAAATATATAGGTATGTTTATCAATAGTCTTACCATAGTACAGGTTGAGCCTAGTTTAGGATCAGAGTTTCAAGTTATTATTTGACATGTGTGTCTACTGATACTAATTTATAGGTAATATTATAAAAGGATGGGAAAAAATTGAAAAGTTATTTTACTAAACTGTTAAAAAGAATTAAATAATAAGATTACACAATACATACATTCTCCAGACGCGATGAAAGCATCCACAATGATTTGCGCGCCATTATAGAAGTCTCCAAACTGAGCTTCCCAAATGCAAAGATTATCTGGACAATCGTACGCCATACCGTATTCAAAGCCCAACACGGCCTCTTCAGATAAAATTGAATTTGCCACCTGCGAACAAAAGTTAAAGGAGATATATTGCGAACAGAGTTGAATCTTAGCTATTTTGTTTGGTTTTATTGAACATACTGTGAAACATATGTTTGGTAATCTGGGAAAGTTCCGACTTTGTACGGGTTGGACAAAAAACATTTATTAGAAAATATCCTACATAAATCTCGGTGTCTTGAAATAGAGCAACTTTGATGCTCCTAAATCTTGACAAATTGCAATAAACTGTATTCTTTATCCCTTAATTTTTCGATCTTAGAGGTGGATTATTTTTTAATTTAAATGGGACCAAGTTTGAGTACATCATGTGTGTTAACTTTGTGTTAAATAATCTTTTTTTTTCTTTTTCTACTTTATTATCCGATTTGCATGTAATAATATTTCGGACATCTAACACACAATGCCATCTAGTTTCAAACTAAACAGAGTTTGTACTATCAAATCTAGATTGACTGATAGAATACTTAAATTCTTTTTTTTGTAAATGCATACATATTAGCAAGCACCCAAACTCCGGAACAAATATTTGTAGATCATACAAACATTTGGTCCGACCCGGGATTCGAACCCGAGACCTCAGCAAACAAACAACTGCACCACCAAGGCAGTCATGTGGCGAAGATTTCACGCAATAATCTGTAACTAAAATATTCAGTACGACCGCCTCTGTTTTGAACTCGGTTAAAAATAGTCTATGCCTATTAACCCGCGATTGAGGACTCTGCCCTTCTTAAAAACTTTCTATGCAGAATTGCTCAATAACTTCCGTGCCTTGAAAGGCAATCGCCTTTCAAATTTAGTTGAACCTGGGAATCCTAAAAGTTTAGATGGTTCAGATCTCTGATACTGCAATTATGGTCATCGTGGCTAATAAGCTGTGTGTAAACACTAATTAACTTATGTTTCAATTAAAACAAGGCTAGGTAAGTTTGATTTGATTAATTAATTTTTGTATTTTAGGTTAAGAGCCGATTAATGGAGCAAACTACGCAGAAAAATGGCACTGCCAAGAGAAGAAAAACTTGAAACAATCCCTTTTTTTTTTTTTAACGTGTGGAAATCCCCTCGGACCTTCACCCCACCGGGGTTTGCGGCGGGGTGGTGTGTCGGACTCGGACCGACTAAAACCACACGGTGTGCCACTCTGCGCCTGTGATAGGAGGGATCCGGGAACAGCTGTTATTAAGACATCCGGACCCCTCCTAGCGCCGGCCCGCTCCTGTTGCGGGCTCCGTCTCAAAAATTATTTCCTCTCTTAAGGCGACGTCCGGCACACGCGGACGCCGCCCCCTCGCGGCTGGCCAAACTAATGCGGGTGGAGGGGAAACCCACCCCGTCCACCCGCGGCCACACTCAGGGCGGCATGAGGCGGTGATAGGCGCTCCTCCGCCGCCCGGTTCGCCGGCGGCGGATCGGGTCCGAGTGGAGGTCGTCCTCCCGGGCCTTCTCCGCCGCCTCCTTCTGCGAGATTACTTCCTCGCAGAAGGTTGCGACCGCGGTAAAACAACTGTCGCTACCGGCCATGGAGCGTACTACGGCCGGTAGCGAGAGATCCACTCCGATGACTGCAGTGAGGGCCTGCGTCGCCCATGCGGGGCAGACCGCCAGCGTGTGCTGGGCCGAGTCCTCACTGCAGTCGCAGTGGTGGCAGGCGGGACTCAGTTCCCTCCTAGCGACCGAGTGCAGGTTCTTTCCGAAGCAACCGTGCCCGGAAAGCACCTGCGTCAGCCGGAAGTTAAGGGTCCCGTGCTGCCGCCCTGCCCACTCGACGATGACCGGCTGGAGAGCCTCCACGGCGGAGAAGCCAGCGCGTGGAGTCTCCAGCCGGAACGACCAACGAGCCATCGTGGCTCGGCGAGCGGCTTCGCGCCACTCGCGCACCTTTCGGGCGGAGGGCGGAATCCGCTCTCCGCCCGGGAGTCAGCCACTCGCCGATAAACTTCGGCGAGCACTTCCGCCTCCAAATCCCACGGGGAGTTCCGGCCAACGCGCACGCCACCTCCGTCGAAACGGTGCGGTAACCGCGTATGGCTCTGACCGCCATTACCCTCTGAGGGCGCCAGAGGCGTGCCCTATTCTGGGCGGTCAGAGCCGCCGCCCACACCGGTGCACCGTATAGTGCCATTGACCGGACAACCCCCGTGTACAGTCGTCTTGTCGCGACGCTGGGTCCACCCAAATTGGGCAAAAGTCGCAGCGCCGACCAGCTTTGGAGCAAGCTGTCGGAAGTGCTCGTCGAAGAGCCACCTCCCGTCGAGGATCAGGCCCAGATGAATATGAACCGGTACGAGGACCGAGTTGACCACGATTGAGGCGCCAGGGGGTGGACCACGACGGGGCCCATGAAATAACAGGGCCTCCGTCTTATCTAGGGCCACCCGTAAGCCCAGCGCCTCAATGCGCCCGACCACCAGGGAGACTCCCCTAGTGGCCAGGAGCGCCGCCTCTTGGAAGTTCGCCCCCCCGGGCTGTCACCAGAGTGTCATCTGCGTAACAAATTACACCCAGCCCGGGGGGGAAATCGGCTCGAAGGGCCCAGTCGTACCCTATGTTCCACAAGAGGGGTCTAAGAACAGACCCCTGTGGAACACCGCACGACATGGGCCGACACCTCGAATTACCCTCTCGGTCCTCGTACACGACGGTACGCTCCTCTAAATAGTCTGCCACTAGCCGCCTCAGGTACTTTGGCACCCCATGATAGTGGAGTGCTTCCCTGATGCAGCTGAATGGCAGACTATTGAATGCGTTGGCGATGTCCAATGACACCGCCAACAGCACGCCGCCACAGCTCACGGCCTCTTCGGTCACGGCCCTCAGGTGCAACACAGCGTCGACTGTCGAACGCCCCGCCCGAAAACCAAATTGGGCGTCCGACAGATCGGGGCCCACCTCGTAGAGGTGCCGGACGATGCGGGCAGAGAGAACCCTCTCAAACAATTTACCCGCCTCGTCCAGCACCACGATGGGCCTGTAGGCCGCGACCGAATCGGCAGGCCGTCCCGGCTTCCTTAATAGGACCAGCTTCCCGATCTTCCAGCACTCAGGGAAACGTCCCGACGCCAAGCTAGCGTCGAACACCTCCCCAAGGCGGTCTGCCATGTGGTTGAGGGCTAGGGCCAGCACTCGGGCCGGTACCCCGTATGGCCCAGGGGCGGTGTTCGTAGAACAGCCGCCCCTACCTCCGAATCCCGGACGGGCGGAACATCATCCTCCTCGTGCTCCCCGAAACAATCCCTATACCAACCCGTCTGGCCAGCGTAGTATAGTAGCTCAAAACCTTTCTAAAGAGACTATGTCCAGCAATGAACTATTAAAGGCTGTTAAAGATGATATTAGTTTATACTCTGATTTATATTATAATATTAAAATAATACTACTTTTTCTAATGAATGTTATTGATGCATATATTTGTCATTAGAAGTGATCCCTCGAACTTCTCGAAATATACTTAAATGCAATTCTCACCTGTACATTACTACTATAAACATTATAAACATCTAAGGTTCTAGCAGATATACATTCTGTTTTCTGTTTTCCCTCAAATAAGTTCTTTTGATTAAGCTTTAGTCTACTATAATTAAATAAGTTGTATGGAAGCAATGAATGAACTTAAAACGAATACTTAATTCATATTATAATATATTACGACATTGTTCATTTATGTAATAAACTTACTTCTAAAAATGCTTTTTGATCCTTGTGTATGTGGTTGAGCGGTATCCTTATCGCTTCAGTCTGCTGATCTACTAACATCACGTGGCGATGAGAGAAGGTCCCTCTACCGACGTCTTCTCCGCTTAAACGTACATGGCGTCCTTCCATGAGTAAGGAACCTTAAAAAAAGTTTAGTTTAGCGCGTCATGTTAAGGTTGTGGTTACTACAACCTAATCAAAGCCATGTTTATAAATGATTAGCTGTTCTCTGGCACGATTCGCCGTGGCACATTTATAAGAATTGAGGAACGAAATTGATGGGAAAAAAAGATAAAAACAATCTCTCAAACGATTTGTATACTTGCTTTAGATTGAATTAGAAAACAGACCAGTCCCCTCTCTATACTAAGCCTTGAATTTATCTGAAATTCCTCCAGATTTCATACATCACGGACTGCACGGAGTAGTGCCTTAGTAGCGTAGTGGTTTAAGCGGTTTAATTTGTGGGTCAAGCCACTGCCCTTCCTACTACGCCGAGTGTTGTGGATTCAAACCCCACATGGGACGACACTTTGTTTGACCCACAAATTGTTGTTCTGAGTCTGGGTGTTCTTTGTGTCCGTTTCATGTATATTTGTAAAGTCCCCCGCGACACAGGATATATTCCTAATGCGGGCGTTGTCTTTTTAAAAATACAAACAAAAATACAAAACAAATCAATTGTAGTAGGGTCTTATCACAACCACAGTATTTTATCTAAGACGAACATTTTTTTAATTGGGAACAACAAGAAGGCCGCTCTTTGTACATTATATATCTGACATTTTTATGTACCATACTACTCTGTAAAACGGTTTATAAATAAAGAGTTTTCTATCGATCTATGTATCATAAGGAGTTCCTAGACAAGGGGTCAAAGAAAATATGCAAAATGCATACTGACTTTTACACGTAGATTTATTACTTTTGTGATATTAAAAAGGGACCTCATAAAATTCACATTCACGCGGTTCATGTAGTTATAGTTGACCAAGGCCAATAAAACAGATCGTTGCACAAAAACTTTTGCAATATTTGATTACAGATAAATGGACAGGTGACGACAGACTGCCGACGTAGGGGTTGTAAAATACGGCTGCCAATAACTGTCAAATTTAACTGGATGGTGCCAGGTGTCTAGTTCATATTCCACACTTCTCCGCAGATGTGCTAAAAAATTCGCGACCAAAAACCGTTTAAACTAAAACGGATTTATTGCAGATTCGTTTTTAGTAACTTTATATTGTCACACGTTTTTGAATTTCGTGTTCCGAATGCAGCTTTTGGACTATAATCGGATTAAACACACAATAATTATTTAGTAGTCGATTTCGAATAGTGGTTAAAAAAAACTATGGAAGAAGTTTTACTTTTGTGGAGACATGCACGTCATTCTACTCGTGATGACTTCAGAGGCCCAAGTGCGAGTTTATTTTACATCCACTCGATCGTCATGCGTTCGGTGCTGCGATTGGCCCGCACTGAAATCTTAACCAATCCCTAAGCCGAACGCGCTAGCTGTCGATAGTGAGTTAATGTGAAAAAACTCGCACTTGGCCCTCTGGTTGATTTTCTGTCGCTATTGTTATCACTCAATATTTGTTTATTCGTATTCGATGTACTGCCGTACCGTTCATTTGATCGTATCTTATTACATAAAAGTCGTCAGAGCTACAAAGGAGGACACACTAATTCACAAGGGAATGCAAAATACTATTACACAAACAAGCTTTGGGTATAATTGGAACCAGGATTATGTCCTTAATCTTATATCTTTAATTTTTTTATACTTTGTCTATTTTTGTTCTTTTTGTCCCCTGATTTGGAATACAGATAAATTTAAATTAAATTATTTTGCGGAATTCGAGACAATTAACCCAGAGGAGGAATTTAATTAATGTCATGCTCAGTGGTTTAGTGACGTCACTACTGTTGATCTCGTTTTCCCTTGATAATGGCATTGATCTCACTAAAAAGTAGCCCAGTCTGATGAGTTCCATTGTTTCAAGTTTCAAATCCAAATGTAAACTTAAATTGAATATATAGGTACTATACTTTCGTTCATTCGCTCATGTTGTGAAAGGTTATCCAATAATTGAGAAACATTAAAAAAAGAGACCTATATAAGATATGGCCATGGTGATTATACGACATAATATACTTAGGTTTCAATATACATAAACTTTTTTGCTTGTAGACCCTTCATTTTATTCTCGCTTTAAGAGCTACCAAAATTAAGAATAAAAAAATATAATACCCAGTTTGAAGTATTCAGAAATACATTAAAAATTGTTTACAAAAAGTAAAACAGATCCAAAGGACTGCACTAATTCAGTGATAAATTGCTTTCGAGTTCTGCCGCGGGCGGAAGGAATTAATATCGATTGAAACTAGCGCGAGTTCATTGTAATGTTACAGACTCATTTACTTTGACTTGAGAAACATTCTTACATTCTTTATCTGGAATGTTTGCGCGTATGCGTAAGAAGAGTTTTATTGAAGATTTGGTAAATGTTTTTTCTTAACTATCGCTTACAATTCAAAGAGAGTTATAGTCCATCAACGTCGTGCGCGACCGTCCTGCGGGGTGACAGACGGTGGCGGGGACGAGGTACTCAAGATGTCAGCGGGTAGCGGGTGGTGAAGCGGGGAAGGGAAATACTTCTCTTCGTGTGTAGCCGTGTGCTAGAATGACGCGCTACCTCGCCCCCGCCACTGTCTGTCACCCCGCGGGACGGTCGCGCACGAGATTGCCGGGTTATAGTAACCGTTTGTCCCATATTATTAGAATTAGTAACCCAATTACTTAGTTATTATTAATTATTAAGAAACTTAGTAACCCAATTACTTAATTATTCTTAATAGTAATAGTAACTTTACACGAGACGGACTCTCGATGTCATAAGGATTTTGTGTTACCTCTTGAACATTCGTTTAAAAATATATTATTATTATTATAGTCTCTTTATTTTCATAATGAATTAATTGCAAAACAAATATAAATATATCAGGAATTAAAAGCACATATTAAGTGCATGCATGAGTGCATTATTATTATTAATTAATTATTACAATTGATATAATGAGTATTATATAACAGTAGTATAATAAATAGCGTAATTTCAAATAAGTTTCTAAATAAATAAATTCAGTTTTCATTATTTTAATTTTTTTTTTTAACTTGGAGTCGTGAATAACTCCCAGGTCTCGGACCTCATCTACCCGCTGCAACATATGACCCCTAAATAGAGTACATAAAATATATATTTTTGGCTTTGTGAGAGAAGGTAATAAAATGACATTTGTTAATATTTAAATCTAATTTATTAGCCAAGCAACAGTGCTCAATTCTATCGAAGTCTTCATCATACACACATCACTTCATCATAAGATGACAGTTTAAAATAAACAAAATTTTTAACTTTGTACCAAATATGGTTGTAACGATATCAAGAAAGTGAAGCACGCAATGTGTATACCTATCTTCCTCACACTCGTAGCAAATCGCTAGCACTATTTCTTGAATGAATTTGTATTGCATTTTTACTAAAAAGATAGCAACAATTTGCAGTCCTTGAATTCTTTTCCGTATAAATATATGAAAAAATGTATAATTATGTTTATGGGAATTTACGCGTTCTATTATATATATATTACTTTTAAACAGAGTGACGTTAGCAAAGCTTTCAAAAAATATATGTATCTTGCAAAATGTTTCAATACCTACACACAAATATATGTAGGTAGGGAAATAAAACCTAAAGCGATCAATCTGTAATGGTAACACTACTTACCGAAGGCCAGAGCTTCAGCAGTCGCCCAATCAATATCCCTTTCCTTCAAGATTTTGTCCAGCCGATTCTTTACATGAGTTTTGGCGAGATGTGGGTGTATATTCTGCAGAATAAAGTATTTGAATTAATTTGCTGACAAATTAATAGTTCAAGATCTTAAAATTATATTACGTGCATATAAATGATTAAATACGAAACATCAGAGAATATTAAATTTAGGTTGATAAATTTAATTATGAAAATAATAACGAAACTTTATTGAGATAGTTTAGTAACTTCGACCGGAAATCTACCAAGGCCTCACAGAAAACCGGCGTTATGGAATTATTTCGTGGTTTCTCACCGAGTGAGTGAGGTTACTAGACATGGAAGTTATAGCTACTTTTAAATCATAAGCATTTGTTGAAATTATTTGTTTCCGTCACTGCGATTTCACATGATACTGATTTCGTCATAGAGAAAGATAAATGCCATTAAAATCAATCAAAATTCTTTTTATCAAAGATTACGACCTTTTTTTAGAGTCGCAGTGGTTTTGTAAAGCTCACACCCACCTCACCCTGACTCTAATGAAAGGGACACAAAGGTCGGCAACGGACTTGTTACTCTGAGTTGCAGGTGTCGATGGATGGCGGTAGTTACTTACTATCAGGTGTCCCGTCTTCTGGTTTGCCCTCTTATCATAAAAAAAAACTGCGAATAAGCAAGGTGTGATATACCGTAAAATGCTGGCCACGCATAATGAAATCAAACAAATATCAGAGTAAGTACGTAAGTTTGTTTTTAACTTAAGTTTACAGAGTGTCACCACCCCTATTCAACCCGTGGGTGTCGTAAGAGGCGTAAAGGGAGCAAACTTCGCAAGAACAACAGCACTGCAGAGAGAAGGAAAACTTGACGCAAACCCTTTTTTTTTTTTTTTAACGTGTGGAAATCCCCTCGGACCGTCACCCCACCGGGGTTTACGGCGGGGTGGTGTGTCGGACTCGGACCGACTAAAACCACACGGTGTGCCACTCTGCGCCTGTAATAGGAGGGATCCGGGAACAGCTGTTATTAAGACATCCGGACCCTTCCTAGCGCCAGCCCGCTCCTGGTGCGGGCTCAGTCTCAAACCCTACGCAAACCCTACACCAACCCGTCTGGCCAGCGTGGTATAGTAGGCCAAAACATCCTTTCTAAGGAGAGGTCTATGTCCAGCAGTGGACTATTAAAGGCTGTTGATGATGTCGTAATATACAAAATGGTGGAAAAGAATGTTTTGAGTTCGATCCCCACAAGAGACATCACTTTGTGTTATCCACAAATTGTTGTGCTGAGTCTGGGTGTTCTTTGTGTCCGTTTCAAGTATGTTTGTAAAGCCCCCCGTGACACAGGATTTATTCCTAGTGCAAGAGAAGATTTAAAAAAAAAAAGCTGTAGCAGCTTTAGAAATTGATTGATCCTATATGAAACCCAAAAAGTCGCAAATAAATATTAGCAATACAATAGTCTGTCGGCAAACCGCTAGATATCGTAAGTCATTTTAAGGAGCGCGATTATTTAATGTCTAGATACCAACTAGAGTCTTTAGACACTTCAGAAAGATGAACCTTAAGGATTCACCAGGATTATATACTTATATATAATTACTAGTTTTCTTTGCAATTGTTGTGTGTGATGATAAAATTAATATATAATATATATTATCAATACTTAATTTCAAATCCTGTATATGATTTCAGTTCACAAGAATTTTTTCCTAAGCGGATTCAAATTGTATAATGCTCTCTTTATCCTTAAAAGGATATTAAATAAACTAATTAAATTAAAACGAAAATCTGTGTAGATTGTAACAACGTGAACAAGTCAGATCTAAATCAGTAAATAAGATTTCAATCAGAACCGTAAAGATTGGGATTTGTGTTAACAGTGCCCACTTAATCACGAGGTCAAAAGTACCATTACTTTTCTATTGTAGACGCGGATAAACCCGGTGTCGATATAGATCCGAAAGATACAATCAAGTCAATATGTTTCTTGTTGTCAGAAGTAGTATTTACTTATCAGGAAGTTAAGTAATTAGGTTTTAATTTAAGTTTTAAAAGCGCCCAGTTTACCCGAGTCTAGGAACATCAAAGATAGCAATCACTAACGAGACATAAACACTTATGAGCATTTGTAAAAGATGATGTCTTAGTATTTAGTAAATCACTTACAAAGTCATCCGGAACGGTGACAGAAGCTTGACCGATGAGCTTCAACATATTAGCGTCAACTCCAGTGTTAAAGGTTTCCACAGCGTTTGGTGCCGACGTTATTCCCGACCATTGTTCTTGGTAATATGTCACCTAAAAATATAAACATTAGGAATTATGGGTTCATTCTCCAATATAGAACTTTGACCGTTAAGCCGTTAAGTACTTAGGGAATAAAATATTCATTGCTCCGTAAAACTGGTAGGGAATTATAACGAGTGTTCCCACTGAAACAGAAAAGAGCGAAGCGGAGCTTTAAAATGAGTTATTCATTCTTTCATAACATTGTCTTTTTTCGAGTTTATCAAATTTTTATACAAAAGCTCTACGAATTATAAGTTATTAAATACTTTTGGTGTAAAGTTGGACTTTTCGAGATACGCAAAAACTGTTTTCTACCGATATGTAAAATTACAAAACGGGGGTAAATCAGATATATATTTAGAAACCTATCCAGTAAATTGTAAAACCTTATCTGTAATTGCTTTGCAAAAACGATCAAATTGTCTACAAAATTAAAACTTGGTAAGGAAAATGCATTAAATGGAGTAAGGAAGGGCAGTGGATTAAAATAATTACTTAGCCGCAAGCACTTCTATTTGATTGCAATGTAGTGTTACTAATTTATACGGAAATAAACTTAACGAACTTTGTGCACAGAATTACAGAATAAATAATATTCCTTAGAGTATCACTTTTCTTTCGACTTCTCGGTTTCTCTTTTTTTTCTTTGAACTATTTTCAAAGTGAACAAAACAAGAATAAAATGTTCAATTCAGTCAAGCCGTATTTAACTACACAGGCAAACAATCATCAAACTTAACTTCATTTGAAAGCTGAAGACTTGAACTTTAAGAAACAATGTGTTTTTTGCACTTTTAGGCTAAAATATCTCAAAAACCTGACGTGATAGAGCAATTCTGCGGTCGGATTTGGATTCAGCGCACCAAAATCCTACTAATAACTATACTTTGGTTTCTGGGTAAAAAACTTGTTGACCTATTAGTGAGACTAACGAGCAATTGATTTATATAAGCAGGTGCATTTACAGGGTAATATAAAGCCTGTACATCCTCATATTGTCATGTTTCTATTATGTTAATGTTTGTCGTAAAATTAATCATGTATATACAGTATTCAGCGTCCTTGATTATTAACAGCCTCAGGCTTTACTTAACGTATGTATTCTATACGAATGTTTGATTACGTGAGTTGCATAATATAAATTATTGGTTTGTTTTTTATGACTGCAGGGATGGCGTAGTGGTTTAAGCGGTCGCCACGCCGCTTCCTACTGCGCTGAGGTGTCGTGGGTCCAATCCCCACATGGGACGGCACTTTGTGTGATCCACAAATTGTTATTCTGAGTCTGGGTGTTCTTTGTGTCCGTTTCATGTATGTTTGTAAAGTCCCCCGCGACGCAGGATATATTCCTAATGCGGGAGTTGTCTTTTCAAATTGAAGGGTAAATAAAATAAAATAAAGTAATATCAAGCTAGCTTTTCACCCAAGGAGCATTTACAATGGAAGCCGAAAACCGATCTAATACAGTAGCTTTAGTCGAAGGACAAATAAATAAATAAATAATTAAACTAATGATCTCATTTTAATGATTTCTACGTTATATTATCCATTACACCAACATTGGTGCGGGTGTGTGTAGTTAGGCCGAAACATGCCTTTGTTGTCCTGATATTGAAATGACTATGTATCGAACACATTCTCGAGGAAATTAGTGGCTCAGCACTCAGTGTATTACTCTCACTTGGTATCAAGATTGATGGAGACACGCTCTTATTAATTTTGAGAACCTGTTTAAGGTTTTAAGGCGGAAAAATTTGGTTTTACCAAAGTATTTATCACTTACGTACTTTACAATTCTATATCTAATTATGTGTGTATGTTTGCTGTTAGGTATGTACTCGTATGTATGTATAGGAATAGTAATATATTCTTTGCCATATGACTATGTATAAAATCTAAATTAGACAGTTATTTTTTGTATTTAAGATGACTCTTTTGCAGGCAGTGTAAAATAAATAAATTGTAATAATTAATTGTAATTATTAATTGAACTACATGCGTCTATTTTTTCAGAAAATTCTAATTCTGTTTAAAAGTAATGTGAATAGTTTCATCTTGGACACGTATGTACTATCTTCGTTTTTAGCGTCTTTTTCTGACAGATGAGTTTAAAAACGTCTATTCCATGTTTGAATAAAAAGGCATACATGTAAGTATAGTACCTCAGGTTTATAAGTTGGAACCATTTCGTATTGAGATTGTAAGTATTTCGTGTAAGCTGATGATATGTCGTTTACATCCTCTGCTGTCAAAACTCCTTCCGATGTTAGCTTCTCGGCATATACGTCTGGAATAGACCTGTAGGAATAAAATAATTATGGTCAGTTAATTTTGGATGTTTATTACATCACATCACATCAACAGCCTTTAATAGTCTACTGCTGTACATAGGCCTATCCTTAAAAAGGCCTGCCTTGTCTATCCTTAAAAAGTACCACGCTGGCAAGACAGGTTGGTATAGTGTTTGTGTCAGTTTTCCTTCTCTTTGCAGTGCTGTGTTGTGCTTTGTTGTCCTACGTAGTGTGCTGTGCTCCCTTAGTCAGCTCTTACGACACGCACGGGTGTTACCATTACTTTAACACTCCGTATCCTTCATCCGTCACCACAAGCTTGGTTGTAAGTTTGTATGTTAGTAAATGGTTTTAATCACAATTAATTGGAGTCTACAGTACACTACGGTTACAGACGACCAAGAAAAATTAAATTCCGACGTGAACAAAGTACACCGATTAATTCTGTTGAGCCAATTAATTAAAATTGTACAGTCATAACACGTAATGGTCCACAAAATAAGTTTAAATACAAAATGTCTCGTTAAAGTGATTGTGATGTAGTAAATATTTTGTTCATTTTATTTATTTATAAAGAGATAAAGTTTGTTTAGTCCCTAATGGTTTTAATGATACAATTCAATTATATTACGTTCTAACTTAAAGTATTTTTTACTAGTAAAAAGTGTAAACATTGGTTTTTATATAATATATATCGTCAGCCTTTAGTAGTCCACTGGCTGAACATTAGAGGCAAGGAAGTTTTGGCCTACAATACCACTCTGGTCAGACGAGTTGGTATAGGGTTTGTTTTAAGTTTGCAGTGCTGTTGTTCTGCGTAGTTTGATCCCTTAGACGGCTCTTACGACACCCACGGGATAAATAGGGTTGGTGACACTCTATATTATTAAAGTCATGACATCACACATATATGTATATGTAAGATTTAATTGATAAAGTGTGTGTACTACGAACAAAAAACTGTCATCTCGCTGTTTGAACTGTATCTTTCCGCCATATGTGTGAAGGTACACAAACAGAACATAGTTGTAACTAAGTGTGAATTCAACACTGTAATGTTTTAATTAAAAAAGAATTTAAAAAAGTAAGAATACCATTTTAAAATGTGAACTAGTAGGTACTTCAGAGCTTTTTAGTTTAGTTGAGTCGCAATTCGTTCGCAACGGCTGCTGAGACCACAGCGTGTAGAAACTAAGTAGGGCCATTTAATCCCTTCAAACCGTGATGGTTTTAATTAGCATAGCCTCTAGTGTCTAGCACTTATTGGTAGTACCTACAATTACAGAGCTATTTAGGTTACCATAGAGGTTTTTTACAGTTAAAAGTTTTTTCTTGTACGCAGTTTCTGAATGGTTCTAGCCATTTAACAATAAAGGACTTTAGAAACCTAAATACAATTATAGCATTGTCAAACGCGTTGGTAAGAAGTCAGCTAGAGAGTAACGCAATCATCTGGGCTCCACATGAAGCTAAATATAGCCTCATGTTGGAGCGAGTGGAAAATAAATTAGTTAGGTTTTTGTACTTAAGATACTATGGAGCAGGGGCGTGCGCTCCTTGTAGGCAGAAATGCAGTGCATTACTTGCTATTAACAGACATTTTAATAAAACGTTGGTACGTTTTAGATGACTTTAATTAATAGTAAATAAATGAAAAAACAAAATATAATAACTTAAAAACGCCTACTATTTAAAAATAGCACCATACAAACATTGTTTGCCAGGTGTTTACCGAAAAGCAAGCGCAACACAAAGCAACTCATGCCGTCGCCTCGCGCAGGACATTTGTTCGCATGTGTGTAGTAATTTTGGTGTCCGTGCACAGTTCGCATACGCACACACCCATTTATTTTATATGCCCGACTACAGCCGCAGGATACTGCAGTTGGCCCTTCGGGTCCCGCGCTAATCGTTGTCGTGAGTATTCGGGAATAATCGGAAGTGTTCGTTGCCTATAAATCCACCCAATTACAATAGTCAGGAATATATATATATATATATATATATATATATATATATATATACAGTTGGCCCTTCGGGTCCCGCGCTAATCGTTGTCGTGAGTATTCGGGTATAATCGGAAGTGTTCGTTGCCTATAAATCCACCCAATTACAATAGTCAGAAATATAATAATGACTATTGTAAATAATGTATGCGGATTATGAATTTTGAATATGGTAAGGTTTTATTTGTTTAATTAGCAGATATGTTTCTTGTTCGCGGGGCCCATTTTTATATTTTCATGTGATAAGCATTGCTTACTAATTTCTATCCGCCAGTATAATTATAGTTTTATTTGAAAGTTTGTACATTTAACAGTTTATTACTGAGTTCCGTTGATTTAAAAAAAATGTTATTTGATTGTGAGTTATGTGTGGATAATGTGTCTATTAAAAATTAAAAATAACAAGTTCTCACAATTGCCATTCAGTGAAAAGATTAAAATTGTGTCTAAAGGTAGGTGTGTACCCGAGTTACAACAATTAAACCAGCAAAAAGGAAATGTAACTCGCAAGTTTCATGTTAAAAGTTATGAAACGTAAATTATATTGTTTTCCTTGCATATTGTTTAGTAATTCTAGTACAGTGTGGACTGATTCGGGATATTCAGATTTAAATAATTTCTATTCCGCAGCAAAGAAGCATGATGCATGGTGAGTAGTTATAATATTTTAGCCTATTATTTTACTTACTCGTATTAGAATTTCTTCCGCCGCGACGATCTATCGCTGTTTTGTCTGCACTACGCACTCTGAATATAATTGCGGATGGGATAGATTAATTCTATTGCTCACTAAGTGGATTCACAATAACACCATTAAGAATTATTTCTTATAATAAATAAATAGATAGTGAAACACTATCGCATTGGGCTAAACCTATGGTGACAGTTGTTTTAAATGGATATAAGTAAATAAATAAACACTCGGCGTAGTAGGAAAGGGCGTGGTGACTGTTTAAAAGACTACGCCATCCGTGCAGTATTTTTTTTTATCACTCTCAAAAACCATACCAACGGTTTTTCCTTTCAAGTTAACTTGGTCACTAAAAGTATTAAAAGAAATACTTAGGAATACTCACTTCCTGCTTTGTATGAGCTTGTACAACAGCGGATTTGTAAATGTGGGGTCATCTAGCTCGTTGTGACCCAATCGTCTGAAGCAATTGTAATCAATAAATACATCCTTTCTGAACTTCCTCTGATACTCGAACGCGATATTCGTGGCCTTCACAACTAGCTGTAAAGAAGATAAATTTTTTTAAGGGTTCCGTGCCTCAAAAAGAAAATGCCGAACCCTTATAGGATCACTTTGTTGTTCGTCTGTCTGTCACGACCTCTTTATTTAGGGAACACGTGGAGGTGTCGAGTTGAAATTAAAACCGTTTACTCAGGTCTACAGTTTATGCCGGGAAAAACGCATATTATGACCATGCCTGACCAGGCCCTATCCCTGAAGAAGCTGCAAACTTTGCCCCTCAATCGCGGCGTGGCGGCCCGATCGCGACTTAATGCGATTAGGCCGCCGTCCTATCCCCTAGAACCTAAAATAACCTTTTTAATTTAACTAACGAATGGCAATTTCGATGTTGCAAAATTTTTATATATTAAAGACGGCAAACTTGCAGCAGGTGCACCTAAATAGAAAGTGACTACCTCCACCCGTGGACATTTCCAACTCAAGACTCATAAGTCTGTTACTGCCCTTTTACTGCCCTCCCCAGAATCAGGGAGGGGGTGGGCGTAGGCTTCCATTCCCTCATTCATTCGGTAAGGTGTAGAATCTCGCACACCGCTGCGGATTGATACCAGGGATGTGGAACGTGTCCACAATTTCACCTACCTCGGAAGCGTCGTATCGAAAACGGGGGTAACGAGGAAGATATTACCTCACGCATTGCCAAGGCCCCAGCCACCTTCGCATAACTTCGGCCCGTGTGGCAATCACGAAAATTGACGCGGAGGATTAAAATCAAGAAATTCAGGTCCAACGTCAAATCCGTGGAAGGTGACAAAAGCCATCTCGAACAGGCTCCAGGTCTTTGTTAACCGCTGCTTCCACCGAAGCCTTAGGGCATACTGACCACAGAAGATCTCCAACGAAGAACTGTTGGTACGCAGGTACGAATCTCTGATCGACCATCACTCTCATCTCATCACTCTCTGCCCCATCATGGGGACATAGGACATTAAGTCAAGTAAGTCACTGACTCGGTAAAAGCAACGAAAGAATTGCTTAACATTGGGTTTCTTTGGTTATCATCCTGTTTATACATGCTGTACTTGGCTTTCCCACGGCTGATTTGAATTTGGATATTTTGATCCAACAATTACAAAAACTTATTGTTACAGACAGAGCAGACCTAACACTATGATGCCATTTAAAAATCAATCCTTTGCAAGGATTGAAAAGCATTTGTAAGTTTATGTCCTTAAAATCCTTTTTTGAATAATCTTTTTAATAATTAAATACAAACTTTTTTAAAGATGTCTGTAACTAATGTGGAGTAAAAATAGTTTCAGGCACGTATCCTCTTCCGATCTTCTTTACAAGCTACGTGGCCATGGCTTCATTCAAATTTCTGTCTGTTATTTATTCAGTTGTTAATAACAATATAGCCGCTGCACTATAAATACTTAAAGACGTTGCCGCCTTGTGCCTTCCCTCCAAAATAGGGTGGGGCGATTGTCTGCCCGGTCACTTTACTAATATTAACAACAGAATTTCATAAATGTTTCGCCTATACTGTTATTATTTTTTTCCGCTCCCATATGTTTTTGTTCTTGACTAGATACCGCGTCTCGGCAAACGCAGTGTAGCACGCCCACAGGCTAGGTGGAGTAACGATATGCGTAAGATGGTTGGCAGGAGCTGGATGCGAGAAACCGAAAATCGATAGAAGTGACGTGCAACAGGAAAGGGCCTGTGTCCAGCAGTGGACTGCGATAGGTTGATGATGATGATTTGTTTTAATACTATTACTATTGTTTTAATATTATTACATGCTATCCAATACCACGTAAAATATAATGAAACTAGCTATTGCCTGCGGCTCCGACAATGTAACTAATGAAAATCTAACGTTGAAAATTACGAACTTCCATAAAACCGTCCATCTCTTATTTTATCCCTCGGAGGTGACATTCCTAACTTAGGTGCTTACTACATAAAAACACCAGCTGCCAAAATTTCAAGTTTTTAGCCCCATCGGTTTAGGCTCTGCGTTGATTAATCAGTCAGTCAGGCAGGGCAAATAATTTTATATGTATACAAAAAGAGAATATAAATGAATTTAATTGGAAAAAAAAAAACAGTTTTTTGTAGGCCAGGAAAACTCGGAGCCGTCCCCAGAACAACTTACCAGAAGTATTATCATAATACTAAGTTCGTTTGAAATTCGACACTACAGCGCTGTCACGACGTCAAATTCCAAATTAAGATAGTTTGAAATTCGACGCTTTGGTGGCGCTGTACGGCTAAGTGTACCAGCAGTGCTATTCTCTAAGGCAGAATAGCACTGCTGGTCAGTGGTTTCGGGACGCAAACAGGATAAACGTAGAAAGATTGATTTTTGTTTATTTATTATAGATGCGAGAGAGTTGGCGTGAAAAAGTTGTTACAGTATTTCACATAAGATATTCACGTTTTAATTAGGGAGATTGGAACAATTGTCACAAGTAGGTACTTACTTCTGGATGATCCCCGTTTACATGTATCACAGGAACGTATATCGATTTGGCTAAATCGGTCACGTAACGACATGACCGCCCGCGAAGTGCTGGCAAAGTAAAGCCAACCTGGAATAAATATTAATGTATGTATTTTCAAACAAAGACTAAAATAATATTGGTAGTAGGAAAAATACGAAAAGAAAGAGACAGAATAAAATACAGATAATCACTATACCAAATAGGTAGGTACCGTAGGTGATATCTTCCCCATCATCATCATCATCATCAACAGCCTATACTAGTCCACTGCTGGACTAGTACTTATAGGCTGTTGATGATCTTTTATCTTCCCCAATTAGAACTATATCTAATTTAAAAGGTTTTCTTTGGAATCCGACTGCTATGTCCACAGATTAGCTCTTTTAATAACACAAACAAAAAAAAACGGTGTGCTAAACTATTTTGGTAGCCGTTTGCTTTACAGTCATTATGATTAATATTATAAAATATCAAGTTAATAGAGTTAAATTGAAACATTTATGATAAAATATATTTAATATGTATAAAATAAATACTTCGTTCTAAAAAGCCGTGTGGTGTCGTGGGACACCCGATAGGAATGAAGTTCATTGAGCTATTTGATAAATATTTCATTTATAAATTTTGATCAAGGTAATTTTTAAAATAAAATTGCGTATAATTTTTTATCTATAAACAAAAAAATATATAAAGTGTCGGCAAAAAGTTTTGTTACACATTTCTCGGTTTTGCTCACACTCGCTCAGAGCGAGTAACACGCGCTTGAACTTCGTTCCAAAAAATAAACAGCTTTATAAAATGAAATTAAAAAGCCTTAGAGACACATACGGACACGTCGCGTCGCTAACGTAGCGCGTTTCGCTGTTAGGATTTTATTCTACGTAAATAATTAATGTACTTGTTTGTCGTATGGTTGGCGCCGACTTAAAAATATTCAGATATTTACATCAAAGTGTTTAGCTATATTGACAAGTCTGTTTTCAATATTATTTTACGCTTTATAAGTTCCTTTAATCTTTACGATATTTTCTTTAATATTGATTCTACCCTGAGATAAATTGCTCATAAAATAAATACGAGTACTTAAATTACCATATGCACAATCGGCCTTCATATCACTAAAAGCTATCTTATAAAGGCAAAGTTTGGAGACACAATCAATATTAAATAAAATAATAATGGCTGTTGTCGAGAGGAATTAAAATGTCATGTTAGTATTACGTAATTATACTGTGTAAATATTTTATAGATATAGATATTTTTCAGGTTTTAAAGAATGTTCAACAGAAAAGAAAGAAAAAGAATCAACTAAAAACTTTGCTTTCGCATTGATAATAATCTGATTAAACACGCTAGGCAGCGGCTTGTCAGAGGCTCTGGCATTGGCGAAGTCCATGAGCAGCGGTTACCAGTTACTATTACGTGGGCCGTCTACCACCATTGGCAATTAAAAAAAATGTCGCATATACATATGTGTACCTCTGTACTTTTATTTATTTTTCTCGTTAAAATACAAAATGTGCGAATCGACGACTTAACCACTGAGTTTTTGTTAAGTAACGGGGAGAAAATTCAATCTATTTTTTTTTAAATAAAATGATAATAGACTGTTAACGAAACTATTTATGACACAGCTGTGACAGATGGACGGTTATGTTTTTAAAGTATTTGTATGTATTGTGAATTTCTTTGGCACACTGTAGCCTAAACGGCTTGCTTAATTTTGGCGTATGAGGTGTCGTTAGATTAGACTTGATTATAATAGGTATACGCATAAAAATTTAAATCGCCCATTTGTTAAATATATATTTTAACGCAGTCGGTTTTTTTCCATAATTAGCTTGTTTTCATCATTTGTTTAACTTACCTGATTATTAACAACAACGTGTAAAGATCCACCAACATTGAAATGCGGAGCTTGAGACAACATCAATGTTTCTTGGTTTACTCCTTGACCTGTGAAGGCTGCATCCCCATGTATCTGCAAAATTAAACAATTTTCAATGGTAAAAATCCTATCAAACCCTTCCACGGATGGCAAGAACAAGTGTATAGGTTAAACTCAAAAGAAAATACAGCAGCTGATGATTCCAACATCAAAATTATTACTGGAAGAGTCTTGAACATATAGCTGCAGTTATAGAAGTTTCCCGAATGTCTAGTCATGATTTGTTTATGAAGTTTGTCAATATCAGTTATGTTAATTTTGTTAGATAATTCCAATGAATGACCAGTTTCTGGAATGCTTACGAGTACCAGTTGAATTAACAATTTTTTTAGATAGGAGTGAACCGGGTTAGTTTTCATTGTAGAGTAATTATTGGGCATATCTCTCAACTCTGTAAGACACACGCTGTTCCATTTTTTAATAAATAATGCATTATCTATATAAGATGAGCTGAACTATGTAGTCATAACGGATTCTGACCGTACAATGGACATATTAATATGTTGTTCTACAGCATCCTCACTTCCAAATTTTATTGATTGCAGATACATCCCTTTGTTAAATGTTCGTCTAACTTTTCAGCAACTAGCCTAAACACACGTAAACTTTCTTTGTCAAACACACACACATTAAATGTTTAATTGAGAATAAATTCAAATCCAAGCAGTATTGAAATTTACTTCAGTCTTCAAAAATTAATATAAAACCCAGATTTTAGATATAGCAGGGAAATAAAATAAAATCTATTCGATAAAAAAAAAAAAAAAAAAAAAAAAAAAAAAAAAAAAAAAAAAAAAAAAATGAGACGTTTGTTGTCCTCGTTAATTTATACAAAAATATCTGCCTACCTGTACATTCAGCACTTTGTCACCCATTCTTGTATTATCGTCTCCTGAATAATCTCCTTCCATTAAGCGCAGTTGTTTTGATCTAGTTTTACCCATGGATACCGGATTCGCCGCCTAAAACATTAGATACAAACTTATTTTAAGCTTAATACTTGTATTCTGAAGTTCCATATTAGAGGGGTCGATGCACCAATCGTTTAGAGTTATAGGTAGGCAATCTCGATTTGTTCCAGTAATTGTTTACATTCCGTATACACAAGCAATAACTTTCTTTAAAAACTTCTAAAACGATTCAGCTCAAACTTTGACACGATATACAACCCGCTTCAAAAGTTGTTTTTAATCTATTTTTGCAATTACAGTGCAATGCAATGCATCCATATCGTCTCAAAATTTGAGCTCAATTGTTATAGAAGTTTTTAAAGCTTACACAAACCGACGTAATATTTATGTTATAAACAGGGTTACTAGTTAAGTCGATCTAGAAATTTTAAGGGGTTTCAGTGGCCATTATTGCTGGCTAATATCTTGAAAATCGTTAGATTTGGGATATGACATTTCTTAGTTAAATCTATTAGCATAAATGGCCACTACAACCTCTTAAAGTATCTGGGTCGACTTATAATAATAATAATATAATTTATTGTCTCCAAAAGAAACATACACCGAAAACACACATGAGTTATTACAATCACAACATGTATACATATTTTGTTGACCTCTGGTACCCAAAGTAAGATTTAACTTGCGGTATGGGTATGGGAAAGTGCAGTGTATCGTAGTTGCATATGCATGAGGTGAATTGCTTAAGGTAAGTACTGCTTAACTTAACCAGTATATTATATTAAAGCCGTTAGAAAAAAGTAAAGAAAATCATCTATTACTAAAATAGATGAGAGTAATTATGTAACACATTTATTTAAATGAAAAATCAAATTACTCCATCATAGATAAATGTAATAACTATCATTAATAAGTAAATGATGAAAATAAAAAAATAAATACCTCTAAATGAGATGGGTTATTTAATAAAGAAAATCTGACTGTTTTATCGTTTACTGTAATATCTGCTGATACACCTGGAAAGAAAATAGAATTTAATGTTTTAGCCATCCAATAAATGCATAAGAGTACATTAACTAACATCGATCAATCAAACTGCGTTAAGTCTACTAGTCTTACTTCTCGTACAATGTTTACAGTGCACTAGGATTCCCTTAAATACCACGCAATGCAGTTCAATGTGAATGGAGCAATAAATTCTCTATAAATTAACATCTTATTTTTTGAGGAGATAGTGTTAACGGACCAATATAATCAAAAAATTGCTTTTAGCCGGTGTCGGCTTTCTATATATTTCTGCGTCAGCCAGTTGAGAGACTCCATCAAGGTACGACGACCCTGAAATTTCAGCGTTGGACGACACGAAAAAAATAAATCGACATTTAAAAATTAACATCAATTTATAAGATGGAAAAGGTACAAGTCTAAATTGTTCAAGCATTTGAATGTAACCAAGTTATACCAAATGGTAATCTTTATCATTCATTATTTATTAGGGTTTCGTTTATTTGGCGTTCATTAACTTGACATTGACATTACGTTTACATTGATTTATTTCGGGTCCCGATAAATGCTTCTGTTAATTATAATATAGTCAGCTATATAATTCAATCTCAGATGTACCTGGGGACTAAAGTCAATTGCAAACCGCGTTCTAAAATGTCTCTAACAACAAATCGAAATTCTAATTTCACACAAAAGTTATGGTGAGTGAGTTGTCAATAACTTAAATTGAATTCAGTGAATTATAATCAGTGTCCTTTTTATTTGTGTTTTAAAGTTCATTGTAATTATTTTCTTCTAACATTGTTCGCATAACGTTCTTCGTTAATAGTTCTGCATGTATTATAGGATATGCTTGTAATAAATGACAGATATCCGTTGGAAATAAAAATTACTTTACGCTTTATTATGCTATAGAGGAATGCAAGTATGTATGTAGTTTATTTCTGAAATAACGAACTAGGACTGCCTTTATGCTAGAACTGTGTGAAATTTAGTTTGATGTGAAGTTTAGTTTATCAATAGGACAATTCTCGAATACAGTAACAGTTCGATGGTCGTGGTAGGGTATTCAGAGCGGTCGTCTACAGTCGCAATAGTTAGTTATATCTGCAAAACTACGATTCGAAAAAATAATTACCTACCTAGGTTCTCAGTAAATAGCGTAGACTAAAATTATGCGTTCTTTCTCCGTCTGCTTAGATCCTGGGGTAAATTGAATTTAGTAAGACAACATTGGCGAGAATGATCATTAGAATTGCAGAAGATGTAACAATGTCTAGAAAGATCTGTAACACTTCCAGTTTATATGTACCTCACACATTTCACACACGGCTGTCTGATCCCAAACTAGACAGAGCCTGTGCATATAAATATATGCTTTTCATTTGCATTAGAATGTTAAGATCAAAATCAAGAATAGACATACTATTATTGATCTAACAAAAAGCGTTGCTCTATAACATTAAATAAACAGAGATTTGAAAAAGAACTTGATCAAAAAAATAGGGAGATATAAATTTAGAAGACATCCATTAAATGGAACCAGCAAAATGTTAATAATTTACACATTATGACTAAAGTGGTTTGTGGCTAATGCTAAATTAGCGACCTGTTGTAAACATCACTTACTTAGATGAGTAGAAATATCGCAAACCGCATTTGCTTCTTCAGGGAATTCTGGTTTTCCGCTGAATTTGTGAAAGATTTTGACAGGTGGGCATTGAAGAAGACCGCTTAGTGCGTTGAGTTTGCCGCGATGAGCCATTGCTAGGATTACTTGTTCTACGCCGTCTGTTATGACAAATGTTTTAATATAGTAAATTTTGGAATATGGGAAGGATTTTCTTCATAATTAAATCATAAAACAAAGACGTACAACAGGTATAGTTGTTTAGACTCTAAAAGAACTCGAAGTACACAGTTTTTCTGACGATCTGCAAGTAAATGTCTGTCTTCAGAACTTCGTGAAATGTAAGGATCTGGTGTAAAAGAAATGAGGAGTTATTTTTCTAGCTAATATGTATTTAATTACACACATTGGAGAGTTTCTAATTATCTATTAATAAGTGACTTTCCCTTACCGTCTGGATATCTTATGTTTGAGGCTTGAGGTAAGGCCTATATCTTTTGAATGTAGGTATAAATTCTTAATAAAGTGATTTCTGAACTCAAAGTAACGATATCACGGCAGTGATAACAAAAAGGACAATCTTACCAGTAGTTGTCAACCTAAACAATGTAGAGAAGAATGTGAGTAGTGATTCAGCGCCTTCACCACAATAGCGCTTTACTGTAGGGTACTTGACACTCAAAAATTTGTCCCATGCTTGGGAGTGCAGCAACTCTTTTGCAATTTCTATTTGTCGACTTTTGTCTACGGGGTCTTGTCGACTCTCTACGCGTTCGGCAAACCATTCTCGTTCCGCTTCTGTCTGCAAATATATTTGCTAGTGATAAAAGATAGCGAGTAGAGAGCAGAGTAGAGAATAAGAACGCAGGGAGTCAAGGCATCTGCGCGCAACGGAGTATTGGTTTTACTGCTCATTTGACAAATTGAAAAGAGCTTATTTATTTACCTTGACAAATAAGCTTACAGTTGTAGAACCAAAGCAATTAAATCTTAAATTACTTATATTATGTTCATTGCTGCTATTTTTGTTTGGGTTTTCGGAACTTTTATAATTCTTGAGCAGATCTGTAACTGGTTAGAATTTGATTTTACGACAAAAAAAAAATCTCCGATCCCTTACTCCAACAATTGGTATAAAAATAATTTATTTTAGATACCTCTTTTATTTTTCTATACCCATTCGGTGGCCAACAAGCATACCACCCGTTTGATGATAAATGGTTACATTTGACTTAGGACGTAAGTCCGGGGCAATCGCAAACCCGTAACAGTCTTTTTGAAAATCTATACACAACTTTCTTAAATAACCCACAATCTATTTTGCACACCCGTAACAGTCTTTTTGAAAATCTATACACAACTTTCTTAAATAACCCACAATCTATTTTCTTAAAAACTTTATATTCATAGTAGTAATTTATAGTAGCTTCATGCTTAAAAGCCCTAAAGATCATTTTACTGATAGGAGAATGAAATCTTGTAGTACGATTTTGTTTCAAAGATGGTCTTTACACAAGTTTACTGAATTAAAATATATAAAACTACAATCTTAAACTCACCTCTAAATAACTGAACTCATAGGAAATAGGTCCACAATATATCTTCTCAAGTTCGTCCACCAGTTTTTGAACGGAATGTTTGCCGTCATATCCGTACAGTAAACCCAAGTCAACAGCATCAGTTGAACGAAGTCCATATCTCCAAAGACTTAATTCTTTGACGGTTCTAAAATTTAATTTAATTTATCGAAGATTGTAAATACCAATTTTCAACTACCATTAATATAATTGCTTGTTGATGTTGTATAAAAAATGGTTTCAGGTTCTAGCTTTGTTTGGTTAAATTATTGTCAGTCAAAGACAATTATTTTATAAGAGAAAGAAATGAACAAAGACGATCCTCACTTCTTGAGGTTCTTAGGGTGTCCATTTTGTTCGGAGCGTAAATTTAATTATATTCAATTTGGTTGATTCAAGGCGAAAAAGATAAAAACAACTTATTAGAATCAGAGCGTGTTTAGCAGAAGTGTCAAATCGTAAAAACTGGCCAAAATTGACATAACATGGCAGAAGTTTTGTTTTAGAGACCTCTAATTTGCTGGTACTGAATGAAAATGCTCTATAGACTTTTGTGAATATATTATACAAAAGTTCTCAGTTTTTTTACAAGAAACTTGAAACGCTTCAGCGACGGTATATATTAATATATAGGTAGGATACATTAGTTAATAATAGATTGTGTGACAGGACCAGGAGATGTAAGTAAATTAAGAAGATGTAAAGGCTTTCTTGCAGGAGTTTATCAGGTGTCACAAAAAGAATTTCTGGTCATTAGAATAAGTGAAGCGTCTTTCCTATTTTATAACATTTTCATTCAGTTAATGATTTAGTATCAAAATATTATTTTTTGCCCCTTTATGGAATATATAATTAGTTTATGGAATATTTCAATTGAATTTTAGAGAAATATTTATTTGGTTACCTGTCTTCCTTAACGTAATCGACATTGTCGATGGTTGCTCTGAGATGCCCGTGTGTGCGGTAAGCGTTGACCAGCTGCTGCGCCCTACAATTCTCGAATCTTCTAACAAATACATGTTCTGGAGTCTCTGAATAGATAATTTTCACTTGTATTAATGATTAAATATTTTGTTATATAATTTTAAAAGCATTGAGTTGATACAAGGCTGGAATTTAAAAAAGTGGTATTACGCACTATAGTAAATAAATGTATGGATGCTGCAGAGGTTACAACTACAGATAAACAAATCATTGTATTGATTATTGAATATAATGACTTCATACACTTCACACAGTAGTCCGAGTGAGTAAGAGACTCAGGGAGCTCAGGACAACAGCACTGCAAAGAGAAAGTAAACTTGAAACAAAACCCTATACTAACCCGTCTGGCCAGCGTGGTATAGTAGGCCAAAACCTCTTTCTAATTAGAGGTCTGATCCTAAATTAGGCAGTGTGTGTTACGATAACCAGATAGCTGACAAACAATTATTTATGTTTCTAAATACATACATGACTAAATACATTCTAACTGCTATGGATCGTGAATTCGATTCCTAGCCAGGACAAATAATTGTGTGATAAGATGATCATGTGTTCTGGATGGGCGTGATTTATCAAGAATATGTATATATACTTAGAAATAAAAATGTATGTTTATCAGCAATTTGGTTATTTCAGGCTCTGTTTTAGGATCAGACGGTCGTAGGTGAGATGCGTCAAATTATTATTATAGTTAATTGACCAATCTTATTATATTTATTAAAATAATACTTAAGTCCGTGTGGTGACGGATTAAGAATACGGAGTGTCACCATCCCTGTTTATCCCCTGAGTGTCGTAAGAGACTAAGGGAGCAAACTGCGCAGGATAACAGCACTGCAAAGAGAAAGAAAACTTGAAACAAACCCTATACCAACCCGTCTGGCCAGCGTGGCATAGTAGGCCAAAACCTCCTTTCTAAGGAGAGGCCTATGTCCAGCAGTGGACTGTTAAAGGCTGTTGATTAATACTTAAAAATTAATTATAAAAATAAAACTTGTTATAGATAAATTAGATCTAGACACACAAAGTTATTTTAGCTGCCGCTGGCTTAGCAGTCAGGATCATTAAACAACAGGCCAGACTTAGGAACGTACGAATAACCTTGATTTGAAACTTTCTTCAAGAAAATTGACGTTTACATAATCTCATGCAGTCTGAATCTCAAGAGAGTTTCATTATTAACATCACAACACGAAAACATCAAACAGCAAGATGGTAGATATTGCTAGAAAGGTACTTTAACTTTGAATTTAATCTTATCACTACATATTGCGGGTACTTTTATCTAGTTTGTATACTTTACACGAAGTATTTGCTGTTTACCATCACAAAATAAACAATATACTTTGTTTACCATCGCAAGTATCGTTTGAGTCTCAAATAACACTATACCAGGGTGTTTTTAAACGTAATATACGAATATATATCTTATCTTACTCATCTCACACACGGGCGTCTGATCCCAAACTAGGCAGAGCCTGTACTATTGTAAGGTTTAGTATTTCACTTTATCCAGTCCTAACATTAACAGTAATATTTCAGAGATAGGATATCTTTGGCAAATGGTTGGCAAAATTTTCAGAACACCTACAACAAATTTCGAATCTAATAGCCACGACACAGTTTTACACTAATGTGGCTGTTGTCGAAAATCCTTAAATTATTTATTTTTTGTCCTAAATAAAGATTATGATTATAAAGATGCTTATTATAAAGACTAATGTGTCTCATTCAAAATATTAAAATATAAAGTTGTGTCACGTCATTTATGTCTTGAAAAAAATTCTTTAATTAGTTACACTTTAGTATTTAGCAACCATATTTTCACTTGTATTAACTAGTTGATAGTTTTATAGAACGCTAATAGGAGGGGTGATGTAGGTAAATCTGCATGTCTGTTTGTGGTATCATAGCGAATGGACTGATTTTTGTTGTTTCTTTATGTAGAAGAAAATATGTTGTTTCTTTTCATACACATATGTCAGTTGTCAATAAACATATGTGTCAATTATCTGGTTATTGAGAAGAATCATTACATACGACTATACTAAGATGAGTGTTTAAATATTAAACAACGTCGCCCTTGAAAAAAAAAGACGTAACAAAATATGCATAATAATATGCAATTTAATAAAATAAAGTAATCTGTACTTATTTTATTAAGTAGCAACTTTTGTTTAGAAAAGTACGGAATAAAACGGAATACGAAGAGTATGGGAAAATACGGAAGAAGTAATGTAGTAGTTATAAAGTTTCTCCTATAATGATATTATTGAATCATCATTATCAGCCTATCGCAGTCCACTGCTGGACGTAGGCCTCTCCCATTATTGATGAATAACAATTTATATTTACTAATAACTAGCTGCACCCTGCTGCTGTACGCTGTTGCACATTGTGGTTACACGGATAAGAAATGAGGAACAGAACTGACTAGAAAAATAAATAAAAACAATCCTTGTTGTAGTTGAAATAGTATGTATATTGTGTTAAAATTTGACCTCAATCGGTTCATAACTTTTTGAGTTTTTGAAGCATTAACAAACGAACTTAACATTTATGTAAATATATATAGATATTTTGTATTATATTACTACCCTAAATAAAGTTTCGATAACAATGCTTCAATTCATAAGTGATATCGTTTTATAACTCTGACCAATGTCAGTGCAACTGAGCTGTCAACTGACGTACTTTTTTATATTCACCGCCTACAGACCATAATTTATTTATAACGTTGCTAGCTTTGCCTCGCAGTTCCGCTTGCGTTAAATTGTTTTCTATCCCTAAGGAACAAAACTTTCAATAAAAAAGTCCTTTTATGTTGTACCTATACACCCTTTTCTGTATCCCTGATAAGGTACATAAAAAATGACATGAAGATCAGTGGAGTATTTGGTGCTAGAAAATGTAAAAAATAGACAAATTAACTTACTTTAGCATTTATAATACATATTAATGTTGATTAGTGCAATCAATTCGATCTTTAACCTATAGTTAATCGATGCATCAGACTTGCAATTAATATAATATACAACTAAACAATCATAAATCAATATTTATAAGTACCAGTTTCATTCACTTTCTTCGGTCGATGACCGAACACTCCCACTCCTGAATGATAGTAAATCAACCGTTCGCACGACATATCCTTCCATCTTATCAGCTGTCTCGTTCCCACTTTAATACTCAACATTTCACTACAACTAAATAAACAGCACAATACATGAACGGAATGCACGAAAAATGTATTCTCGTAAACTGTTAAATTGATTCAAGGTCTTCAATTTTTAACATCGTGCGCACGAGTGGATATTACCGCGCACCGTTGCGCACTGAATGTATGTAGGAGCAGTCGGAATATTCATCATAGTTCATTGGTTACTTGTTATTTGACGCAACAATTGTCTGATCTTGATTATGGCTTATAAGTCCTAGAGCTCAAATGAATTCTACATTTGTAAATAACAGAGACAATTTTAGTACCTACTGTTTTAGAACGAACTACTAATTCCGTCTATCTAGACGTTACGTCCTCTGAGGTTTTAGTACATTCTGTAGCTAAATGAAGTGTTTAAAATAGTCAACCAATAAAAAGATATCAAAAATCTATAAATAAACCTACTTATAACATTATTGCTTATATCATTCATATGACATGATATTATAAATATAGTTGTAATAATTACTATAATTGACTGATTGTGAAAATAAATTGTAGATAATAATTATATTCAACGAAATTTCATTATTACTAAAAAAAAATGCATAGTCTAGCATATGTGAAACATCGAAATGATTTGGTTGTAATAATAATGAGTATAAAAGGATAACCTGTGAAGGGAAGTAATAAATACAGCATAATTAAAAATATAGCCACACATGCATTACATGTTTCATATACTATCTGATAGCGTGGCGACGCGTTACTACGTCGCCATGCCAATAATCGGCCTGACTCTCCGTATTATATTTTTCACATCTAAAAAATAATGAAATAAAAATATATAGATCATAGATCCATGTCTTTCTTTGCTTTAAAGTTGACCAAAAATGTCTCAGTTTTGATTGTTTTTTCATAGAAACCATGCAAAAAACTAAATGATAATGGATAAAATTGATAACAACAAAATAATGGTAAGTATATTGTTCGTAGCGTTGTCTCAATGTTTTCTTTAGTGTGGTTAAAAGCAAATAAAATTTTACAACCTGCTGTTAAGATAAGAAGTCTATCTCATCAATGTTAACATAGCAACATGCATTATCATTTGACTTACTTATTTATTTTCAAAGATAACTGATTACTTTCTCGAATGTAATGTTTCTGTAAGTTTATTTAGTTTTAATAATTTATGCAATAACACTGCATAAAGTATTACAATTAAATTCGGCGTTTCTTCCAGTCGACTTTTAGGTGAGACAGAGCTGTGTGAGGCAGGTGTATAATTGAAGCTAATAAGATAAATGACTCTTTAATATTTGTTACCAAAATTAACCTACATAGATAACCTAAACACACAAGTCTTACATAACAAAGTGAATGCTGTCGTTTCCGAAGCCAAATGTGGGTAGTAATTAAAAGCTACAACTCACATTGCTAATCTTTATTTAATCCTCTACCTGCTCGGTGGTGCAGTGTATGCAGCTGCAGTCCTGAGGTCTCGGGTTCTATTCCCGGGTCCTCCGACCCGGGCATAGAACAAATGTTTGTGTGATCTGCAAATATTTGTTACAGGGTTTGGGTGTTTTCTATGTATAATATTTTTATTTTATTTATTTATTTAAATCTTTATTGTATACACTTTAATAGAAAATAACAAAAGATGAGTTACAAATAAGTAGACGTAACAATCGGCGGTCTTATCGCTCACAGCGATCTCTTCCAGACAACCTTAACACGGATTTTTGGTATTTATTTACAGTTTAGTATACATACACGTAACACATTATCACGTGAATATTCATAGACATAAACAAACACATTCATACACAAATGAACATCTATGGACATTACGCAAATACACATACACACATACCCATACATATTTGGAATATATAATATATTAAATGGTGAATCGAAACAGTATTTATAATGACAGATAAAAATCCTTTAATATTTAAAAAAAAACAGGCAAAGTTTTATCTTGTCGTATTGTTTCAGGCAAGTTGTTCCAGACTCTTACTGCTTGCACAGTGAAAGATTTGTCTGCAAACTGGGTGGAATGTTTTGGCATGTTTAGTTTTAAATTCTTCGATGACCTCAGGTCGCTGCAATGTGTGATGTGTAGGAACTCAAAACGTTCTTTGAGATAAGAGGGTGTGTGAGCATGAAACAGAACACTGTATAAAAGAGAAAGATTATGGAGATTCCGGCGAAGGTGTATTGGTAGCCACTTGAGTTTGGAACGATACTCTGAGATGTGATCATACTTGCGTAAACCAAATATGAATCTAATACAGAGGTTTTGGAGTCGCTCAAGTTTGTTCAATTGGTCTTCGTTGAGATCCAGGTAGCTGACATCGCTGCAGTCAAGGATGGGAAGCAGAAGAAATTGTGCCAGGGCAATTTTAGTATTGGTTGGAAGGAAGTTCCGTAGTCTTCGCATAACATAACTTCTCCAATCTGAGGACCCCAGGATAGGTACCTATCCATATAGATCCCCAAGTTTTTAACTTTTTCACTATATGGGACAACCGAACCGTTGCAGGATATAGGTGGTGTCTGCTGAAGGTTTATTTCACAGTGCAGCCTGGGACTTCCTACTATAATCACTTGTGTTTTCGTAGGGTTTACACTTAGTCCGTACTCTGTACTCCAGTTACATATTCTCACTGAGTCTCTGTTAAGTTTATGTATGTAGGTATTTACAACAAAAAGTATGTAAGTACTCGTATTCTATCAGTCAATCTAGCTTTTATAATACAAGCTCTGCTTAGTTTAAAACTAGATGGCGATATGTTTAAGATGTCCGAAAATATTAAATATAATATTAATCCATCCATCGATACCCTTGATAAGTGCTAACTGTTTAAAAAGTCTGTTAAATATGTTACTTATGAACTAATAGAACATGAATTAAGTCCCTATTAAATGAGCTTTATATTAATGAATAGGTACAAAAGACCTTTCTGGGGTCCTCCGGGACCGCAGGGTTGGTTGTCAAATAACTTCAGTAAAAACTAGTTTAAACTAAAACGGGGTTTTGTTATTTAATAAATAATAATTGGAAATGGTTTAATGATTCGTGTTCATAATTGCCGTACAGGTACAACGAAATTCATTTAACGATTGTACACGCAATGCATGTTTTCAATGTTAATTACTTCATATTAATCAATCATTCATATCCGAAGCATAAACTCTTTCGGCATTTGGTTTTAGAACGCTATAATTTTGATTTATGGTGAAATGGAGTAATCCTCAAAGTTTCGTAATTTTCCGAAAGGATAGTTCGTTTTGTTTCTGTTGTTCCAGGTAAATGAGTTTGAGAAAAGAGATCTATCTTTTAATATAATAGGAAGCTGAACGGATTTGAATAAAGAAAAAATGCTCAGGTGTCTTTTCATCAAGTGGAACCTTAAATAAAAACAATAGAAAAGCAACTCTAATTCATACAGATTAAATTAAAAATTAGAAAGATGTGTCAGACAAATCTCATAAGCCCTTTCTTTACGATATGGAAAAAGAAAATACAGTACTTGAGTGATTATTGTAGCTTACAAGTGCTTGGTTATGTGTTAACACCGTCTCCTGCAACCTTATTTAAACGGTAAGCATATATTTCAAGCTTCACTGATAGAAGAAACACTTGAAGGCATAAGGAATACTTTGTGCCTACTTATGTATTTCTGGGATGCCTAAAAAGTTTCGAATCAAGAATCTTTCCTATTTCAGGGTTCCTTTCCTCAAAAGTAAAAAAGGAACTTCTAATAGTTTCACTTTGATGACAACTTATGTGTCTGACTGTAAAGAATATTCTAATTAGAAACACGTGAAAATACCTTGTTTCTGCATCTCTTGAACCTCTAAAATTTAATGGATAGTTGGCGCTCCACTACTGTGCGCTTTTCGTGACACTTTTTGCCCCGCACAACCAATATGTGGAACGGGGATACGACCTTCAAACCTTCAAGAAAAGAGCGTACTCCTTCCTAAAAGGTCGGCAACGCGTTTGTGACTCCTGAGTTGCAGACGTTCATGGGCGGCGATAGTCACTTTCCATCAGGTGACCCGTCTGCTCGTCTGCCCCATCTAACATTTAAAAAAAACTTTGGGTGTAGACTGCTGAGATGAACATCATCGTTATCAACGTCTATTTATAACTTTGCTTCCTTAAAGATTTAAACCGATCCAGCTTTTCTTACAGCTAATTAATTTATACTGCCTGTACTATAAGCTCACTCTTCTTTCAGAATATTCTGGTTAGTAACAATATTGGCCAGCAGCGTGTGTTCAGTAATTGTATTGCGCGGAGCTCTTGCAAATTACACGTCTGATGCAGTTTCCTATTCTGTTGAGACGAACTACTTGGGGTTCAATACACCCTTCCCCGCTATAACGATATGTGACTGTTGGGTGGAGTCACATAAGAAGATTGTCGAGAAGTATTTTAATGTGTATGTATTGTTCTTATACTTTAGATACAATAATGGTTTTATCAGGCATAAAACATTTGAATGTTTAAACGAGCAAATTTAAATTTTTACAGGCATGGGTGATAGTTATTGTTGACTAGCTGGTACCTGCGACTTAGTTCGCGTTGAGTTTGAAAAGCGCTGCCTTAGTGGGTTCGATGCCCGGACCGGGCAAAATTTTAAAGGGTTTTTTTGAGAGGAAAAAAAAACTTAGGTAATTCCTTATGTAGACAGCTAACTGGTAGTGAAAGATTACCCGGAACAAACAGACAGACAGACTAAAAATCTTGTTTTTAGGCACAGGTATCGTGAAAATAACCGTGTGAGCATGAAAAAACCTATAATTTTGACATTACAAACAGACACTTCAATTTTATTTATTTGTATATATGACTATGAAGAAAGAAAATATCTTAGCTATTAATTAGGATTATAGGAATCATTATACATACGGCGAAGTATATTACCTCAAAGAAATTAACTTCTAAAATTTATATTTCAAAAGTTAAATCTAAAGTCAAAGCCTTTTTCGCATGACTTTTAAGCATTACTGTTTTATAAAAAGTTACTACGAGTATATAATAAAGTACACCCGAAATTTTAGGACGACTGTCTCAGAAGGTCTTGTAGACTTTGCAAAGGAAGTAAGTTTTTGGAGCGTGAAATTTTGCAAGCAATGCTTAAAGTGCGAGTTGGGGCGGACATGCATTGAGGACTTTTCTGGCCTGGTCAAGTTTATAAGAAAAAAGTGTACGGAACTATTCGTGGGATGTACGTGGAACGATAAGCCGTTCCCATGCTGTGAAAAGTAAGTTATGTTTCAATTGGGTCTTTATTTTAAAACACCGTAGATACCAGTCGTATAGGAACTATTTGCTTAGGATTTAAGGGCTGTGGGACAGTCAAATGAAACAGGAATATATTAAAAGCCGGGCCTTGTGTGTCTAATAGATAATTATTGTACAGTATGGCTACATGGGTGCCGTTCATTAAAAGGGCGGTGATATAACTAAGAGTGATATCTTCATATATGTAACCAAAATTGAAGATTTAGTTTTTATACTCAAAAGTATTTTATTTAAAAACTAGCTGAGACCCGCGGTGTTACCCGCGTTTGTTGTTATAACCGCGGGCAACGCCGCGGGGCGAAGCTAGTCTAAAAAAAGTAGCCTAAGTTACTCCTTATGTCATCAGCTATCTGCCAGTGAAAGTCCCGTCGAAACCGGTCAAGCCGTTCCAGAGATTACCCGGAACAAACAGACAGACAGACAGACAAATTTTAAAAAAATGTTATTTTGGCATATGTAGCGTGTATACATACATATGCATTTAGTAAAAAGCGGTTATTTTAATATTACAAACAGACACTCCAATTTTATTTATTTGTAAAGATAATAATAACACTCTACCACATTCACACAACGTGATCTAGTCCCAAACTAATACATACATATTATACATAGAAACATCCAGACCTAATCAAACATTAAATCTTCACGCTCACAAATATTTGACTTGAGCGGGTATCGAACCTGCGACCTTTGGCTTAGCAGTCCGTTACACAAACCACTACGCCGTAAGGCTAAATACTGTAAGGATTTTTTGACATCTAAAATCCCACGTACCATTTGATGGCTAACTCCAGGACGCGCTTTTATAGCTGGAATCTAATATCGGGCATTTTCCTGATTTGACACTTCCGTCCCTTGTTCCACAGATTGTATAAAACTGAGAGGAACACTCATTAAAATATTAATTCTGGTTAATACGAATTTACTTTTAGACTGCACGGATGGCGTAGTGGTTTAAGCGGTCGTCATGCCGCTTCCTACTACGCCGAGTGTTGTGGGTTCAAACCCCACATGGGACTACACTTTGTGTGATCCACAGATTGTTGTTCTGAGTCTGGGTGTTCTTTGTGTCCTTTTCATGTATGTTTGTAAAGTCTCCCGCGATAAGGGATTTATTCCTAGTTCCCGCACTTCTTTTTTACTACTACTGTCTTTTTTAATAAAAAAAATATATAAATTAAATACTAGCTTTTGCCAGCGGGTTTGCCCGCATGTATGTCGGTTATCGCGGTAAAAAGTAGTAACTAGTACTTAGCTTGCCATTGGAGAAATAATTTTTAAAATCGGTTTAGTGGTTAAGGTGTGAAAACGAAACAAACAAACAATTTCACTTTAACGTTTATAAGATAAAGTTTATGAATGTACTCATATATAATTATATTATATGTAAATTTATTGATATGTACACTTATATTATATAGGTATGTGGGTGTAAAAATGTATCCTAACTAATATTCAATATAGTTAATGCGAAAATAAGTTCGTTCGTTTCTTTATTTAATTCTCAGAACTCGACCGATTATTTAATTGCCAGTTTATTTTCGTTTCATCCAGTAAAACGTACGGCTTAAGAGAAGAAGTGACTTGATTAATAAATAATAATAATAACCTCACTCATCTCACACACGGCTGTCTGATCCCAAACTAGGCAGAGCCTGTAGGTACTATGGTAACCAGACTGCTGAAAAACACACTTATATTATTTCTAAATACTTTTTTATTTACATATTATAGATAAATTCCACCCAGACACAGAAGAAATGATCGTGCTCATCACACAAATATTTGTCCTGGGTGGGAATCGCACCCACGACCGCCGGCTTAGTAGTCAGGGTCACTAGACCAACAGGCGCGTCGAGCCAAAAACTAATTTAATCTGTATTGAGAAACTAACGATTATATAACGTTTAAACTTTCTGTTATTGTTTTTCTAACCTTACCTCAATTAGAATATGCGTTTGAAGTAGAACATTTACATAAAATCTCTGTGACTTTGTTTGCTGTTGGTATTGGTATGTACATATATTAGTTGTACAAATTTGAGGAGGACTTTTCGTTCTTGTATATGAACCGAAAATAATTAATATATTTTCAACGGCTGATCAAATAACTGTTTAATGTGAGTTTCTTTATAAACACGCTTTCATGTACCTTGGTATGTATGTATCTATGTAACGAATTCTTTGAACGTAATTTTGACATGCTTCAATGGCGTGGTATAGTAGGCCAAAACCTCCTTTTCAAGGCTTATGTCCAGCAGTGGACTATTAAAGGCTGTTGATGTGATCATGATCAGGATATTCATTAACTGCTTTTTCCATACCCAAAAATATGGTAGTGTATTTTGCTAGGTACTAAGAGGCGTGTACTGAAGCATATTTGACTTACTTACTTACTTGTTACTTTTTTAGTCGTAATGAGAAAATAATTATCATTAATTAATAAAAAAGCAAAAGGAAATTATAGTTTAAAAAAACTAAAAAACACACTTTTGTAACTAGCAGAACTAAAAAGTAGAAAATAATTTCAAAAAGAAAAATCATTTACACGTAAAAATGCGTGGGGTTCTTTTCAAGATATTTTATAATATAATAACTTTACTTTTACCAATATCTGGCATTAAAATATTTTAACAACAATTGAAATCTAGCACCCTACGCATTTTTACGACAAAAAGATGTTTCTTTTTGAACTTTTATGAGAATTATTTTCTACATTTTAGTTCGGCTCATTACAAACGCGTGTTTTTTTGTTTTATAAAGTATATAAAAATAAAATAAAATAAAATAGCCTTTATTCTACTACCAATAATCGATAAATACACAAATTATTTTTATCATGCTCTTAATATATCTACAACCAATTTACTATAATTATTATACTATTACGAATTTCTATAAATTATCAATAAGCAATAATAATTACACATTTCAATATTTACAATAATAAAAACATTAAAAAAAAATTGGAATTTCACAATTTATATATTTTATTTGATTTTTTTTATTAACATTTTGATTTATTACAATTTTTTATTTATTATTCGTTTAAAACTATTACGTTCAAATATTTAGGTAATAGTCGCCTCTTTGGCATAGGCCTCCCCCAATACTTTCCATTGCTTTCTGTCTCTAGCTGTTCTCATCCATTCCGATCCAACACTTTGTGTGAAGATGTCTCTCCATCTTGTTCTTTGTCGTCCTCTCCTCCTCGTTTCCTCTCTGGGTAACCACTCCATTACTTTTTTTGTCCATCTATTGTTTTCCATTCTACATACGTGACCAGCCCAGTTCCATTTTAATAACCGGATTCTTTCTCGTATGTCCTGAATTTTCGTTATTGCCCTAATTTTTTTTGTTACTGATTTGGTCTTTTAATTTGATGCCTAGCATACTCCTTTCCATTTTTCTTTGACAAATTGCTAGTTTTTCTTCCTCTTTCTTTTCAGAGACCAAGTTTGGCATCCGTAGGTTATACTTGGCAGATCACTACTTCATAAATCTTTTCTTAATTTCTATTTTTACTTCTTTGTTTTTCATAATTTCCTTCAATCCCCAATATTTTTGCCATGCTATTGCAATCCTTCTGGTTACTTCATTTGCGGTGCAATTTTTAAATGATATCGAGTGTCCTAAGTATATGTATTCTTTCACGTACTCTATGCTATTGCCATCTACTATAACATCTATGATTTCGCCGTTTGACATAATCTTGGTCTTAGAGGCGTTTAAAGACAAACCAACCTTTTTGCTCTCCTTTGATAAACTATCTATCATAAATCCTAAGTCAGTTGCATTATCTGCGAAAAGCACTATATCGTCCGCGAACCTCAAGTGGTTTAAGAACTCTCCTCCTATTTTAAGACCAATATTCTCCCAATTTAACCTCCGGAATATCGACTCTAGTACCGCTGAGAACATTTTAGGCGATAGAGGATCGCCTTGTCTGACTCCTTTCTGAAGGTAAAATTCTGGGCCTTCTTTTTCTAATCTCACCTTTGCCCTACATTTGGAGTATATGTTATGAAGCAGTTTAACATACTTTTCATTTACACCCTGCTGCAGTAGCGACTCCCAAATAGCAATATGAAATAGAGAGTCAAAAGCTTTCGTAAAGTCTATGAAGCACATGTATAGTCGTTGATTGTATTCGTTAGCTTTTTCTATTATTTGTGTGACTACATGTATATTGTCTATGGTGGAGTAGTTTTTGCCGGAACCCAGCTTGTTCTGGGGGTTGATTTTCGTCAAGTGCTCTTGTTATTCTATTAAGTATTATCTTTGCGAAGACTTTATAGATGTTTGAAGTCAGACTTATAGGCCGGTAGTTGCCAAGGTAATTTCTATCACCTTTTTTATGTAGTAAAACTATTGTTGATTTTGACCACTGTTCAGGTGTGATTTCCTTTTCTATTACATTATCAAATAGCACTTGTAGAGGCTTTATTAACGAGGGCGCTAGAGCTTTCAGTAATTCATTGGTCACGTTATCTTGTCCCGGTGTTTTATCGTTCTTTTGAGTAGATATTGCATATTCTATTTCCTCTTGTAATACATTTGGTGCTGTTGTTAAGTCTGACACTGCTGATATATTTTCTAAATTACTCTTCGTATTTTCATCTGCGTAGAGTTCTCTATAAAAGTTTGTAGCTTCTTTTATTATATCTGGGCGTTTTGAGAGCATGTTTCCTAACTTATCTTTTAAGTTTGCAGTCCATTCCGATTTGTTTCTTAGCTCTTTGAATGCTTTTTTGATAGCACCAGTCTTCTCTACGTATTTTCCAATTACTTCTTGCCTAAAAAGTTTTTTAGCCTTTGTTATCTGTCGGTTTATTTTTTTACTTAATTCCGTGATTTTTTGTTTGTTCTCTTTCGTTCTCTTCTGTTTGTACAACTGTTTTCTCTGATCCAGTAATGTAATCGATTCTTTATCTAATTTGTAGCCGCTATTTATTTCTTTTTTAGGTAATTGTAATTGTAATAGTCTTAGTTCTTCTTCAAAATTATTATACTGTGATTGAATTTCTGTTGTCTTGCTAAGGGCCTCCATAAATTTGGTTTCCCACTGTATCGCACTTTCGCCGGATATCAATGGTAGGAGTCTAGAGTATTTAATTTCTTGAGTTCTTACAAAGTGTTTTTTTCTTTTTGTTTCTCGAACGTTTAGTATGCATCTTATCATGCGGTGATCGGTACTAAAATTCATTTGTTTTATAGTATGGAACCCCTTTATTTGGCTTGATTTATTTGTAAATATATAATCTATCTCGTTTAAAACTTGGCCGTTTGGTGATCGCCAAGTCCATCTTTTATGGGTTTTCTGCTTGAACATACTATTTAAACATGTCAGGTTTTTTTCTAATGCGAACTCTGCCAATTTTTGTCCATGTGGGCTTCGCCGTCCATATGAATACCTGCCTAGTATTCGATTTTCTCCTGATTTAGCCTTTCCAATCTGCGCATTGAAGTCTCCCATTAAGATAATGTGCTTAGAATCAACTGAGCTCAGAGCTTGCTCTACTGTATTGTAGAATAGCATCATGTCCTCTTCTTTGTACTTTTCAGTAGGTGCGTATACCTGTATGAAAGACCAGGTGATGTTTTGTAATGTTGTCATCTCTAGTGTGGCTACTCTATCAGAGAAGGCTCTAAAGCTAACTATGTTACTTTTTAGTACTTTATTTATCATAAAGCCTACACCATTTTTACCTTTAAGGGCCGAAGTATGGCAGAGTATAAACTCGGGATATTCCTCTATGCATTCATTTGCTCTCCTTATCTCACATAGTCCTATAATGTCCCACTTCAATTTCTTAATCGCATAGTGTAGTTCTGTTATTCGGCTATCATGCTTTAAGGTTCTGACGTTTAAGGTACAAATGTAGAGATCTTTTCTTCTAGCGGTTATAGAAGGGGGGTGATGGTCATACTCCTCCACGGTGACCAGCCGGCTTGGAGGAGGCTGAGAGGCTGTACTTAATCGTTTTTTGGTTCATATACCTTGCTACATACATTTGTGTTATTTGGTTCATTTCGAAAGAAGGAAGTAATATTGCCTGTCTTATTTTTCTTTAAACTATGTTTCACATTCATACCATTATCTAGTCCTTTGCTTGAGTTTTTGGTCTCAGCTGATTCGGGCGATTGTGATAAGTTCCTCTTTTGTGTGCGTATGTTGTTCTTTCCCTTATTTTCTAGATGTATTATCTTGTCATAATGTAAAGCAACCTTTTTCCCCGATTCTCGTTCCTGCCTTAGTTCTTCTTGTAATTGTTTACGTTTTTGTAATATATGAATAGGATAATCTTGTTTAATGTATATTTATAAAGTATAATAGTTACTTAATACCTGAACAGATTTGAACGCAATCGATATCGTTAGGATTCTTATTTCAAAATGAAAATAACGGAATATGTAATAATACAATAATGAAAATAATACTGTATTTATTTATCTCATCACAAAGGTTCAACTTAGGAAATAAGAAAAACCATATCATTCCTTTGTGACAGACTGGTTTCTGGCTATGTAATGTGTATGGTTTTCAGCTTGGCTTTTGCTCAGTAGTTGTGTTTAAAAAATAATAGTTAATAACTTGTTTAAGGTTTTTACCTATCGAGACGGAATTTGGGACTTGCTTCGTATTTAACTCACGTTTGACTGGCAGCGAGACTTTGTACACTGTCAACCGAAAAGTAGGCCTCCACACCCTGACGTTCGAGACAATGACTAAAATTATGGTAAGTTTAACTTTGAACCGGATAAATAATGTACAGGGTGTTATAGAGAGCTGTGAGCATATTTCAGTGTCCCTTAGTTATTTATGGGCTACCCATGAATAACGCCGATTACGCTTACAATTTTAGACACATTCTTAATTTTTAATATAGACATTTTAGTTTGTGAAAGTGGTATATAAAATTTAAAAATTCAGCGATAAACTCATTTCTCGTATGAAAAATGACGTGTATAAAACTATGGGTACTTAATACCTAGAATCACGAAGAAAAAGGAGGATTTATCTGAAAATGTCAGAACCATAAAATATTAAAAACTCTAATTGACACATTGGTCGTTCGTTACATTATTTTAAAAGTTAATTATACTGCATTAAAACGGCACTTGTTAGATCTAAAAAGTGTCAAAAGTCGATCAAAATGCACGTTTTTGTTTTCAGTTTATTATGTACACATTGAACGCCATTCATCCCGTGGGTGTCGTAAGAGCCGACTAAGGGAAAAAACTACGCAGAACACCAGCACTGCAGAGAGAAGGAAAACTTGACACAAACACTTTTTTTTTTTTTTTGGCGGGGTGGTGTGTCGGACTCGGACCGACTAAAACCACACGGTGTGCCACTCTGCGCCTGTAACAGGAGGGATCCGGGAACAGCTGTTGTTAAGACATCCGGACCCCTCCTAGCGCCAGCCCGCTCCTTGTGCGGGCTCCGTCTCAATGTTTTTCCTCTCTTTAGGCGACGTCCGGCACACGCGGCCGCCGCCCCCTCGCGGCTGGCCAAACTAATGCGGGTGGAGGGGAAACCCACCCCGTCCACCCGCGGCCACACTCAGGGCGGCATGAGGCTGTGATAGGCGGGCCTCCGCCGCCCGGTTCGCCGGCGGCGGATCGGGTCCGAGTGGAGGTCGTCCTCCCGGGCCCTCTCCGCCGCCTCCTTCCGCAAGATTACTACCTCGCAGAAGGTTGCGACCGCGGTAAAACAACTGTCGCTACCGGCCATGGAGCGTACTACGGCCGGTAGCGAGAGATCCACTCCGATGACTGCAGTGAGGGCCCGGCGCTGCGCCGCCCATGCGGGGCAGACCGCCAGCGTGTGCTGGGCCGAGTCCTCACTGCAGTCGCAGTGGTGGCAGGCGGGACTCAGTTCCCTCCTAGCGACCGAGTGCAGGTACTTTCCGAAGCAACCGTGCCCGGAAAGCACCTGCGTCAGCCGGAAGGAAAGGGTCCCGTGCTGCCGCCCTGCCCACTCGGCGATGACCGGCTGGAGAGCCTCCACGGCGGCGAAGCCAGCGCGTGGAGTCTCCAGCCGGAACGACCAACGAGCCATCGTGGCTCGGCGAGCGGCTTCGCGCCACTCGCGCACATCCTCGGACGGAGGGCGAAATTCGCTCTCCGCCCGTGAGTCAGCCACTCGCCGATAAACTTCGGCGAGCACTTCCGCCTCCAAATCCCACGGGGGAGTTCCGGCCAACGCGCATGCCACCTCCGTCAAAACGGTGCGGTAACCGCGTATGGCTCTGACCGCCATTACCCTCTGAGGGCGCCAGAGGCGTGCCCTATTCTGGGCGGTCAGAGCCGCCGCCCACACCGGTGCACCGTACAGTGCCATTGACCGGACAACCCCCGTGTACAGCCGTCTTGTCGCGACGCTGGGTCCACCCATATTGGGCAAAAGTCGCCCTAGGGCAGACGCAGCGCCGACCAGCTTTGGAGCAAGCTGTCGGAAGTGCTCGTCGAAGAGTCACCTCCCGTCGAGGATCAGGCCCAGATGTTTCATCTGGGCCCGAACCGGTACGAGGACCGAGTTGACCACGATTGAGGCGCCAGGGGGTGGACCACGACGGGGCCCATGAAATAACAGGGCCTCCGTCTTATCTAGGGCCACCCGTAAGCCCAGCGCCTCAATGCGCCCGACCACCAGGGAGACTCCCAATGTGGCCAGGTGCGCCGCCTCTTGGAAGTTTGCCCCCCGGGCTGTCATCAGGGTATCGTCTGCGTAACAGATTACACCCAGCCCGGGGGGGAAATCGGCGCGAAGGGCCCAGTCGTACCCTATGTTCCACAAGAGGGGTCCAAGAACAGACCCCTGTGGAACACCGCACGACATGGGCCGACACCTCAAATTACCTTCTCGGTCCTCGTACACGACAGTACGAGTACGCCTCAGGTACTTTGGCACCCCATGATAGTGGAGTGCTTTCCTGATGCAGCTGAATGGCAGACTATTGAATGCGTTGGCGATGTCTAATGACACCGCCAACAGCACGCCGCCACAGCTCACGGCCTCTTCGGTCACGGCCCTCAGGCGCAACACGGCGTCGACTGTCGAACGCCCCGCCCGAAAACCAAATTGGGCGTCCGACAGATCGGGGCCCACCTCGCAGAGGTGCCGGACGATGCGGGCAGAAAGAACCCTCTCAAACAATTTACCCGCCTCGTCCAGCAGCACGATGGGCCTATAGGCCGCGACCGAATCGGCAGGCCGTCCCGGCTTCCTTAATAGGACCAGCTTCCCGCTCTTCCAGCACTCAGGGAAGCGTCCCGACGCCAAGTTAGCGTCGAACACCTCCCCGAGGCGGTCTGCCATGTGGTTGAGGGCCAGGGCCAGCACTCGGACCGGTACCCCGTCTGGCCCGGGGGCGGTGTTCTTGGAACGGATCCGTAGAACAGCCGCCCCTACCTCCGAATCCCGGACGGGCGGAACATTATCCTCCCGTGCTCCCCGTCGTCTCCGGCCAAGGAGGCCATCGCCGGGGGAGTGTGTTCCGCTCGTTGTGGGAAAAGGCCCTCAACCACTTCTCGCAGGAAGCTGGGCTGGAGAGTCTCCGTAAGGGGGGGGGGGGCCGACGCGCGGAGCTTTTGTCGCGGTAAGGGCGACCCCAGGGGTCACGATTAAGACCCTCCAGCATCTCCTGTCTCTTTTCTTCTTTGGCGCGGCTAATGGCCAGCTTCAGAGTTTTCCGCGCCTGTCGGTACTCCTCATGAAGCCGGTCCTCCTCACCGTCTCCACGGTGACGCCGCCGACTGCGCGTGTAGGACCTCCGGGCACGTGTACAGGCCGCACGGAGGTCCGCCAGCTCCTGGGACCACCAGTAGACCTCCTTCCTTGGAGGCCGACGACCTCGAATGCGGGGCATCGCATCGCAGATATGCGTAATCGCATCGCGAAAGCGACCAGCCCTCACGTCGACCTCCTCGGTCGGACCCTGAGGAGACAGCCACGAGTGAATTATGGCTGCCTCCTCTAGTAGGTCCCGGTTCAGTCTAGCAACAGCCCACCGCGGAAAGCGGGATAAACGCCGCGCCACGTGACCCCTACTGGAGTCCTGGGTCCGGGAGAGCTCAAATCGGATATACAGATGATCCGAGAGCGTCTCAACCTCTTCCAGGACACGCCAGTTCCTTACTCGTGCGGCGAGGGCAGGGGTAGCGAACGAAAGGTCCACTATCGACCGCCCTGCTGTCGCACGCTCGTGTTGGTGGAGCCTCTGTTGAGAAGACAGAGGCCCACCGAGGCCGCCCACTCCTCTACGGCCTCGCCCCTTGCGTCCGTCCTCTGGGAACCCCACGCAATGGACTTTGCGTTGAAGTCCCCCAGCACAAGGACGTGCCCAGACGCTAGTCGCCGTATCGAGGTCTCCAAGCTGGTTAGGAAAACCTCGAAGTCGTTCAAACTCCGGTTGGGGCAGAAATAAACGCCATATATGGTGATCCCCCCCCCACTCGACGGCAACATATCCAGTGCCCTTGTCTCTTAGCGACAAGGGCGGGGAATGAGCCGTCGTGGAACCGACGACTGCCACGGAGCCGTCCCAGTCACCCATCCAGTTTGGACGGCGAGGGACAAAATAGGGCTCCGCGACTACGGCAACACCTATCGACCACTGTGCCATGGTTTGCAGGAAGAGATCCTGCGCCGCGGCACAGTGGTTCAGGTTCGTCTGGACCAGGAGGTTGGAGACTTGATCCATTACTGGATCGTCTCTACAACCTCCTCCATGGGCGACGACGTCGACGCAATATTGACGTCGGGGGTAGCCTGGGTCGACTGGCTAGCCTATACCAACCCGTCTGGCCAGCGTGGTATAGTGGGCCAAAACCTCCTTTCTAAGGAGAGGCTTATGTCCAGCAGTGGACTATTAAACGCTGTTGATGTGAACGCCATAACAGATTAAATAATATACGGGACACCCAGAGTTTAATGTAGCCATGTTAATGTTTGTTAAGGTCTCGGTGTTAGTAGATAAATAAAAGTGGACTGTATTTTGCACTAGTTTTTAATGTCTACAAGGGGTACGTTGTAAAAAGCTGTGATCCCGATCGAGTCCATAATGCGAGTGCCTGTAATGGCAATCGCGGTTACGTCTACGCCTCCGCTTCCTGTTGCCTCCCCGTCACCTGCGCCGCACGCCGTTCGCTAGTGGTTCAGCCGGTTGAAAGCACAAATATCGGATCGAGGTTTTGATTCTCGACCATTTTTAACTTCTCAGCATATATTATTTACTTCTACATCTAAATCTAAAAGGCGTACTGCCTTAATCTCGTTGGCATACCATACACAAATTATGGTAGGACCTCAATAATGTCCAGCATAGTCCCTACGTACAACAATAAGTTCAACGATATAGACATTTTTTTCTTAAATAATTAAAAAATACATACAGAAGAATTGAGAACCTCCTCTTTTGTGTTTTTTAAGTGGGTTAAAAATTGTTTTTAAAACGAACTCAAACGTGACCTAATTAATCTCTGCTTCTTACTATTGGTAAAAGATCTAAGTATTATATACAAATAACAGTGCACTCAATTAGATATTTAAGTTTATTGTTTCTTTGAGAGTTTTAAACTAATAAAAGATGTAGTTATTTATAATATCGTACTACAACTTCCGCGGATCTCTATAATTTGCTTAAGTATGTTTTAAATGTCACTGGCTGATGCTGACGGCATAATAGATTGAAATTGTAACCAACAAAATAGCTGTAAATTCCTTAAAATAAAAAAACCGTACGATATATTATTTTAAAAAGGGACACAAGGAATTTGCTTCACGTAATCTATAAATAAAATTACCCAGAAAGTGCCTTTGTCTTTTTAATAACAGCAGAAATTACTTACTTCCGCGGAACTTGGAATAGCTCGGTAAACAATAAAGAAGTAAACTTCATTTCAAATTAAACTTGAAAGGAATAATTTAATATTGTTTTGAAGGAATCCAACCTTTCAAAAGAATTTAATAAAGAGTATATTGAGTAGTTTCGCTTGCTTCGATATCTAAAAGAAAACCAATTCGAAAAATATTTTGACTGACCTCTCTCTTTCTCGCACTCGTGGTTAGTGACCCTGGCTGCTAGGCCAGAGGTCGTGGGTTCGATTCCCACCCAGAACAAATAATTGTGTGATGAGCACGGTCATTTGTTCTGTCTGGGTGTACTTTATCTATAATATAGATGTATTTAGAAATATATAAGTATGTTTATCAGCAGACTGGTCTGATTACCATAGTACAGGCTCTGCCAAGTTTCGGATAAGACGGCCGTGTATGAAATGTGTATTTTTTTTGAATGGAGGTAAATGAGAAGAGGGGTCACCTCAGGGAAAGTGACTACCTCAGACCATGAACACTTGCATTTTAAGGGACACAAGTGCACTGCCGCTTTTTGGTAGTTTCCTCCAAAGTAAGGTGGAGGATTGGGCCTCCTGTCGCCTTACTCATTTAGTGATAAGCGATGACGCCCATTTTCTGTGAGGCTGTGATTTCACCTCGAGTGCCAAAGTATGGTTCTTTAAGAAAGATGTAAAAGGTAACAACAGTATATACACCTGTAGTAATCATATAATACGTATCTACAGATACGGGTCCATTCATCAGATGAGATGCTAAGTGTAGCGTCAGATAAAGTTACGAGTCGATGCGATATATTGCCACTTGTCAGCGATCTGGATCTCACATTATCTGTAAGTCACACACAATATACTCACAGTATTTCTAATTCAAATAAAGTTCTCTAAAAAACACGGGATGTTGTAATTCCCTTTTTATTGATGAAGAGTTAAACAGCGTCGAATGGCTGTACTTCCTTTATTCACCTCTTTTTATGATCGCTGCTCTGCTATTAAGAGTCGTAATATAATGTTAATTGACTTATAACTCTCCTCAATTACATTGCCATTATGTTCCCAAACAATGTTACAGATTAGTGTCGTAGCTAAATTATACATATTTATTTGCATATCTGCTGCTTTGGTTGTCTTCTTAATGTGGCAGAATTTTACTTTTTTTTAAACAGTTAATAATAGTTGCGCATGCCAAATTTGGCTAATTTATTTTACAGTTACCGCATGAAGTATATTTGTCCGTTTTAATTTCCAAATTCTAAAGGTACTAAGTACTAAAAGTTCCACAGTAATAGATGTATTATAATTTATGGCACAAAATTCGCCATATTGCCACAGCTGCAATTAAATTTTTCTTTTTTAGATAATGACCTTTCTTTTTTCTATAAAAGGTAATATGATTTGGACATTGATTGATTGATTGGTTAAAACGTCTTTTAAAAGGCATTCTCTAAATAAATTGATAAACACGGGAAGGAAATTTAATATTGAACTTTTTAAGAATAGACGGTTTTAATGGTAAATTTTTGGCAAAACAAGCCTTTAATAGATTAGATTAACGCCTATTCTTCTGAGGTTTATACAAATTGTATGCATCATAAAAATAAGAAACCAGTGTATAACCTTTTAAAATGTTAATGGAGTAGCATAAGACAACATATTAGTGACTGATTCATAAGTCACTTCGTGCATAAAGAAACACATACCACAGAACTTTGTAGAAATAACGCAATTTCCTGTCAAATACTTGTTTGATGTCAATTGTTGCCTGTAGCCCACATGTTGAGAGCCCCCTTGTAATAAAGATATCTTGTTCTGCAGGTCCTTAAAAATAAATACTGGCAACGTAGACACTTAAAAAAGTGTCATTATTCTGTGTATCCACGTATGAGTATCGAAAAAGAATAAAACATTAAACTAATCAACTATTTGTTTCCAGGCGGAACAAACAGTAAATGACGTATCAGTACAACGATTGTTACCTTTAAGCCGGGACTGTTTGTTTGATCACGAAACGCCTGCGTTTGCGCACCTATGGCCTTTCAAAAAGTATTCATACGGAGCGTGCCTCATGTACTGTCGAGCAATCACGCAGATTGAGGCTTGTAATTGTACACATCATTTCATGCCCAAGATAGGTAAATATTCCAATGTTAATGTATTATGAAATGTTATGTTTCAGTAGGTCTCGACCAATCTCATTGCATCAATTCTGGTTTGAGAATATTTTCTAATGTCTTTATGATGTTCCTGTTTATAGCCTTTTTTTTTTGTTTTTTCCTGTGCGGAAATCCCCTCGGATATCCCACCGGGGTGATTATGTCGGACTCGAACCGACCAAAAACCGCACGCCGTCTCGGGTACCAGTAGCCGGGGAACCAGGTGTACCATAGAAAGGAAATCCCTGGTACCCCGACATACCTCCTGCCATCCACGGCGTGTAGATGGCCCCCTCCTGTGTGGGAACCCCCATGTTCCCTTTGTGCTTTGTTTATAGCCCTAAAACCACTCAGGTGTAAGCTGCAATGTAGATTTAAGTTGCGATGTAGATGTATGATATTTGCTATGCCATACTTTTTCAAGTATGAAACAGAAAGATTTAAAAAAAAATCTGCGGTGTATTAAGAGAGCTCTTAAGAATTTTAAATTGTTATATACTTCTTTATTTTTAAGAGTTTTGAATTGATTTAGACACGTTAAGATAGTAGAATATCAATTGCAAAAGTGTTCCCGTAACGATGCGTTTGGCGTAAGACTGAATGTCCATTCCGCATTTGATCAAACTACTGAAGGCTGTTTTAAAAAAAATGTGCAGTCTCTCAGAGTTTACGTCTTAACAGGAGTTTTACCCGACAAAGATTGTCTTTAAACTTTGATCTTTATTTTAAGCATGCTAAGAGTTTAAAAGAGGTTATCACAGCAATATTAGTTTTGACTATTATAGTACAGATCTGAAACATCGGCTAATCTAACAGGATTGTTATTAGGAAAACAAAAAAAAACAATAACGCTTAAAAATCACATTTTAATTAAGAAGTTGTCATTGCCTACTTAAATCATTTAACTGCGCTTCGTACAATGTGTCATTGATAATCTTTTCAGCAAAGATTTTTTGTATTGGTATCAACAAGCGCAATTTGCTGCAACATTTTTTCCTATTATGTCGCACTCTTTATCTTAACGCAATCTTGTTAATCGATCGTCCAACACGCAAAGCAAGTCTTGAGTTTCTGAATGGCTGTTGCTTATGTGACTACTAGTATATCTACCCATGGAGCTATTTTCTTGAATATCAACTGACTGAAGGAAGGACTCTGAAAATAAATTGATAGTATTTTAGTCGCTCTTCAAGAAACGGTGAAACATATGATAGTTGCTTTGCGGCTATCACCCATTTACAATATGTCTGGAAAGGAGAATGGCAGATCCTGTACCTCTAGTAAAATATGATAGATGGGTATGAGATTTGCACCGTTTATAAAGTGAGTCATCCTAACTATTTTCATGTAATTATTAAATTTTTTGAACTTTTCTATAAGTAAATAAATTATTCTCAAAGAATTGTTCCAAAAATAACTACAACAATAATCCCTACCATAAGATATGCAAGGCGGTATAAAAGTCCCATACATGCCTACCATTTCCCCTTCCCCGGACCGCGGGTTGCGAGTTAACATTACCAGTTTTTATTAAAATAAATACGTATTTTAAATAATTTAAAATAGTAAATGAAATAGTGAAGTACCAGGCGCTCATAACGTGGCAGCAGATTGCAAAGTCCTAACCTATACCTAACCTGTCAACGTCACTTGTCAGGTGTCACCTGATAACGTCACTTGTCAAGAGCCACCTATCAACGTCGACTGTCGAGGCTCATCTGCCGAAGTCGCTGTCAACGTCAATTGTCATCGAACCTTCAACTTCCGGGTGGTGTTGCCATAATCCGGATCAAAACCTACACACTAATCTACTGATTAGTGTGGAGGTGTAGTTTAGTGTAGGTAATTTTGTATTTGGTCTAAGTACAATTTTATCGAGATCTTTTGGAATTGTACATTGGTATTAACTACTTGTAAAAAGACATACACAATGTTTACAACAACGCCTAAATTTCCTGCGTCTGAAGCACTATCAAGTAATTTGATGAGGACACCGCCTTATCAAAGTGGACCTTCACGTTCTACACCTGACCTTAGTAAACTTTATGCAGACGAAGCCTTACAATAAAATGTTACTCAGCGAAATAAACAAAAACACCCATCAAGCGAGGTCACCGGTGAGGAATTGGAAACCTTTAAAATTAGATGAAAGAAATAATAAGAGAAATGTTGTCCGCCCATAACTCACGCCTTGACCAGTTAGAAGGATATATGATGGAAATAAAGAAGCAAAATACTGATATAAAGACTCGTGAATTAGAAAGGTTTTTCACCTTTGTTTCCGATAAACTGACGTCGCTTGTGAGTAAAATAACATCTTTGGAAAAGGAGAATATGGTGGCTGTGCCCGGTTCAGGATCAGATGGGCGTGTGTGAGACACTTTGTCTCTATTTAATATCATTATCACCGTGACTGTTATCTTATCTTATCTTACAAATAAATAAAATTGGAGTGTCTGTTTGTAATATGAAAATAACCGCTTTTTACTAAATGCATATGTATGTTTACACGGTACATATGCCAAAATGAAATTTTTTGATTTCGACGGGACTTTCACTGGCAGATAGCTGATGATATAAGGAGTAACTTAGGCTACTTTTTTTAGACTAGCTTCGCCCCGCGGCGTTGCCCGTGGTTATAACAACAAACGCGGGTAACACCGCGGTCTCAGCTAGTTCACAATATATGCCAACTTTGACTGCTTCGGTGGTGCAGTGGTAGCGTTTGCCAATGCTGTGTTGAGTTCTCGGGTCAGATCAAATGTTTGTAGGATCTGCAAATATTTGTTTCCGAGTTTGGGTGTTTTCTACGTATAATATTTATGTATTTACAAAAAAAGTATATAAATTTTCTATCAGTCAATCTAACTTTCATAGTACAAGCTCTGCTTGGTTTGAAACATAGTCCCGCTGCCATACGGAAAGTGTTTTTTTTTTTCATTTTACTCAGCGAGCTTGAGAACTGGACGTTGAAATGTTGAAAAACACTAACGTCAGTGTATAATAAATTAGCTCAGAAATTTAAGAGCACTAAAAGTACGAGTATCTTGCAAAGTTTATAAAAACTTAAAAAGGTCTTTATTCCGTGAGTGTTATCGTTGGCGTTCTAAGCGTGATTAAGTTATGATGACAGTATAGGAACCGACAAGCACTTTACTACTTTGCTGTAGCTTAAAATTTCTCATTTTTTACAAGAAGTAAAGACGTGAATACATTTTTGAGATTTACAAGTTGCTTTTCTATTAAAAAAGGATTTGATGTATCACTTTTGAAACTTTTGTACTCACTGCTGGGAGAAAGGCTTGACTATGATTGTATGAAATTAACGGATACATGGATTATCATTCTCTTGTAGTAAAGGAGGCTGAAAATTATTCCTCGTTGTAATAAAATTGAGAAAGAAAATTCTAGAGAAAAATAATGAAATATGTATATAAAAATCGTAAGCAATGAATACGGGTCGGATTGTGAGTGACTACCTTCGTAGTGAGTGACTAGCCATAACGTAGCCCAAACCAGTCAAGCATGTTTGGAACACGTTCCTACGATGCGTGAGACATCGAAACCCTCATCCGATCACGCTTACGATACGATCACGAACTCTAAATTGTACCCATAGAGAAGAATATCGAATGAAATCGTTCTTAATGTACAACATGGCGAACCATTAAGTTCTAGAAAATGATGTACTATTTTTTTTTTTAAATGAATTTTTATTTTTTATTAATATTATACAAAGTGAGGTTTATGTCCATCAGTGGACCTGAAAATACTATTTTATTTTTATTTTATCCTGTATTAAGGCTGTGTAACATTTTCATGTTATACATGAGCGCCAATAGTTTTAAAGGTGACTAAAACTGAGCATACTCCCCGGTTTTTGGAACATTATGTGAACTACCCGTGCTTGTGGTACTTCAATTTACCTTCATACCAAATTTTTCTGTCTAACAAATATTAAAAAGGCGAAAGTTTGTATGTATGTATGGATGTTTGTTACCCTTTACGCAAAAACGGCTGAACAGATCTGAAATTCGTCACAGAGATATATTATGATCTGGAAGCTATTCCAGACAATAATATATCTCTGTGTAACATAGGTGCTAACATAGGCAATTTTATTCATTGCATTGAAAAAAAATTGCGTTCCCACTGGATGAGCACACAACAATAAGCGCGGGTAACAACGCGGGGCCCAGCTAGTTATATATAATGTAGATTCAAGATAAAGGAATCAATAAATAAAAGTATTATGTAACATGGAAAGGTATGTTTGAACATGGAAAGAATGATGGTGTATGAAATTCATAGTTTCTCTATTTATACTTATAATCTAATAGATTATTGGACTGCACGGATGGTGTAATGGTTTAAGCGATCGCTACGCCTCTTTCTACTACGCTGAGTGTTGTGGGTTCGATCCCCACATGGGACGACACTTTGTGTGATTCGCAATGTGAGGCCCTTCTCTAGGTTAAGGAGGACAGGAGAGGAGTTGGGAGGTGGGTTGGGCCTCCACTAACGTTAGTTAAACGCAACAAATTAATTGCTGTAAACCGGTTTTCTGGGGGGCATCGATAGCATTCCCGTCGAGCCGTCTCATTTGTACCGGCAATTCACTTACGAAAATAATTATTATAGTCATTGTAATTCATTGACCTTAAGGTCAATGATAAATTGGATGTTGAACGGTAAAACCCAAAATATTGCATTATCAAGCGTTCAGTTCAACAGTTAATCATTATGCAGAGTCACTATTGAAATAATTTTTTGTTCATTCATTGTTTTACTGAAATTGAAATGTGTTGAATCGATCGTCTTGCAAACGCGGCGGCTGTCGTCGCTCTCTGACTCTCTGACTACCGGTGTCGTCTGGCGCGGGGGAGGCGTCCACATTCTGTTACGTCACTGAGAAGCCATTTTGTGTGTCTGCACTAATGCAAACGTCATGTTGATACTGATATCAACATAAAATTATTGGTAATTATTTTCTTCTTAGAGTGTGTGGTTCAACGGGAGTGCGCGAGACTTTTAAGTTGAGAGTCTGTAAAGTAAAGGACAGATGGTTAAATTTATTGTTGAGTAAATTGTTGCGTACGTAGTTCAGTCATTTTATTTCAACGTGCCTAATGAACTAGTGTTCCTTCTTAAAATTATTTGAAATATATAAAATTAAAATACAGACAGATTGTAAAATATGGAAAAGTACGTTAAAAGATTATTATTATTAATCTTAAATGCATTTAATGAAAACATTTAAATACTTTGTTATTGGTTATTACATTATTTATGATTACTCATTTATTCTATTTTAGATCTGAACATGGTTTACAAGTTAGTTCAGCCTGGTAATGACCGTACGACGAGGAATTAAGCCCTTATCTGCCATGTGTCGCGGTTTCAATCATCAGTATTCTGAGCTTTTCGCTGATGAAGGAAATACACATCTCTCGGGTGACGACGCGATCTAAACGGTAGTAATTAAATTGTCATCAGGGTGTCTCTGCCTCTGTTCAACCTAGGATTACCTATAGTCTAAAGATTTAAAGGGAGACTAATATACACAATGTCTTCTAAAGTTATTTACGTTTTTGGTAATAACTCAGCAATGCATGTATGTAAATTATTCCTTAAACCACTTTGGGTATCAGAAGTTCCAGGTTAATTTGTTAATTTACTTTGTTAATTAAATTGTAATTTGCTAGTTTGTTAATTGGCTGCACGGATGGCGTAGTGTGTTGTGGGTCCGATCCCCACATGGGACGACATTTTGTGTGATCCACCAATTGTTGTTCTGTGTCTGGGTGTTCTTTGTTTCCGTTTCATGTATGTTTGTAAAATCCCCCGCGACAAAGGATATGTTCGTAATGCGAGAGATGTCTCAAAAAAAAGATCCTTAACATAATTGCCTATACCACAGCAATATTTTCGCATGTGGCTTCTGAGTTAGTTGCTTACAAGCTCTGTCCTCATTATTGCCTTTTTCATTAAGGAAAGTGTGCTTCTATTAGAAAGCAGTATTGCAATGGAAGCTAAAATACTGCTAGACATTGCTTAGTTTACAACTAAGTGACGTGCTTTGCTTGCTGTTTAATGATTACCTACAGCCATGTGGATGTGTTCTCATGACAGCATTTCTAAATCTAGCTGCATCTACAATTAGCAGATATCTGACATACAGTAGTAATTGAACTAAATAAAGATTTAAAAATGACTTTAACCGTGACAAAGTGAATTAGTGTTAGTAGGTAATTTAAATTTATTTACTTACTATTGAGTATAAGTGCGTTTTATGACTACAAAATATTCTGCCATGCATTAATTATATTATTTAATTTCCAATTAGTATGGGAACTGCGAATAGTTTACTCGCATATTCGTGGAGTGCAGAGCATAGACACTAGACATAGTAGGTAGTTACCCCTTCGGCAGTAAGTGAATTTGAACATATTTATTACACTTCATTACTGTTGATGCGTTCAAAATGCACGATTTGGAGATACCACAATTAGAATGGAAAAAGTGCTACGAAAATTGGTTCCAACGTATGCAAAAGTGGCTCGATCATCACGGCGAATATTTTGAAAAGCAATATAACTATAATAAGTTTGTTTAACTTTTTTATGCCGGATACATAAATAGCAGCCCTCGTATACAAGAAACTTTTTATTCTAGTAAACAAAAGCTATGTCACGATTATCACGAACAATGGCTTCTAATAGTCAATCTTGTTTTATAAATTTGCTATTTGAGCTTGTTTAAAAAAATGTAGATTTGATGATAGATGATAGTAAAATTAAATCCCAAATTATTTGTTATATTATTTTTCAAGAGAAAGAAATTTGACCATTAGATAACCATGTATTGTTTTTTTTTAATTTCAACTTTAAATCACTCTCCTCTAAAGTTTACTCAACGTCGCGTACTAATGTTTGCCTTCCAAGCGTCGATATTATTTCATTAATAGTACAGAGTTAAGTACTTAATTTCAATCTGAAAATTTAAGACCTAAAACTGAAGTTTATAGATTTTCATGATTCTCGAATAAGCCTTAACCGTGTTAGCGATTCTGAAGGCCTCTCGAGTTTTTAGAGGCTCTTAGGCAGTGAGCGTGTTCGGATTGGTGTAGATTTCAGTGTGGGCCAATCGCAGTACTGAACGCGGTCACCGTGACCATCGAGTTGGAGTGAAATAAACTTACACTAGGGCCTAGAGGCCAAGTGACTAAGCCCTCCGCTTGTTTCGTGTGAAGTTGGTGTTGACGGTCATAAAGGCAGCGTAGCGTTGCGCCTTTATGTTTTATAAGGGCAATATTTCATAATAGTGTTTGTGCCACTAACACTCTATAACATATCATACCGAAATTTACCGATATTTTTAATAATATTTGATTAGGTAGTAATCATTTTATGTATGGAGGTTGACGGATATAAGAGTAGAGGACGACTAAAGAAAAGATGGATGGACTGCGCGAAATAGGGTATGACTAGAAACAGAGTAAGCAGTGAACTGACGAGTGATAGAAGAGAATGACAGAAGAAAACTTATTGGTCGCCGACGACCCGATTATGATGATGAGGTATTATATAGGTATTAAAATTACATTCGCCACAATACTTATGTCTTGTTAAAATTCCTTCGCAGGTAATTATGAAAAATGTGGCATAGACGGTCTGATTTGTTTCCAAGAACATAAAGGTGAGAAGATTGATTTTCTAATTTCTACTCACTATAGGTATTTGGCGCCAATAGTTTTGCATCAGCAATTTTCTGTTGAGGGGTAATACTTAGTCGTGTGTTAGAAATATATTACTCAAGGTTGGGGTCATCTCATAGTAAATTTGACTGGCCTGTTGGTATAGTGGTAAGTAATTATAATTGCTTAGCTAGAGGTCGTTGTTTCGATGCCTGCTCAGGTCAAATAATTGTGTAAGAAGTACGATGTTTTGTTCTGTGTCTGGGTATCTATCTATATCTATAAAAGAAGAAACTGATGACTGATTTACTGATTGATCGACAAAAGAACAGCTGAAACCGCTTGGTCTAGAACCATGAAATTTTGCACAACTGTTCCTTAGGTGACGTAGATTGCACTAAGAAAGGATTTTTATAAATCCCTTGCAAACTGGGGGTTGGAAATTTATATGAAACTTCGTTAGTTTTGGTAGTAGCGTTTTCAAACTAACAGTAAATACTCTTTATTAAAAGTAATAAAAACGTTGTTGCTAATTTTTTAAGACTACCCTTAAAAAGTGGTACAAGTTTGTATGGGAACAATTATTTTTTTAAGTTATGGATGTCAAACACTCACTATAATTATATTCTCTCAAAATAATAGTAATTGGACATCTATATTTAACTTTTCAAAACTACCCCTGTATGTGATTAAACGGGGTTGTTTGAAAATAGGGTTGGGAATTTATACACGCATATTATAATACAGAAAATTTTCAAATTCTAAAGATTTGTAATGTGATGATGCATACCTTCCGAAGCCGGGCGGGTCGCTATTTATAAATGAAATGTGTATATATTAAAAAATACATGAGTACGCTTTTCAGCAGTCTCGTTTCCGTACCAAAGGCTTTGCTTAATTGGGATCAGACGGTCGTGTGTGAAATGTGTCAAGTTATTAATATATATTATTCGTGTCAACCCAACAACTGTTGCCACCGCGGCAACCACATGTGTCTCTCTAGAAACCACATTGTTATAGCAAAATACGTTTTATTTTTTGGCAATTACGTGTTTATCAGGAATTTGAATGTTGTTGCCTAGTAAATAGAATCCAAATTAGCTACTAACATAAGATTCAGAGATCAAACACAGCGACCGCGCGTTAACCACCAAAATATATTTGCCTCTTTAAACCGCCCACACTGCATACAATTAAGTGATAAATGTAACATATGTATATAAAAATATTCATGGATATCTTACAGTTTTTTTTTTAAATGATTTCAGTTATAGATCGGTTGGCCGTTGTTAATTGCAATTGCCCGATGTCCTGTAACGCAGTTATGTACGAAACCGTCCACGTAACTTGTCCGTAAGTTAAATGTGTATCATTTGTATCATGGATCATACACAAAGAAAACCTTGAATCACATCCCAAACCATGGTTTGTAGGCGAGGAAAAATACTACTCAATTACGTATCAAGCGTATATTTACAAAGTACGATCCACAAACAATACGAGTAGAATTCCTCAAACTATTTCTTCAATATTACTCTTTCCACTACTACAAACAATAGAGCAACAAAATTTAGGTGTTTTCATCTGAACACTACAAAAAGTAAAGACAAGAGCATAATGGTATTTTTAAGGTATATTTTCACTTATTTTATATATCAATACATAAAGAAATCTTTCTTAGGAAATTGTGATATAAAAATGATTAAATGAGCAAAGCATGTAATATGACTTCGAATTGCATGAAACTTAACTTAAAATTTGTTTCTTTGAAATGCATTTGCGTGCTTGGTACATCATCATCAGCCTATCGCAGTCCACTGCTGGACATAGGCTCCTGCCAGCCATCTTGCGCAAATCTTCACTCCATCTGGCCTGTGGGTGTCCTACACTACGTTTGCCGAGACGCGGTCTCCACTCAAGAACTTGTTAACACATACCTATTACAAAGAGTTAAATCTAGGAGTGGCATCTGATGCACCTCTCTATATACCTTCCATGATATCCACTAGTAGAACTCATTCCTATCCCAGGCGGTTATTGCCACTGAGGTCGTCAACTCCACTCATATTGGAAGTCTTTGGGAGGGGCCCAACAGAAAGTATGATACTACTTAAATAATACCTACACCTACATAGTCGATCCTAAAATATATCACACATACACATGACAAAACTCATTTTTGGCTCTTAACATCTGACGTCACCTCGTGTCCCACGTGTCATACCTAAACATCTGAATGACAGTTTAATTTTTCCTAGGTCTTTCCGAGTATCATAATTCGGTTTGTGGGTCACTGCTTTTGATCCTGGTGTACATGAGTTACAGTAGTGCGCGTGTGGGAGATATTTAAAAAGACTTGTTTTTCCAGGCGTCGTAACAGTAAAGTATTGGAAGACGTCTCTCATAGCTTCAGTGTTACACGTGGTCGAATACGTTTGGGACACCTGCCTACACTGAGGGTACGTCGTCACGCCATCAGAGAACTCCTCGGTCTTGTGGGTAACTATCAGCATTTATACGGCACTGTGAAGGTTTTTCATAATACAGTATTAATTTAAAAGACTTTAGAAGAGTTTAGTACTTTCATGTTTCTTAACTATCATCATCATCATCATCAACAGCCTTTAACAGTCCACTGCTGGACATAGGCCTCTCCTTAGAAAGGAGGTTTTGGCCTACTATACCACGCTGGCCAGACGGGTTGGTATTATTCTTAACTAATTAATGATGATAAACCTTGGTTTGGGGCCCCTTATCATTGCAATAACATATGATTGTGTAAGACTTATCAGGGAACTAGACCTGTATCTGGATATAGATGCTTTACAACGATAGTCCACGACGTCCCTTCGTAGAAATACATCAACCTTGCAAAACAGAATGTATAAAGCGGAGGTATGGATAATGGCGACTATTTCATAAAGAACCGTCGCTTTTCAATTGTCAAACTGGTAATTATAATTGTTAATGTTAAAGGATATTCAAATCAAATTCAAAGCGGTTCAGAATTGGCAATATTTGGTTTAATATTTACTACAATTTGATCAAATATAAAAGCTATATTTTATATGTGATTATTTCCTGATATTTTTTTAGTTTTGTAGACGATTTTAATGTATGTATGTTATGTTTTGAATTCATCATATAGCTTTATGTCTCAATCTAAATCTTATATAGTATTTAATTTTTGGCATGAGAGTTCCTACTAGGAACGTTCGTGTATTATTTGTCTCGTATGTAAAAATCAAATCTATTGGAACTGCAACTTTCGGTAGCTAAAGTTTTCTTAATACTTTTTTTGTTACAGTGGACATTGGCGGTGTTATAGGAGTATTTTTCGGAGCCTCCTTACTCAGCTTCATTGAGATATTTTATTTGCTCTGCATAAGAAGATATCATTAGCTTTACCTAGTCGGTATACTAACTACAGTATAGACAATAGGATAAAGTCGAAATAATATATCTGTGGCAGTCAGCTTAATCTCTTGTAAGGCCTTGATAATATCACAATGGGGCATGGCCATCATGGTAATAAGTTCCTGCAGATAAAAAGGTCATTAACTTCACATCAATTGAGTGTAATTGTGTTGTCGTGCTGATTTTCATGTTATTTATTAATCAAGATACTGTTTTAAATGTGTTTGTTATGCTCGGCAAAAAACCCGCAATAAGATTTTCCTCATTCCCTGGATTGAAATCAACCTCATTGTCAGCCTATCACAGTCCACTACTGGACATAGGCCTCTCCCATAGCATGCCACATTGGGATTGTAATGAAGCATATTAATGTATTTACAATTTATGATATAGAATTTTCAATTCACTAGTTATTTACTTTATACTGTTTTTGAAATGTACACCAATAAATGTAGGTATTTAGGGTGATTTTGCACATTGCGTTTACACAGGAAGAAAGTTTGCAAATTTAAGTTTTGTAAGCGGCGAGTTGACCGCTTAAACCAACCAAGTAAATTTTTTGCTACACTAATATTAAAAGTATAATTATATTAACAATACTTTTTTTTTAAATCAGTTTTTGGTATTAATATTTATGTCATTTGGCAACTCAGAGATTCACGGTAAACTTATAACATCCGTGTTTTTGTTCGAGAGTTTATGAAATAAGAAATTTAGTGCTGTACATTCAAATTTATGTATTCAAAATGCTTTATTAATCCCAGCTTGCTTAAAGTTTATAAATTATTTCCTTGTTGAGCACATAGTGCTTATTGGTTTGGTTATAATATACTCTTAAAACGGCTTTGTAAACGCTTCGTAAAAAATATAAATAATAGTAAATACACGATTTAAAATCAAAATGATTGTTTTTTCTGTTATATCTTGAACCTTAATTATAAGAATGTGACTATTTTTTTTAAGTATGGCTTAGGTAAATTTTAAGGTCTAGTTTCATGATTAAAGACGTAATAAAATTTCTCATAACTGTTTTTAATAATGAGAAGTTAGTTGGTCAGAAAACTATTTTATTACCGCTTTTGTCAATACCTTCGCAGACTATTTAATTTCAGAGATTTATTATTTATCTATAACTTTATATGTTTATGGTCATAATATTTTTTTTGACATTTTTCAACTTTTGTATTTACAGATTATTTTAAGATAATATTTTTACAATGTCCATAAAATTTTTAGTTTGTTTGTTAATCGTGTTCGCGAGTGGAGCGATGGAGGTTTTCGGTCAAAAATTTCCGAGATTTGGTTAGTAAAGTATTTTAGCTATTGTCACAACTTTTATACTAAAGTTTCTCTACTAGTTCTTGGTGGACTATAAGTTTTATATTGCGTTTATTTATCATTCTGTATGTTATAATTAATTCATTGAAGAAAAACATTGCAAATAGATTGTACGCTGTGCTGGCTACTGAAGTGAACATGACCACTTCTATCAATTTTTAGGCAAGTATACTTTAGATAGTATCCAAATACATTAATCTAATAATTCTGTTATCACAAAAACTCACAGTGTCTAACTAAACTTGTTCTCAATATTTTGTTACAATACTCAAGTTGATGATAGTGGTTCCCAATCTACGTCAAAGTCTATATTATGGAAGACAAATATATTTATGATATAGGGCGGCAAACGAGCAGATGGGTCACCTGAAGGTAAGTGACTACCGCCGCCCATAAACAGCAGCAACTCATGACACACAAGTGCGTTGCCGTCCTATGAGATTTCCCCCACAGCATCAGGGGAAGTTTGCTTTGTCGTCTTGTTTTTACGAGTACTATAAAATATCTCTAATAACATTTCATAAGATGATTGCCTTGAAATTGAAATCATTGTAATTGTTGCAGACCCGTTGCCGCAAACAACGGATGAAACACCGAACAGTATGTATTGTTATGTATCTTTTTACGAATATGATATGTTAAACAAACCGAGTTTCAGGTATAGGCATATGTGTATCTAAACTTGCTGAATAGACCAGCGCTATCTGACAGGAACTGATCCTCGTTAATACTGATTGGCTAATTGACATGCTGGCACATGTGTTATATTGGATTACACTATTGGATTTTGAGCAATCGACCCATACATATACCTATAAATAAATATTTCGGACATCTAACACACAATACCATCTAGTTTCAAACTAAGCATAGCTTGTGCTGTGACAGATAGATTGACTGATAGAATACCTATATACTTTTTTCTTGTAAATACATACATATTATACATAGAAAACACCCAAAACTCCGATACAAATATTTGTAGATCATAAAATCATTTGGTCTGACCCGGAAATCAACCCAAGACCTCAGCACAGCAGTCGCATACGTTACCTACTGAACCAATGAGGCAGTCAAGTATATGTATTGCTTTCTCTGTTGAAGACGATTATAATTACAAGATCATTCTGGTCTCCATCACTCTATGTTATCATGGTGTTTACGATTCAGGGGTTTCCCGTGTTTCCTTTCATTTGTAACACTGACATGCTGCAAGTGGTAACTGTCCTCGGCTTATGCTTTTATGTGTGAGCAGCAGCATATGTTATGTTGCAAGTTTTTTTGTTCAAGTGTCATCACTAAACCTAATTCCATAAAGACAAGGCCTTGCAATGATCTGCCCGCCTGAGGCCTAGCAATGTCCTACCTGTCCGGGGCCTTGCAGGGCCTTGCAATGGCTAAGGCCGCCACTGAGTCCGTTTTAATACTACACATACAGGTCTACAAACGGCAGTACCTGCTCCTCCTAATAAGATACTTCCAATTTTATTTAAGATAACAGATTTAACTGGGTGATGTCCCTGTCACAGCAGCGTATCCAGTCACATGATGGCCATGCGGCCTCTTCCGGCCTCTGCCGGCCTCTTCGAGTTGCTGCAGTCTTCGTCCCATTTTCTAACTCGAGACTTGCGGTGTCCCCAACCCGAGATCAAGGGATCAAGGGATCAAGAAAAGCTGATAGGGCAAGGGCCCTATCAGCTTTTCTTACCTTCTTCCTAAAGATAAATAATGTGGGTGGCCTCCTATGAAAGAATGGAACCAAAATTGCAATATTCCGCATTGCAGAGACCCCGAAAATTTAAAAAGAAGATATTATCATGCAACAATCCTTGCAAAGGCAGAAACTACTAATATACTATAATTATTATTCTATGAGAGGATTTTTTTTGTACCTTAATACTACTTACCGATTCTTTGTTGTCTTGCGATGAGGGTAATAAGATTAATAAAATTGTAATAAGTGTAACTATTACAGACCCGATGCTGAATATGGAGGATGACACTAACACAAAGAAAAGTATGTATTTTCAGTGATCTTATTAAGATTTACATCTATATTCATATAAATGTTATGTTGGTGTATGTACGTTTAAAAAACTCAGAAAGTTCTGCACCGATTGAGCTCAATTTTTGACACGAAATCCTACAGGCTTCGAAGATAGCTTTTATATTTTTTTTCATCCACAATGTGCCACAGCGAAGCGTTGTAGACTACAGCTAGTAATATCATAAAAGGAATTCTTGTTGCTGAATAGGCTAAGGTTATTTCTACTACAACCTTGTTGCTACAGATAGCGCAGCGCGGGCACATGTACTTATTAGAATTTTGAGCAATCTATCCATGAACAAAAATACTGCTTCATTGGACTTAAAAAAGAAAAAAATCTAGCCTTTAAAAAAAGAAAAAACTGATCAACGAGACACTACCAATGCTTTTATTTAATCATTATATCTAAATTAATTGCTACTATACGAACATGTGTGGTAGGTCGTTACGGGAAGTTGACGTAGGGACTATAAGCCGACTCCAATCTAGTACTAATAGTAGGCTCGGAGGATGATGATATCTAAATTAATTGGGATAAAAGAAGTAGATATCGGATATTTGTTGAATGGAGTTCAAGTTCGCAAAGTCTCGAAACAAATTCCATCCATTGCTTCTTATGTCGCTAGCGAAAATAGCTGCTTAATTTTAAGGGGTTCCATATTTCAAAAGTAAAAAAACGGAATCCTTATAGGATCACTTTGTTGGCCGTCTGCCTGTCTGTCAAGAACCTTTATCTCAGGAACGCATCGAGGTATCGAGTTGATATGAAAACTATATACTCTGGTCGGTCCCTTGAGGCTGTAAAATAATCAAACTCCTAAGTAAACTCAAAAAAAGATACGCCCGTTTATGCCGTAAAAAACGCATATTTCGACACTCGATCCTATCAAAATTCATAGGGTATTTCCTGTTAAGCAGGCAACTCTAAAATTTTGCAAGAAACATCGTCTTATACTACAAGTACGGGGAAAAATCTGAAAACTACACATTTGTGAATAAATGTAAAAAAATATAGTCTTTATTCAAAGTACGTAACCAATCATCGAAGTGCTCTCATAAAACTCAAGAATATAAGTAATTATAGGTTTTGTAAACGAAATTTTTCGGTAAAGCTCGAAAAAAACTGCGAGATTCTATTCCTGAACTATTTACAATATGTAATTACAAATGTGTACGGAATCCTCGGTGGGCGAGTCCGATTCGCAATTGCCCGGTGATAGTGCATTGGGTTTATTATATGTATAGTCCATTAGTTACAAGTTACAATTGATGGAAAACTAGAACCAAGTTTTTAAGGAAGGAAGGAATTATTATATTTTTAATCGACTTTTAAAGAGGAGGGCTTTTTAATTCTTCTGTTTTTTTTGTTGTATTTGTTATCTCAGAACGCCGCCATTTAGTTTTCGAAAATTCCTTTATTATATAAAAAGGTATAGGCAGTTCGCGATATGTTTCATTCAAATTTTAAAACAATTAAATCCCAAAAAGGTAAAAATTAAGGAATAAAGGATACAATCGCTTTTAAAGTTGTTGATACTTTGCATCCTTACAGAAACTTATTTGGCTAACTTTCTTAACCAACTTAGAGTGCAGTTAAACAATGATTGTCCGTAATAGATTCTGTTTCTCATATATATATATTTATTCTCAGGACCCGCAAAAACAACGGAAATAGACACTTGGGACATATTTGTGCGAGGTACGTAGACATATCCAGTGTATTCATTAGATACTCTGTTGTGTGTTGGGCTGTCAAATGTGAAAAAAAATCTATTTATTTTTTCTGTTTGCTTTCCGAATACTGAAATAAGGAACAGCTCATAAACGGCCGTAACAACTGATCTAAAAATTAACTAGAAAAGCTTGTACCATAAAAACCAAACAATTTATAAACACAAATATATATTTATAAATGCCTGCATATTATAGACAAATGACACCCAGGCACAGAACAAATGATAGTGTTCATTACATAATGATTTGTCCTAGGGGAAATTGAACCCACTAGCTCTTATTCAGCAGTAAGGATCACTGATAAAGGTCATATTTTATTCGTTTTAATATATTTTGGCAGCTAACGGAATGCCTCCTGAGTTATGTAACCAGACTTTATGCGCCGCTCCATGCCCTGGCGCCGCCGCCCCACCTAGGTGTCCGCCGGTAATTCCGTACTGCCACAGTGGTTGTGCCTGCACTTACTCTTGTGAGGTAGCGATTGTGTTATGTTTCGAGATCCATTCTTGTTTAGAAACACGTCGAAGGCATTTCTTTACACGAAATCGTAGAAAGAGCACAGTTCCTATGAATTAGCTCTTGAATCAATACCAGCTTTATTTGGGTTTCAATGTTATCATTAATTCATGTTTCTTTATTATTTCTATAGTGTAAAAATTAATATGTGAATGTCCTAAATAAGTTACTACTGCTTTTGTTATCGAAATAGTGGACATAACTGGTTCAGCAATACATTGTAAATGATTTACAACATACTCTTTTTAGTACGTATTCAGACTAAAACTATAATTATTATCACTGATATTTCCAAGTAAAAGTTGAGCGACTATGCTTTATTTTCTGTACATCAAGTACCAATTTGCAATGCAATTTGATTTGATAGTAAATCAGACTAAGTATAAATTAACAGCAGCCAAGGTTTAACCTTTTAGATTATTGCGAATTTTTTTAAAGAATATGTGCATAAAATTATACTATTTGCTAGAAATAAATATTACAAATAGCATTTAAACAGAATATTAATTTCTAGCACTGCAATGATTACACCATGCGCATATCATGCACTTTTTAATACCGCTAGGTTTTGGTCACCATTAAATATACTAACTTTTAAACTATTGCATTCCACAATATATAATTAGGTTTACGGGAATCAATAGTTTTTTAGGTACATACTTTTCAAATGCCTAAAGTTTCGACCAGACTTGTGACCACGGCCAGTGAACATAATTCTATACCTTTAAATATGCAGAGAACTTAGGCTACGAATGTGCAGCAACAAAAATGTTAGGTACGCTTAGGTTAATTATATAAATAAACTCATGTGTTGTAAAATTCAGGAATATCTAAATCAACTGTATCATGAAATAAAATGTTGTTTTAATATCTTTTGTCTTTTACTTAATACTAACTACTAACTTAGCATTCCGCCATTTTAAGCTTTTCAAGAAAATTACTCTCACAACCAATCTGTGGAACAAATGATCGTCTGCAGCACTTCCGAATCGATACGACTATAATTAAAAAGTGTAGGCACCTCAAAGCCGGCAATGCACATGCGATTCTTCAGTTACTGATGTCAGTAGTCATTTGACAGCATGTGACTGATCTACTCATCATCCACCTACGCCATAAAAGGAAACAGTTTGCAAGTGTCGGGGATAGTGATGACACGTCGCATATAGGTGGTCTACTGCTTGACATAGGCCTCTCCTTAGAAAGGAGGTTTTAGCCTACTTATACCACGCTAGCCAGACGTTTGTATAGGGTTTGTTTCAAGTTTTCCTTCTCTTTGCAGTACTGTGTCCTGTGCAGTTTGCTCTCTTAGTCGCTTCTTACGACACCTGCGTGATGAATAGCGGTGGTGACACTCTGTATTCTTAATTCGTCACCAGACGGACAAGAATGGGCTTAGGGTACTTATAATGTAACAAGAAGCCATCTGATCTCACTATTACTTTAGCACGTAAGGGAAGGACAATAATTAATCAGCTTCCATTTCTCATATGAACATTATCTTGGGATGAATAATTGTTACGAGGTGTCGTGTGTTAATCGCATTAATTGCGGTCGACCAAATTGTGTTGGTAATATGTTTTAATAAATCTAAGAAGTTCTTTAATAAAATGTTATATTTTTGAAAGGATTCATCAATCATCATCAACAGCCTTTAATAGTCCACTGCTAGACATAGGCCTCTCCTTAGAAAGGAGGTTTTGGCCTACTATAATACGCTGGCCAGACGGGTTGGTATAGGGTTTGTATCAAGGTTTCCTTCTTTTTGCAGTGCTGGTGTCCTGCGTTGTTTTGCGCCCTTAGTAGCCTCTTACGACACCCACGGGATGAATTGAGGTAGTGACATTCCGTATTCTTAATCCGTCACTACACGGACAGGATTAGTTAATAAAATAATAATATTTCTGAATACTGATTCTTGATCTCATACATGGGATGTGTAAACCTATATTGCAAATTACCTGCGCTCTTGTCAACGTTTGCTAGTCATGGACTACAGACAAAAAAAAAGTTTTTACTCTTTTTTACATAGTTCTAATACATCAACATAGCAATAACTAGACGAAAAGCAAAGTAAACTTATGAAAAACTAGACGAATGGCGAAATTTACTTATTGAATTAAACTCTAATAAATTATTATTTTCGTAATGACATCAAAATTGCATTTTTAAGTCTGCTCCGTTTTGCTGACGCTATTGGACAGTCAATGCTAAGACGGTTTTAATTTTGTTTATACGAACGCTACTTTTTGGCTACTTTATTTTTCAGGACTGACCAATTGTCGGTCATTCCAAAACTTATGACTTGTCGTAGGTCAATAAAGTTATATCTGGACAGTTGACAATTTTCCAAGCATTTCATTTCTTATAAAGTTATGTACTTAGATGAAAGTGAGTAGGTTATTTACCAAGTTGCAATTCTAGTCACTAATTGACTACATCGAGATATGCCTAGGCATAACCGCTTGTATTACGGGAGTGCTTTAAGGAATTGTAAGAACTTATACCCAGAGGAGTTTTCCGCCATCATTACACGCGATATTACTTCCATAAATGAAATCCCATGAGTAATTGACTGGTTGTAAGTTTCTTTGTCCAGAAACTTACAACCAATCTGTGAAATAAATTCTAGTGTGTAGTATCTCCGGACTGAAAATTGTAGAGTGTTTTCCCACCTCGTACCTCACCAGGCAACGTACTCGTAACACTTGAGTAGCAGATGTCTACGGTAGCTCATGGACACAAGGTTGGTAGTACGACGTGAAAAGTTTCTTACGTACTCACTACCTGGTGATCCTTACGCTCATTAGCCCCTTATATAATAAAAAAAATACGAAGAGAGGCACATCAAGAAATGTTGACGTATCGTGATGTGAATTGCCTACAACATAGGCATGAAATTCACGTCACGTGTTCAAACGAAAGCTTCCTTTAGGAAATAGAATAGAAAATCCTCCGAATCCTGGTCGATACTTATATAGGGAAATAATTGAATGTTACTAAGTATTAGTTTGGCAAGAGAATGGTTCTCTTGAGGTAATTACTTTTTTATTGCTTGTTCAACGTGGCATTAACAATCGTCCGAGGTCTCCCCTACCACAGTCTAAGCTCTTATTTTGGTCCATTTCCATGGAAATTGCAAGATTCGAGGAAATTATTGTCATCGTGATTTACTATTATTTCCTCACGTTTCTTTACAAATTAAATTACATAGCCGAACTGTAAACGCTTACTATTTAAATCGATGGATGCATTAATGTTTGTTCTTTTTTGGATGAATGATGACGAAATCGATTCAAAGAAATTTTGTAGTTTACGACCTTGAATCAACAAAATTGTAATTCATGTTAGTGTATTAACCCCATGATATGTTGCAAATAAATGCAGTTTATTACAAGTTTATGAACTTACAAAATCGTATCAGTTAGCGTGTTATTTATTCATTTTTAAAATTATCCGTTCAACCAATAACAGCTATCGATCGAAGTGGCGTGCATTGGGAGAGCCCTATGTCCAGCAGTGGACTGCGATAGGCTGATGATGATGAACCAAAAACAACAGTTATTATAACTATTGTTGAATTGGATATGCAAAACAGTTTATACATAAATTTAAGGGAAAATGAATTTTGAAGTAACTTACCAAAGTACGAGTAGTTTAAGAACGAACATTTAGACAAAATACAATTTAGAATATCCTAATGGAATATATTTAGATTCTGGCCCCATCATAAATTAACAGACATAAAAGAAATAAATGATAAATCAATTCATCACTATAAATATGTGCTTAAACTGAAAAAGCATTTCAAAACCGCAGAAAACGGTGTTCCGTTTGAAAACGACTAGTATAAATATATAGGAATTAATCCGGACTCGACGGCTTTCAATTTATGATTCAGATACTATTTCCTGCGAAGAGTGGTGTACAGTTTCTGTGTACCGAATTATTTATAGCCAAGTAGTCTGATTTCAGTCGTTACCGTAAAAGTTGGGGAGTTTCTTGTTTCACGTGGATTTACGGTGAAGATATTTTATTGTTAGAAAATCAGTTTTCATAAAAAATATTCCATGTTAGTTGTAAAAACTATCAATGTACTATAATATCTGATCACGGGATCAATCATGTATCGCGATAGATATTAAGTACACATCTTTGATATTATTGACACGTTCTTTTAAAATATACGAAGACGGAGGGTGTGCACCGCTAAACCAGTCAGCATGTGACCACGGCCAGCAGTGCAACCCGGACGAAATGTCAGGCAATTCAAAGGTATGTTTTTAGTGCCTGTAATATTGTAAGCTCGTTAATTCCCGTAATACATAATGATTAATAGATTTCATGAAACGCAAGAGTTGTATCATCCTTGCCGCTTTGTAACGACGTATTTATACGAGTATATTACCACAGAAATTACAAAAGATATTATTGATGAGAGGTATCGCTAAGCTATCTTTGACCATTCCATCATCATCACATCACACCAACAGCCTATAATAGTCTACTGCTGGACATAGACCTCTCCTTGGAAAGGAGGTTTTGACCTACTATACCACGCGGGCCAGACGGGTTGGTATAGGGTTTGTGTTAAGTTATACTTCTCTTGGCAGTGCTCTTGTCCTGCGTGGACCCTTAGTCGGTTCTTACGACACCCACGGGATGAATAGGGGTGGTGACGTTCCGTATTCTTAATCCGTCACACGGAAAATTCCATCCATCCATTCCATCCATCATACTAAATTTTTTTCTTGTCATATTAAAATCTTTAGAGAAATACTCCTAACTTCTATTTAACGCCAACAAAATTTATCGGAGCGTATAAAATATCGTAGAGTTTGCCGAAACTGTTGTCGCATTTCCTCTCGAAATTCGGCCAATTTGTAATTTTGTCCTTTCAACACTTGTTGACAAAACTGTGTCAGATGACCGACTTAAGAAATGAATACAAAGTGGATTATTGATTCGTACCTTTAGACGATAGCTGATATAAGGTTTAAATAATTTTAAATTTAGAAAGTAGTCAACAACTATTTTTTTAAATCTTGACAATTCGTATT